TTTGAGCACAACCTCTTTATATTTTTAGACTTCTGCAAAGAAAACAAAATCTCAGGCAAATTTTACCTTGTAAATTTTGAAAGGCCTATTTTACTTTTTATCATTTCTGATTTTAAACATGGGCACTTATTTATTTCCTTGTGCTTCTTACGTGTACATAGTGTATAGTATTATTTGTTTTGAAGTGAACCGAATGAAATATGTAACATTATGTGCAGTTTTGATTTTATTTTTGTTTATTATTTATACATAGCCCATTCATGCTTCGAAGTTAATTTGTAAATGTCTAGTACATGTATCTAATTTTAGACATGAATTTGAATAGAAAATAGTTTGATTTTGTTGATAAATGGATGAGTGGACATTCAAACTGCCCTTTTAGCTGTGTAGTCATTCACATAGGTTTGCAATATAGTAAAGGGATCGTGTAGGACCATGTTGTGTTAGACCAAAGCTTTTGTCTGGGCACGATTTGCATATCATAGTCTTTCCAAATACATGTAGATACTTTTTTCAGTTTTCCTCCTGTACTCTTTGGGTTTAGATGTACTTTACATTCCACTTTTTCATCCAGTTATAGATACATGTAAATGCAGTATTGTAGCTTGTGGATATAAGATCCTGAAGTACATGTGTTGATATGTATAAACAATGCAAAATAGAGTCTTTTATACTTGCACAAAAATGCATTAATGTTCTATTTTTCCACTGGATATTCATGCATGTATTTTGATTTGGAAAAAAATGTAATAGAGTGTATAAAGGGTGAACTAGAAGTACTGTTTAAAATGAAATGAATTGTTGTTTTTTCCCCCATCATATGCAGTATGGATGGATTATTTATTATTTTCACACTTTCCCCAAATATGGGATGTTAGCATTGCTAATTAATGACTGGCATGTGTATGGTTTTCATGTTGGAATCATTCATGGACTGGATGGTTACTGAATTCTCATCACAAAAAAAAACACAGTTTCTGTAGCCAACGAGTAAATGCAAAATGTTAAAGCTGGTCATAAACTTGTATTTATTTGATGAAAAAAAGTAGAACATTCAAAATTAAGATATTTAATATGTCCCTTTCATGTAATACTAGTAAACCACATGAGTCAATGGATTAGCAACATTCATACTTCACCCTATGATTTCAGTAATATTCATGAAGAGGTCATGGCCTTTTCGAAAATAATAACACAAATATCAATAAAATGTCAGGGATTTTCAAAATCTGACTGAATATGACTTCCTTCTTTGTCCTTTAAAGAGTTTTTGGAAATGTAAAATTCCAATGAGCTTCCTCATTTTGTGTATCAACAGGAAACTGTTAATATTTCGTAGTATTGATTTAGAAACTGAAATTTCTTAAAAGGATATAAAGATCTGCAACATCAAATAAACAAAAAAATGTATTGATATCAATATGAATGTGGACTAAACCTAGATGCAGTACATGCTTTATTCGGTTTACATACATCATAGAAATTAATGAGAAAAAACGACAATATTTGGTATTAAGCCTCCTCTGGCTTTTTAAGTGCACCAAGCACCAACAAGTATACCATGTTGCTGTACTGTATTTAAAATTTGAGCTTCAAATATTGCTATAAAAGAGATATAGCAAATTTTAAATACATTCTCAATTAACATAATAATGACTTGTCAGTTTACTAGTCCATGCATCGGTACCTACTTTGTATAGAACCCAAGTTTGAATTGGGTTGTATTATTAGGGTTTAATTTTATTCTCATATTTATAGTCCTTAACCATTACCCAATAGAATGTAATTTAAAAGTGTCATAAAGTTGATTGTACTTTAGCTGTATACAAATTACTTTGTTGGGTGATTAGTACACCTCGAGACTGCTAATCCTCATACCGGTAGGTAGATCAATATACAGGTATGAGGATTAGCAACTCAAAGTACCTTGTATGTTTAATTGGCATGGTACTGTAGTAATAAACAATGTTCAGATTCAATTCATTTTAAAACTATCTGTTACCACATCAATTGAAGGAAATTGTGGCCTGTCACGAGGCCAAGGAAATGGTTCATTGTGTGGGCGTGGGATTCCCCCCTCTGCAATAGTGAGAAAAAATTTGCTTGGTATGATAATGTCAAGTACTACTAAGTTGCTGAGTCATTAAGTTTTGACTGTCAAGTCCCCTTTGCATAGAATTAGTAGAAACGACTGTCATTGATTGTTGAAAAAGACCTTGAGTTCAGGACCTAAATAGAACAGGAGGAATAAAAACAATATCTTGAATTTATAAATTTGAAATATAATATGAATTCTTTATACTAAAGAAATGAAATACTGCATAAGCAAAATTTATTATAAAAAGTCTCTTGACTGTTATTAGGAATGAACTTAAATTGAACTCTTTACAAGGCACTTGGTTTGTAACGTCTCTTACTAAATTGAAAAATGCAATATGAAATATTATGTGGATTATGAGATGGAATGGTGTATAACTTCCAAGTTCATTGGGCATGATAATGATTATTCTCTAAGTATTGTAGTGATACCCGATCTAGAGATATATTGTCTGTTGAGAGCCAGAAGAGCATTAAACCTGTATAAAAGTATAGGAATTAATGCCCTTATGGCTCTCAGTGGATAATATAATGCTTTGAAACCCTGTGTAATCAAAAAGGTTTTTTTACTCCTTTTAAACGTTGAAATTGGCTTTTGATGTTTGAAAATGTAGTCCTCATGAAATGGTTCTCCATGAAAACTCATTTCTCTTCATTACTGCATTCTAGTACTGCTTTGTTCATATACAGAATAATATTCAAAGTAATAACAAATAAAGAAAAGAAGACATTACCCTGGCCCTTGGCTTGACATTGCAACAGCAGAAGATGTATATTTTCAGTTTTGTGTATGGAAACTGTGATGGAGAGGCAGATTTTGTCTTGTTTGCTAATAAATCTTACTCATACATGTCGGAGTATGACAGAAAATAAAAGTTTTCTTGTAATTTGTTGCTGTTAAGTGATGTTCTTATCGTTAATTTAAATGTCATATTTAGTAGTGGTCATGTATTTTCAATGATTAACCAAATTATCTAGAAGTTACTTGCAATGGTTGATTATGTTCAAATTATGTTGAATATTTGTGTGTAGAGAGGTTATATAATGTTGTATCGCTTTTGTGCGTGCGTGTGTGTGTGTGTGTGTGTGTGTGTGTGTATGTGTGTTTGTTTCGTGGTCGCAAACCTTCAGATAACAAATATATGTATTTGGATTAAAGCAAAATCCAACTACTCTAAAAAAAAAGCCAACAATAATAGACTTCAAAGTTTGAACTAAATCAGACAAAAAATAAAAAAGTTACGATTTTTTTAAAGTTGTAATTACTATTGTAAATTTGTTATTTATATGGGCACTTCAAATTGGTTGAATGTGTAATGTCACCTTGATGTAATGCCGGATGTGTTTCTCATTTCTTTCAAACCACAAAATGACTAAAAATGTATGACTTGGGAAAGGTTTCTTCTTTTGAGAGGATCTATAATAGTATGCTATCGACTATTTGAGTGTAAGCGTCCGTGGTTGTAAGTTAATTTCCAAGAATCATGGTCAAGAAATTAAAAACGGACCAACTTCCTCTTAATCTTATTTTCCTCCGATAGTAATGAAAATCAGGAAATGCGACAGGAACAATATTAGATCTGCGAAAAAGAAAGTTGAGAGAAATGAGCAACATGAGGGGAAGAAGACATAGACATGTACAAGATTATTGATAAACTAAAATGGTTTCCATTTTCAATTGAAGAGCAAGTCACATGAATTACATATTAGCGAGTATCGAAAGGGAGCAACGCGCTTGTTGAAAGTTTGTAGAATATTTATGATTAAACTAAATAATTAATAAACTAAATAATATGATTATAACTAAAGAGTAAGACGTAAAAGTTTACAGCTATATATTCTTTAGAGTGAAATCAAGTAGATTCAACAATGGGGCCGACGTGTATATCCGAAAGTCTCTAATTGTGGCATAGTGATTGAGAAGTTTCTTTCAGAAATACCGCCGATTTTCCGAGATTTTAACGCAATTTTATTGTTGTCTTTTGTTTCCAGTTTCTCTGATTTGGATAATTTTTTGAAAGGTTTAACTATTTTCGTTTGATTTGTGCTTTCTCTTGCAACACGGATGGTTATACCAAGACAGATTTCTTGGTAAATAAACACGGCGACAAGGAATATTTCATCGAAACATGTCTTCTGAATAAACAAGGTGTGCTTAGTTCGTATAGTACCGGCAACCAACTAAATAACACCACAAGATTTTAGTTCGGCCCCTTAACCTTTGCTTAGGATTATCGGCGCACCCTCACTCTAAAAACTCAAACGTCAAATCATTTTTTCTGCAAAATGTTAGATTCCCACTTTCAACATGATCGATGCAGCACTGTAAAGGTTAATTGGGACCAGCATGTTAAAAAGCTTTAATTTACAATTTTGGAACAAAAAATAATGTTGTGACTCGTCGAACTGTTTACAATTTTAACTTTTATGTTATCTCGTTTAAACTTAGCTTCACTGTCTACATCGTGCATTCAGAAATTCAAATCATTATTTAATTTTTTTCTTCTTCTAAAATTGCATTACATGTACTTTTCCAAAGTTAGTAATCATGTGTAACTCATTAAAACAGTAAGAATCCCATTTGTCAGGTACTTTTTATCGTCCAAACTTCTTTTTTTCTTCCCTTTCGTGTACCTATGCATGCCAGAACTTACTATAGTTTCCCGGGTCAGTTTAGGGCACATACCGCATACCATTACCACCCCGTTTCATTGTAAACAGCGTAGAAATAAAACTATCACGTAATCTAGCTTGCTACTTCAGAGTCCGGGTTTATACTTTCATTCTTGGAAAGTTTTTCCCCATCGACCATAATTATACCCCCCCCCCCATAAATCATGTACGTGCTCCGCCTCCGGAAGTAAATTACGCGGTGCACACACACAGGTAGTGGGAAACGGTACCGTGTTGAGCTTTCAGAGGCCCATAAACACGGTTTCTCTCGAGCGAGGCAAAGATGTTTAGAATTCCACTATCTCTCCCTACTCTGGTAGGAATTATATTAAGTGTTATTTTGTTTAAATCTGAAGCAAGCTCTGGAGTACTGACATGCACGAGCCCCTGTCAACAAGCGGTAAGTTTACATTCTATACATCTTTTGTTTAAAGTTTGTTTTTCTTCTTTATATATACTTCTATTTATCCGAATGCATAATCAGTGCTGCATAGAATGTTATGTTCCGAAAAACAACTTGAAAATGTTAGCTTCCAAGTCGTGACATCGTCCGAAAATCTGCTGATAAGTTGACAGATCATATTTGATAGTGTTGATGGTAGGGATATGACGTACTATATTGTGAGAAATCTGAGTGGATTACCAGCGAAGTGGCTGGTATATAGCAAATGTATTATGTAATGATCAACTCCTGATTTAATTTAATGCAGGCCTACATTTTACACTCCAGAAAAGTGAAAAGAATAGTAGAGAATTTAACTGAAATATATCACTTTTGGATGATTTAAAAACCTTTTGTCCTCTAACTTTTGATTTACTGGGTTACGGAAAACAATTTTAGTATATTCAAGTTTTTATCCAATATAAGTGACCTGCATGGGTTGACTTCAAAAGCTTGTTTGATTGTTTTAGGTCAAGTATTAACATGAATATTGAAATGGTCGCGTTTTATTTTTTGAGTAACCCTTCTATGAACTAGATCTAGATTCTCTTCTCATTCCAGAATCATTTTGAAGGTAAGGTGTAATTTTCATGGAACAGCTGTTTTAGATCACACTTTCGATGAAAGTGAAAGAGCACTTGAAGATAATGTTTACAAAAGTCATAAGCCTACCTGGGATTCCCCAACTCTGAAAATGGAAGTGTTTGGACTTTGGGAAGGAGCTTAGCTATGTTGGCCTCGATGGAGGTCTGCTATGTCTGTTGTTATGTTTATGCTGAAGTGGGCCTACTATTTGTGCTTGTTTGTTGGTTTTTTCACACTTTTGATCTTGGTTTGAATATTGAACAAAAGAGTCCACAGGTACATGTAAAATGTGCATGCCTACCGTTTTCACTCTCCCTGTCTCCCCCTTTTCTCTCCTTCCCTCTTTCTCTCACTATCTCTCTTTCTTCTCTCTTGATCTTTTTCCCCATCTTTACGTTTCTCTGCCTATGTCTGTCTGTCTGTGATTCTCAAATCATCAAATATGGCTGACTGATGCCTACTTTGTGGGTAATAAACTGTAACTGTGATGAATTTATCTCCTATGGAATGTCATAGTGTCCATTATAAGGGGAACAGTAGTCATGTGATTCTGGTTACCATACTTTCGACAAAATTGAAAGTTCAATGGTCTGTTTATGTAGGAAGAATTCAGGATGAGACCATAAATCACACTGTCAACATTGAATGACTTCACATTCTAGCTTGTTAACTCTTTGTCCACATTGATCAATAAAGAGTGCATTGCCAAAATAAAACGTTTGTATCACATACGACATTTATGTAACATATACAGTTTATTTGGAGCCACAATGTGTTAACTCATATACTATAAGAATAACACCGAGTTAACTTAATACCCTTGTGGTTCAGAACAGTATTTAAAGTCCGAACAACATAACTTGTAAAGGGTTTCATTATGCAGAAAATTAAGAGTTGGCCATCCAAAGGAATGTAGTAAAGAGAAATTAAACTTTTTGGAATTCCGATTTTAAAAAAAGGTTGTTCTTCCTATCCTGGAAAATTTGTAATGAACTTTTAAGTAGATTTTCTTGTGAATAAAACCATTACATAACTTATTTAGGTGATTAATGAGATGTTCTTAATAGTGGGCAAGAGGTTTGCTGATACCCTATACTGCCTCTATAATTTTATTTATACGGGAAGAAATATATATAGTTGAGACTTGATTTGAGCCTCTGAACTTCACCTTATGTTATAGTCCTTTCCTTCAAAAATCAATCCAAAAGAGTGGTGAAGTGCGACGTCATCAAAAATCAATTTTCAGAATTTCTCAATTTTTTCTTCATATTCCGAAAGAACATTAAAAATGAAGTCCATAATTATGTCGAAGATCAATTGAATATGTTAGGTATTGGCTGAGATATGACCATCTGAATAAATATATTTCCTATAGGAACTCAGTGTTTTTTGCTCTAGCTCCTAACAATTAGGAGCCAGAGCCTAAAACCATTTATTCATTTGATTTTCGACATTTGAACTTCATTTTTGATGCTCATTCGGAAAATGAAGAAAAAATTTAGAAATTCTAAACATTGATTTTTATGACGTCACAGCTTCGGTACTCTATAGTATTGAGTGAAAAGTATGCCAGTTTGATGTATACAAAATAGAGAGGGATCAATTCGTTTTGGTTGTCAATGGTTTCACACACAACACCTGCATAAACCTTTGAAATCATTTATGAGACAGGCATGCGTAACCTCCCAGATATAGTGTAAGTCGGATGAAGTATCTCGATGTTTGCCGGATGAAGTATTTAGATGCTTCATTACATTTGGAACAAACTTACATTGCATTATCCATCAGGTTGTTGTACAAAGATCTTGTTTATGACACCAAATATTTTAGTTTATACTCATTCAGATTAATTTGAATACCTTAAGCACAACTTTCTCATCCAACTACTTCTTTCTGTTTTTTGTTTTGTGGAGCTTCTCTCAGAAAAGGAATGGGAAAAAAGAACTTCGCTTTGAACTCAGATTGTAGTACAAATAACTTGTTTATGACACCAAATATTTTAGTTTATACTCATTCAGATTAATTTGAATACCTTAAGCACAACCTTTTAATCCAGCTACTTCTTGCTGTATTTTTTTGTGGAGCTTCTCTCAGAAGAGGAATGGGGGAAAAAAAAGATTTTCTTGTTTGCAGACAACTGAAGTAAGATTTATGCCTAGATCTGCCACCAAAGATGGTGTCATAGGCAGTATGTTTATGCATGGACTCTATAGGGTCTACGGTTTATGAGTGGTATATCCCATTATGTTGTCACATAAGTTTACAAACCATTTAAAGATTGTTAATCTTGATACTGCAGCACGTATCCCACAGGCAGGCAGATGAACTCAGAAGATTGTGGATCAGCATGTCAAAGGTCAAACTGATGCAGGGTCAATTTACAGAGAAATCTTCAACATTCATGACACAGAGATCTATTTCGGTTTCGGTTTCGGTCTGGTTCTAAGGGAATCCAAATGCAAGGGTGTTTGTCTCATCTTAATGACGATGCGATTGATTCAGTATAGACTATCCCTCACCACCTTTCTCGTCACTATTCACTAGCGGTTTTATGATTTTTATTTTTTGTTAGGGGGGGGGGTGGGAACAAGGATGTTGACTTCAATTTGCACCCTTCATGATGGAGGTCAAATACAATATAAAATAACAATAATACAAACTATGCAAGCAAAAGGAAATGGGGGTACAGATCCCAATTCGTTCTAAGTATTGAAAAAGATAGGGATTGTCACAGCTTGATTAATCCTTACCCAGGCTCACTTGAAAACAGTTTCTTAAAAGGGGAAAACTTTTTATTTTTTGCCTAGGCGCAAGGCAAAGTGCTGGATGATATTTCAACTTCAGGGTATAGAATCAAGTGGGGCATGAAGTTCAAACCATAGAACAATGTGCATCACGAAGGAAATCATATCAGGTTTCAATATAATAATGTCAATGGTCAAAGTTCAGTGAAGTTATATTACACATAAACTATACCAGTAAGCAAACATGAATTATCTGAATCGTCTCATGATATAAATTATGAACGCCTATGATCAATTTATATATATAGGTCTATATAATATGGGAGTAGTGAGCACTTAAGTTGAGCTGATTAAGCCTATATAATTATGCTGATTGTACTCAAATTGTACACAAACTGTTTTCCCAATACAATAAAAGACTTCATAAGTTTCATGAAGTACAGCAGTACAGGGTTATCACCGTGGTTATCACCTTGGTTATCAACAGATTGCCAAGTCTAGAGAGGAAAACCAATGTTAAATAAACCTTGATAATAACAAAAAGTATGCCTGTTTGGAGTTGTATGACGTTTTCTAGCTTCCTTCCTCATAATCTTCATCATAATTTGGTAGGTCTGATTTGAACACAGTCTTTTCAAAGGGCACTTCCTCATTTGGATAAATTTCCCTTTTTAAAGAACCTGGGATATGATATTTTCTGGCATTTGCTGCAAGTACTAAACTTTATAACTGTTTCTGCTTCACTGCTAGATGTTCCTGCCTTGAACAAACTTACTCACTGTTAGTATATAATTGCACCACTTTACCTGTAAATGTAAAGTAAAGTAATTTTTGGTGGTTAAGACCTTTTAAAGATTTACATGTCAATTGAAATGTAGTAGACTACTAGAGGCAAGTCTCTAGATTTTATTGTGTATCCACAAAAGCTCTTTGAAAGTTCAGAGCTTAAAGCAAACCAACTGTTGTCTGCAACAAGGCTGTATATGCAATTTATTGTAAATAGCAGTAATGCCTAGTATAGGTAACATTTGCCGCGGCGGCCGTGCAGTCTAAAATATCTACGGCCAATAGCAATTATAGGGCCGCCGCAGCATTCCCACGGTCACATACGGTAGCGGTCACATAATGTTAGGCTAGCACGGCGTATTTTGAATTTGTGGAGACAGAAAATCTGCGACTGCCGTAGCCTATTGCCTTTAAAGTGATGACGCACGGTCGCCTTATGGCTACCCTGCGGCGGACGTAGGTTTTGTCAAGTACTAAGCAGACGCAAGGTAGCCGCACGGTGCCCGCAAGGCGGCCGAAGGGGGGCCATACTGCGACCGTGCTACCGGATTACCCCTGCAGTATATAAAACGCAAGGCTACCATATTATGCCCGGCGTACGGTCGCCGTGGAACAGCTCTACGGCATGGCTACGGCGTGTCTAATCGCTACGGCGAAACTACAAATAAAAACAGTTATAACTCCGCGTTATAATCCCACAGCAACCCGTACGTCCTGTAAAGATGTAAGGATACGCCCTAGGGTGACCATGAGGCCTGGGCAAATTCTCTGCGGCCGCCGCAAGTACCTCTCGATTTCGGGGGCGTACGGCGGCCGCATCCTAGACGTAGAGCAAATTTGACCGCATAAAGGCATAAAAGACTTGTTACGGGTAGCCAGCGAAATGACACCAAGGAGCTCCTGGTTAATCATCAAGAGATCTTTACAACGACAAAAAACAAGATTTCCTCTTACAATCAACAGGGGCAGATCTGAAACTTTGAGGTGGGGGGGGGGGGGGGGTCCAATAACCCAGAAGACTGACCAGCAAGCAAAGAAAAGTGCTCATAAAAATTATTGGGTGTTCATTTACCCCCCAAAAGCTATCTGGCACAAACACGACCCCTTCCCCCTAGATCTAGCCATGATTCACGTTATATGTATTTAAAGAAAAGTTAAACTGATATTTGGGCTTAGTACTTGGCCTTGAAACAGGGCTTAACACTAATAGAGGTCCATACTCCCCCCTTCCTGGACACCCTACTTTTTTCTGATGGTTTTTTTTTTTTCTTTCTTTTTTCTTCTTCAAATTGTCAAAGATTTTTCATAAAAATGTATGTCATTATATTTTGACAGATTTCGATAGGTGATTTATAAAGCTTTTCAAGTTGCTTTAGGTTGATTTCTTCATGAAGGCTTTGCGATTGATCATGTTGTAAAGCTAAGATCAGCCATTGATGGATGGCTTGAGGTTCATGGAGGTTGCTCTATACCTGGTACCTGGTAAAAGCTTACTTGATATTTTGTGTAGGGGGAGGGGTGTTGCTACAGATCGAGGTGGCTTCAATCGATTAGCTGCCAACATCAAGCCTTGGGAAGGCACTTGAAGAAGAAATTTAGGAAACATTCAGTATGAAAGTGACCCAAATCTCTTGAGAGTTTAGAGGGGCGTAATTAACCCCTCAAATGATATGAACTCATGACCTTCCGAGTCTCATCAGATGATTATATCTAAGTACGATTTTAGTTTTCTACAGAAGATGTATACCTGTATACCTGAGTATACCTGAATGAAGAATAAGTTTCCTGATTTGTAATTTAATCATTCTATTTTCCCTCTTACAGGATGCAACTGGAGCTCCAGGTATATCTTTACCACCATGCGTTATAAGTACCACAAGTAAGTCCATCTACAATTCTATGTATTAATTTCAAAAGAATATATACATGATATCTTATCAATTTCAAACAAAACGTAACTAGAGAAGAAAAAGGAAGAACTCACAATAAATTGACAAAAAATGAAAACTTTGATGAAAACTCAAAAACTTGGAGATGAATATTTTAGGTGCCATATTTGTCATTGGCAAGAGCAAAAAAGTTGCTGGCATGCCAAAATCTTGGATCAGCAAAGTACTTGATTAAAATGCTCCCATTGTGTAAAGTCTGTACAGTGCTTAGTACAAAGTTACCTGTTAAATTGTTGATTTTTTTGTTTTAAATCATATCAGGTAAAAGCAAACATTTGACAGAGTTTGTCAACAGATCCTTTGGGAAAATGGAGGAAAGGATCCATTTGTGTTGTGTATTTAAAGTTTATAATTTTTGGTATGTGTCTTAAATTATTTCTCTTATCTCCTCGCACATATTGCGTATGCTTTTCCCCTGCCACTAATCGCTCTATACCTGCCAGCTCTCTCTCTCTCTCTCGTTCTCTCTCTTTTCTCTCTCTCTCTCTCTCTCTCTGTTTCTTTATCTCTCCTTTCTTTCTTTATATCCCTGATCATATTTTTTTTTCTTTCACACTAACTTTTTAATGCAGAGTTTATACCTTGAATAGGATATCTTTGTTTTTACATCATGGACAATGTTTGAAGGATGCTTTGAGGCCTTCGATACCTTTTTTTTTTTTACTTTGTTTTGATACCAAAATGTAAAGGTGGGGAAATACCTTGGATCCATATCCTATTGAGGAGAGGTAAAACATAAAGTTAAGCTTCTTTTATCCTGGTAGCAACTCAATCTCTTACCTGCAAAAAAATGAGATAGAGGACGAGGAATAAAGTGTAATTGCAAGCTTAGGGGTCAAGTGCCAAAAAAAAAGAAAACATATGAAAATAAATGATGTCAATCATCCAAAGAAAACACAATATGGGAACAAACTAACTTTAAATGTCAAAAATGTTCGGACTCTTGATTCAAAACTTGTCTTAAGACACATTTATTCAATGATTAAGAATTTCTGTTCACATTGATGTATATTTCATATGTATTGTAATTTGTAGGTTCATTTGCAATTTTTTTATTTTAGTGATTTGTAATTGTTTATCATTGTATTTTATTTGTTATATCGTTAAGAGACTTCGATGGTAGGCACTTTAAAAGCAGCCTTTTTATTATTATTATTTAAATCCATCTCAAACATATAACTATTATCAAATGAACATTTATCTTTGTTTTGTTTTGTTTTCTTCTTTTCTTTTGGTTAAAGAAAAAATTAATGGTGGCATAGAGTGAGTCCAACCAGTGAGGGGGCACTGCCACAATAATTGTGTAGGGGGGAGACGCTGATCTTATTGGGGGAAATTAAATATGAGGCTAGAGGAGATCCAGGCTTATTCTTTCTTGTCAATTTCCTTTCTCAATTTCCTCATTTTTTCTTCTTTATTATTTGATTGAGGCATTCGCTTCCCTGTACCTACAGCTCTGTTAATTGATGAAATATTTTATATATTTGTTTAACTTCGATTAGGTAGTTGTGAAACCGATGGCACTGTACCTGTCAATCAGGCACCTGGTCCTCCCCTCCAGGTTGGCTTAGACTCCTATTCCTCCTCCTACATAGCAACAGATGGGAAGATTTATCTTGATCTGGTCCCTCGCTGGAAGGCTTCGACAGGTAAATGATACAGTGCACTGTCCACTTGCAGATTTAAGGGGCATGACCAGCGCTCACCTTGAAACCGAAGTGGCTTAGTTTCAGTACCCAAGTCCAAATTTTAGGTGATGAAATTGTCCTCTTCAGCAAATTTTAGGATATTTGCCCCCTTCTACCCAACTAAAAAAAAGCCTATGCTAGTGACGTAATGGAGTATGCATGTACACAGATATACACAATTTCAGCCCATTTGAAAGTTATTTGAATTATGTAAACAAAAAAATCCATTAAAAATAGACATGGCAGAGAGAAGGGTCGAACCCTCTTTATATACAATTTGGAAACTAAAGCTTTTTCCCCCATGAAATACGGTATGATATCTGATGATAATACTAATCAAGCCTTAAACCATACCAATGGAATGTACCAATGTTGTTTGAATATAATGGATGTATCTTAATCAGAAAACTCATGGCTGTTATTATTTTGTCCAGATCGCATCAACTATTTGACTGGATATGAAGTTAAAGTCATGTGTCACCAAAGTATTTGTGCAACGCAATACTTCTGTGTCACAATATTATTCAACAGAACATTGACGGTTAGTGATGCTCAGGTAGGTCGCATTTACTTTTTTACGCTATTAAAAAAAGTGATTTAATAGCCATTAGACTATGCATGTATTGTTTTACTAGATAGAGGTTATCAAATTTAAGAAAATATATTTGAAAAACAATCCATATGATTGTGTTATCTAATGGAAATTGAAAGCGAGACTCTTAACATTTTGGAAATCTTTCAAATGGAAATTCTCAAACAAAAAGAAATTTGAAATTTAAGATTTTTTTTGTTTTAAAAATGCCTTGTATAGGTAATAATAATTATATTGACAGGGCTTTTTTCGGGGTACATCAGAACTACCGACCGCGCTAAGACTATATTGCCCTCGTCAATATGATCTTAGCTTGGTCAATATTTCTGATGTACCCCTCAAAGCCCAGTCAATATAATATGAATATGTTTATATAAGCTTCCACATACTTGGATTGCTTTTGATGTGCTCTAGTCCTGCAATAACGTAACACATGGATGATATGAGACTACCCAAGTATTAATCTACAATTTATTTAGGTCTAAAGGGTACCATCAGTCACCTAATATGTAAATTGTATGCTCCTTGTATACATGTATGTTTAAAATCATCCATCCCCTCCACAACAAAAGGAGAAATAAATGAAAATTGAGTTAAATTCAGTTACTCAGTATTCTATATAGCTTAACATTTACAGAAGTATGGAGAATTACAGATAATGTAAAGCCACGTGCTCATAATTTGGACTATATACCAGCATTTAGAGTAAATTATCTTTTTGTGACCTTAACTATGCAATTTTTCTTGTTTATTTTCAGTCCAATTTCTCAGTGACATGCCAGTATGGGGATTTTGCACAGCCTGACATGGATTACATCACCATTATCCGCAGCCTACCAAACAATGATGATAATTCAAATGAAGGAAGATTTCTTACAAAACTCCCAAGTAAGTGCCAGTAAAAATATAGAATGGAAGAAGTGACCAAATCTATTTTGATAAAGCTTTTACAGAACTGTAGAAAACTTGTAAAGAGCTCTTATTAAAAGAGGGAATATATATTTAATCAGAGATACAGTGTACATGTAAATCGAATACAATAAAGCTCATGTGAACAAGAATCTATGTTACACTGCCTGGCATATGTTATTGTTTTTGGTATAGTTTTCATTATTTTCATATTCATCAACATGATGAGCAAACTCAAATGTTATACGAAGGGACAATGAAGCTACTTTTCTGTTGTACATATTTACCTTCTGATTTATTATATTTTGTGCAGGTTGTGGACAGGAATCAAATTTAACTGTATGCAACATTGGTAAGTTACTTTGATATACATGTGTCACTTTTGACCAAATTGTATGTTTCATGTCAGCTATTCTTTCTAATCTTTAGACAATACGTTTCATATGCATGAAGGAGCAAATCCAGAGAGGTTCAGGATTTCCCAACACATCCAAATGGATCACCTTTGCCCATTCAAATTGGCAACAATTTCCAGTTCACTCTTCATTCTGTAGGAGCAAATGGAAATGTGTGTTGATTGAACCTATGCAAATAGATATTACAAAAGACAATAAAAATGCCAATTGTAGATGGAAACAATGGTTACGATTTCCACCAATGTTGCCAATTTTTCTATTTAATTTTCAATTACATATATTTGTAAATAGTACAATGTACTGCAACAAAGATGAATCCCATATTTCCTGTGATTTTTGCTCGTGCTAAAAATACATAGATTATGTGCAATAATTAGCATTTTTGGATCAAAAGATAATGCAAACAAATCACTTAAAGGCGACACTGTCCTGCTCTGGGTTATGTTTTATAAGTGAAATGTAAATACTATATATTATGATGGAGAAAGTGAATTGTAGCTCAAGTTTTCAGGGTTACACAATGTAATTCTTTCAAAGGAATAAAAGCCGTGAATAAGCTAGCTGATGTGTGTTGCTAAGAGCTCTTGGTTCTCAATGTATTCTCTGATCGTCTTCAGGAAAATAGTTGAAATGTTGAATACCAAGGGCTCTACATTATAAGCAAAACCCATCCCTATTCATGGCTCATATTCCTATAAAGGACTTACACAGTGTAACTTTGTAAACCTCACCTATGATTCTGCTGTAGGTTATTAGATCACTTGTGTCATGTTGAAAATGAATTTGTTTGCTATGTAGAATCACCTGACAATTGGAGACCATATTCTCGGCCAACCCTTACTCAAATTGCCAATGGTTCCGTGCAGGTGACTTTTTGGCCTAGCGATAAATATACAGTCTATGAAGTCTTGCTTCAGAAACAAGAAGGCAACTACGAGCACTATCAGGTGACCTACAGGTTCAATCCCATGCTGAATTTGGTGAGTTAATGAGCTGCTAGCTCATTTTTAAGAATATAACTGAAGTTTGCGTAACTTCTTTTTAACTTTTCTTGCCCCTAAAGTCTGGAACACCTGACAGGCCTCCACCGTGGATTCATTCAATAAACTTCTTAATACTTTATATTTTTAGTCAATGGCATCAGTATTTGGCGTTACAAAAACTGATGTTGAATTGCCCTTTGCGACCGACCAAAAAATCTTAAAATCTACGGTCGGCTTTTTAATAAAAATCAAAGAATTTAAAAATATGTATTTTATTTGTTTAAATGGGATATAAATGCATAACATCTTCAAATTATTCCCAAATTCTCACTCAAATCCTGCTAGCGGGAAACAAGTAGACATAGCCTCGTACTAGTCTATACCATGCACTGTACCAGCTAGAAACCAGCGAGATTTGGGCAATGTTCCCGGGTTTTTTTTTTTTTTTTTTTTTTTTTGGGGGGGGGGGGTGTGGGGCGACGGTGGATGTTTTGAGGGGGGGGAGTATTTAAAAAAAAAAGATATCCCACCGACCGACACAGGTTCTGGCACCTATAAAGAGCAATGTAATTTTTTTGTTAGGCCTTAATAGTAGACAGTGGTAAACAGTAGAAGAAGTAGTAGTAGTAGTAGTAGTAGTAGTAGTAGTAGTAGTAGAAGTAGTAATGTTAGTATGAATAGTAGAAGTAGTAGCAGTAGTAGTAGTAGCTTGTAAAGGTAGTAGTAGAAGTAAAAGTAGTAGTAGTGAAATTGTTGCATGTTCTTGTTTGTTCTGTTTCTTTTTCTCTCTCATTCCTGATATCTTCTTATGCACTTTAAAAGAAATATGGTATATCTCCAATTTATATTAGATTCATCATTTTGTCTTCATGATACAATGTAGGTTTTTCATAACCTTTCTGTAATTATTTCATTCAGGAAAATGCACCTCCTATTGTGCTCTTCAACAACGTGCAAGAGGGAACTTATAGAGCACATGTAAGTTTTGAAAGTAACATTGTAAAACAATCATGATCAAGTGATCTAATAGTGTGTGTAATTTTAAACATGCTTTTTATCAAATTGTTACCCTCCAATTACATGAAAATATGTTTATCATTTCAGAAGCGTTAATTTACTAGTCTTGACTTACAATTTATTTTTTAATTTCTTGTTATATGTCCATGATATTCCTAACTTTATAAATATCTTTCTCTTTTCTCTATTTGCCCTTTAAGAAATATCTTAAAGATCATCATCAGTTCTTGATAACCGAAGATTGCACGATTGTGATCAGACTTTAAAAGTAACTGTTGCAATATATTGTTTTTATCCATATACTTATATTCATGGTTTATTAATATTCAAAACAACTTAACCACTTTTATGAATTCTTCTTTTAAATAAATTGCACCTCAGGTATGGATTAGTGAAACACAGTGTGATGGATGTATCCCTTTATGGATTGACTCCGATAATGAAATCGCTGTTAAAGGTGAGTTCTAAATTCTATTTATCTTCAAATCCCCATTCATGCTACGTTCAATCGAGATAACACATCCTCCTCTCTTATGCTACTTAAAATAAAAGGAACAGCCTGGCAGCAAATGAAGTGTACGCTGACAGTACAAAAAACTTCCAGGGATTACTCCTGAGGCATGTTATTCCTTTATTCCATTTAAAGCTCATATGTCTCCCTCACACCGCTTGCAATCTTTAGTTCATCTATGTGATAGGCTACATAGCCCTTTGAAGTAATGCTACGGTCACAAAGGTTCGTACGAACGATAATTTCGTACGAATCTCCCTGTTTTTCCATTGTGTTCCCGAATTTCCATTGTCTGAAAATCGTTCGTACGGCGTTCGTAGCCGTTCGTAATGGCATTTGTGACCGAGGCTATAGGTAGAAGAAGAAGATTATTGAAGATCTTCACTATTTGAAATTTCATTTCCATATAATTATAGGGTTTTATACAAAATCCTCCTGGTTCCCGCACACAATGGGATAATTTCGTTGTATGATTACCGGGTATTCATCTTTTTTTTGCAGCTATGCCTACCCCTGCCTCATCTACGACCCATCCTTCATCATTGACGACCCCCTCTGACACAACCACATCCCCTACAGCCACGCCTACACCCTCTTCACATCTACGTACCTCAGTCACCCCGGAAGCCAGTCTTCCATTGGCAACACTCTCTGGAGCTCTGGGTGGAGTCCTAGGCCTATTGCTGATGGTCCTGATCTTGTTTTTTATCTTCCGTTCCTACATGAGGAGCCGCGCCCACTCGCCTGGTCCCCCCAAGGAGACGAGGCATGGAGGTGACCCGACACAATCATCCATGTCTCATCACAAGAACATTCCTTATAGTAAGACCGGTTGCTTTCATAACATAGGGGAATCATGGTATAAAAATAATGTTATGATAATAATAACGATGATAATAATGACAATGATAATACTAATATTACTCATAGTACTTATGACAACAATATATATAGTAAAAATGATTATGATGGAGATAATGATAATAGTAACGATATAGAAAATAATGTTGATAATAATCATAATTATAACAAAAAAATAATAAAAGTATGTCCCAATGACAGGTCCCAATTCTTGATATTGATATTTCTGTGTTCTTTAGCTTTGATATAACAGGGTTTCATTATAGCTATTATACTTATGTTATAAGTAAAATTATTAGAACCCAGCTTTATGATTTTTAGACTGAAGCTGAAGAAATTAAAATCATATTATTTTTGGAGCTAACGCGTTTACAGTTTATTACAATTGCTTTGTTATTTAGTGTGTGCTTCTATCAATTAAAAAAATGTTTTAACGTTCTTGTTGAACTGAATCTGCAATGTCATGATTTGTGTTGCAGAAAATCCATAACATTTATTGATATCGGCTTCATTGATAATTTTCAATGATTTCCTTCAAAAGACAACTTTAGTGTCACAATATTTTCTTGCAGATGACTGTGATTCTCTGAATGGCACCCAGTACATCAATCACTTCACTCTGTCGAATGGAACCACCATCTACTCAGACGACCCCACCTGCAGATTCACCAATCCCTCCATGGTACCAGCAACTATTCACCATGACAATATGATCAATGGAAGACTGAATTTGCAGGAGAGTCAGTTTTATGCCGATTCTATGCCTTACAAAGAAATGGATAGCATCAGTAAAGTTGTGGATATCCATTCCCCCGTGGACGTCCAAACATCCTCTAAATGTGAGCAACCGTCATCGCCCGACTCTGGTTTAGAGTCACTGTACTCAGATGGAACAATGGAGGATGGTAGAACACTGTTCTCTTTAGCTTTAACTTCTCTGGGGGATGAAGTATAGTATAATCTCAATGCATATTCTCTATTGTTTTTTATCATTTAATGAGGAATAGAACATCTTATAATAAAAATTCAAGATATTTCATGCTCCTTAAAAATTGATCACTCTTGTGAATGAATTAGCAATAAGATAATGCGCGAAGTTGGGTTGCATCAAAAGATAAACGACTTTCCTATATTATTTTCACTCTCATTGGAGAGGAGTGCATTAGTAGTGCACGTTATCTACAAATTGTGTTTTTCATAATAAAGTGGTCTACAGTATTATTATATAGACCTTAAGATTACCTATATACAAATCATTTGTGTACAGCTTTAATGTATAAAGTCAAACTTTAAAAAAATAGCTCGCATTCTATGGGTTAAAAGATAAAGAGTATGAAGAAAAATAAAGAATAACATAAACCGCGTCCGAAGTTCAACTTAAGTTCTGTGCGGGTGCTTTTTTATGCAACCTTGTACTGGAGCAAGTTTCTTTCATGCTATTTAAAAAAAAAATGAAACTCACTCCATATCTTTTTGAAAAGTAATATTTGGAGGTCTTATCTTGATTAAAGTATAGCGACATGGAACCCTCGCATACAATGCAAAGTACGTTGGGGTTATTTGCAACCTTTAAGTTGGCTGCAAACCATGATTAGGATCGCACAGTCACGGAGGATCTTAATTTCAAAGAAAGTTTGCCAATTTTGAATATGTCAAGCCAAATAAAATAATGTGTCCTAGAATCCTATAAACTATTTCCTCTGACATATCTAGTATACATTACAACCTGTTTGTTTAAGATATTTTTAGTGAGATTGTAAATATTGATTTTTTTTTAATGAATGTAATATTTAGCTTTTTTAGAAGCAAGTAGAGAACAAGTGAAGTTGAAGTAGTCAATACGTTTGGATGTTAGGAAAGAGCACCACCCTGTCATGTGTTATCGTTGGGCAATTTAATTCCCTTGCCAACATTTTATAATGTTTTTCAAAATGAAATAACATGAGGCATATTTTTTTTTAGAAAGTAAGAGTGTGTCGATATAGATGATACCTGCACTCCCTTTGAAGTATATTCAGAATATTTCAATATGATATCTATTTATTCCAGATTGTGTTCTAGCCCTTTTTGACTTTCATTAACTTCGTTTCTCATGACATCTGTTTTGGAGCCAGAAGGAAATATTGATGTCATATACTTTGATACAATGTTAATGCCTTCCTGGCTCTGAACAGATTACATTAAGGGGCTTTGTGCCTTTAAGTAGATATATGTTCATAATATGTATCTGAATATGGAATTACGTTTTCACCCACAAGGGCTTGTGTAGTCATACTGTACCTCTAGGTAAAAAGTAGATACATAATATGTTTTCCTCTAATTACCAAAATGGCAGTCACTCCCAGTCGGACATTCAAACATGATGGGTTTGAACAGTATTTGGGTGATTAGGACATTTAATGAATCATAGAGAATTCACTATAAGAAATGTGATTTGAGAACACGCTCTACAATGTGGATATCATGTACAATCTTGATATAGTTTATTGACTAAGGCTGCATTGGTGTTGACCACTATTTTTAGTACTAGAAAAGTGTATGACATTTTAAAATTCATATAGACGTACGGTGCTAATGAGGTCCTCTGAAAGTGTGTTTTAAACTGTGTTATGCCTCGTTCAGATATTGTCGCTGTAAACCATGATGCTTTGTTTTTCATAATGATGGAAGTGTAACATGCTTGGCAATACTGTATCTTATAACACAGAGCTTTAGTAAATACGCACAGGACCTTTGTTGCACTCAGTTGCCATTTGTGTTCAGTATAAAAAAAACTGTTACGGTTTAATGCTTCATATCTAAACGTGCCTTTCAGGTGAATGAGGGATCTTGGTTTGGCGATATGAGGATGTGGGGGTGGAAGTGTGTGGGAGTGCATGTGGTGTGTGAGTGAGTGTGTATGGATGTGCGTGTGTGTGTGTGTGATTTGATTGTTTTTTTTACAAACGTGTATCAATTAGATATGATTATTTACTGTTGGATTACAGGCGCACGCCACAACGCCTAGTGGCGTTATTATAGCCTCGTTTTAATAGTCATTTAATCATTTTATTCATTTTTTAAAATATAGATTATTTCTATTATTCTGTCGCTCCAATTTTGGGTATTATGGGGGGGGGGGGGGGCTAGGAACAGTTTGTGGTACGTGTGTGGTAATGTGTTTGTGTGTGTGTTTGTGTGTGTCGTGTCGTGTGTCGCACGGGTGGGGGGCAGTAGTGTGTTTGGTTGGATGGGGTTATTTGTTTTATGTTACAACTGATTTCATTTGTGTTTATCAATCGTAGAATCTATGTATTGAAAATGCATTAAATCATATCAGGATGAAAAACAACTGTATTTTTAAGAATGATTAGTATTGTTTTGGAATCAATAAACAAATCTATTGAAAAATAATGTGTATGAGGATGTGTGGGTGTGTTTGAGAGGGTAAGGGGCTCAATGGTTTAGGATCTTCATCAAACAAGGTCCATATCATGATGTAATGTAATATCAACAATATAGACATTGATGTGTTTACACACATACTACACAAATAGACGGTTCATTGCGAATTGAGAGATTCCTATCTGTCAAAATGGTAGTAAGAGCGCCATCTGGTGCAGACATCTCTTCCACATTGATACTGTTCCAAGATCCATGATCAGCTTCCAAATATGATATATTCTTTTTTTTCTTTTTTGTTTCTACTACTTCGTATGTTGATATAGTTGCTAAGTCAGTCCAAAGTTATGAAATATTTTCATCCTGGCTTGCCAGCATACCCATGCAATATTTTTGTTCATCAATATAATTGTTTTTGTTTTTTATTAATTTAAATTGGGAAGTTTATTGCTTTTATTGTTTAATACACGCATTTGCATCAAGAAGATGTTTTTTTAGTTAAAGAAGATTTATGATACGTTAACAACATTTTCTCATTTTTATATAAAATTGCAATAAGGAACATTCTTAATACTACCGTGATGCATACAAAATATGCATAAAAGGTTATTCCAAAGTGAAAGAAGATGTATAATAATACATTAACAACATGTGAGATAATACATTGTGTGTACCAAAAGTTGTGTAACCTTAAATATAATTTATGAGATTCATGTGTCAATCCCGGGTCAATCCATAGTGTGACATTTTCAACCCTAGTTCCAACACGATACCAAAGCCCAAAGTAAAACACTGCTCAACACTAAATTAACTCCCTAAGCGATCTAGAAAGGAATTTTTAGGAAAACCCACTACAAGCTGCACCCATTACAAATAATGGACACTAGCTTTGCGTGAAATGACGAGCCGCTGAAAGTAGGAAGAAGAAATGTGAATGTATATAAAATGATAACATATTGTGAGAGGTAGATCTATAGAGGACGACATTGTGGAAAGATTAAAAGGATGCTTAAGGTTCTGGAGTGTTGGGAATAAGTATATTTTCTGGCATGCATATCATATAGGCCTACATTAAAAAAAATTAGATAGTCTGACTTTTTTATATAATTGCTTTGGCCTTTACTTCAAACCTTCAGCATGACAAACGCCCTCGAAATGTCACGGGCAAAAGGAGAGACTTTTATCTGCAAATGAAAAACGTCGCGGATAACTCGAAACGGGGAAGGGGGAAGTAGCAGCATTAGGATGTCATAATATTTTGCGAAATCTACAACAACAACTAAAACGTTTAACCTAAATCATATTTACTTACTTATCTTTCATGATAATAAAATAGCATACCAAATAAGAGTATACGCCTAGCAGCATTGCGGTTACCATTTGGGGGCTCACTTCTTATATGTGTATGTCTCTCCGACATTCTTTGAGAGAATATTCATTTTATACGACTCGGTGGTTTCGGTTTCTTTCTTTTAAAGAGATCCTTTATCATCAACGTAATGTGATTTCTAATTTGGGGGGCTTCCCCTACTTTTTTTCATAGATTGGTCGGGTTTGACTAGAAAAATTCGGGCAGATGTTAAATTCAGAATATGTGGTTCAAGAATTCTCGTTCTCTTTCCCAACAAGAAATTTATAATAGTTTTGTAAGCCAGGAATATTTAGACTTACCTCTGCAATCCACCTCTTTCTCTTTTTTGAATTAACACAGGTCAAAAAGAAGGAAAGAAGAAAAGAATTGAGGGAGAAAAAGAAAAGAGGAGGAAGAGACTTTTTTTAAAACTATAAAAACACGATGATGCATCAGAATTTAAAAGTAGCACCAAACTGCAAAACGACAGGGGTCTACATTCGGAGCTATTACAGTTTTTTTTTAAATACAAAATAATGTACACGTATAACTAACAAATGATCCTGTTCAGATTAAAGAGGGATATTCTTTTCATAATATACGGCATTCGAGGTTTTATAATTTGTCAAAGTCGTAAATTATAGGTGGATTTCTCTTTGGTATGTGTTGGTGGTCTAAGCTAAGATCACTGAAAATCTTCCCTAAATTCAAAGCCTGTGATGTTCACTGTTATACATTCCAAAGGATACATATATTTAACTTGTATCTGTGTTTTTTCAGTTTGAAAGAATACGCTTACACACGTTGCAGCTAGTTCTGTATGTATATACATGAAATGCTTTATCAGTGCTGTCTATTGACGCTATGGTCCTTTTGAATAATATTCATTCCAGAATAATACTTGTCAGTCCACCTTCCTGTAATTCGGAAATGAACATCCTGTTAACGTAACCACACTCCTTTCCCGACCAACTCTCGTAATTAAAGCCCCTCTAAAGTTTTGAAATAGTTGATCTTTTCAGATTAATAACCACGAGGTTGTGTAGAAGGTTGATTATGCTCATAGGTTGAAGAGGCAGAATTCAAAACAAGGCCTATGTTATGTGAATTTCAATAACTACGCAGTATTTATACAAAGATTTTAGATGGGTTTTGTTTTTCAAATGTAAAATATAATCAACAAAAGTGAGAGCAAAACAAATCATTGACATGATTAAAGGAAAGGGAATAAGGAAACAATAAATGAATCATTTTAACAGAATGACATTAATGTACATTATGAGCCACATTATTGATATCTAACAGATTCCTTTTCGGACTTGAAAGCAGAAGATATACTTTTTGGGCGGAAATATGCACTGACGTACAAGGAAGTGAAATTATGCCAAACGCATTCAGGGAATAGATCACTTCTTTCTCTGTTATTGTTTATTGCATGATAAGTTGTAAGTGTTGTTACTTTATTTACTTTTATGAATATATCTTTAATTAAGAACGATAAAGACTTTAACATTATAAACATTGGCAACATCATTTTTGTATAACAGAAATTTATTACAGTTTATTTCAGAACATAGTTTACATGCACTGCATGAAAGTGTTCAAAATTTTAAACGAAACATATATAAATACATAGCTGAAACACCGACTGTTGGACATGCAAGACAAAAAGTATAAAAAAAAATTTGAGTCATTTTACAAGAGGTATTGTTTCACAGTTTACATAAAAAAATCGTTCACATAAAAGCAGAGTGGGGAGAATGCGTAATATGACTACCACATTTGTACATTGCACTTTTACATAAAACATTTCATTTTAGATCCCTATTTCGATTCCTAGTGAATCAATGTTGATTAAATTAAATATCTTGATCCAATATGTGATCAGCATAATAAATTGGCAAGAAAGTCAAAACGTAAAAACAACAAAACGGAAAATTTCTTCAACAAGTACCCAATGATACAGAACACGGATTAAGAGCAAAAAGGATTTATTCAATAATGCTTGCTTGGATATCAGCAAATCATTAAAAAATAGTAATCTTGTAATTACCTCAGTGTCTCCCCCCTTTGTTCGCCAAACATACATCACCAACTAAGAAATGATGGATATCCTTTAATCACACTCACTGCAAGCATGTTGCATGAATCTTAAGCAAAAAATGAAATCAAATGAAATGACTACAGAAATTAGAAATGAAATGATACTATTAGGATACACATTTCCAAATTCAATAACTTTAGCTTTCACTTTATATGCAGCATCTAGTTTTGCATAAATCATTGAATAATGAAGACGAGATTAATCCTTAATTTATCGATAATGTGTTTTCTAAATAATTGTGACAAGATTCACAAGTAATCAAGTAGTCATATTTAATCATTCTATATTCTTAATTATTTTGTTGTTGTCAACTTCAGCTTTATATCGTAAGATTTTATTTAAATACTGTCCCTTTTAATGTGATTTTTCTCTTGTTACCTATATAAATAATATTAGTCGTTTTTTAAGTTTGTGTTTATGAATTCAACTTGAACGACTTTAGAGACACTATGATTGGTTACAAGTTAGCACCATGAGCCACACAATGAACCAGAGACAGGGGAACGATTATTTTACAATACAAATATAAAAAACGTATCTTACCAGAAAACACAAAGCATTCAGAAATCATGATATACAAACATTTCCATTTGAAATACACAAATTGAATATATATTACACATTTATCACTCTCCTACGCTTATTCCTGAGTAGTATCAATAGAAATTCCTATATTTATTTGTTATTACACATTAACTCATAAGCTTATCTATCAATACAAATACTCTCTGTTTCGTTTCACTGTCAATAGTGCATTTTATGACACATGATCAATATAGTTCATATTAACAAGGGAAATTATATCGTTGCTATATCCCGTTACTGTAATTATATTTATACTTATCTAACGTTTTAAAGGTAGTGCGAGAAGTTCAGAAGCACCACTTGCAAGAGATTAAATAAGTAGTCCAATATCTACAAGATGAAGGCAGAAATATGCCAATTTCTCTGCTGTGAATTTTGTTATTAGTCGTCACTTTAACAAGTAAACTTCAAATATGTTCACGAACATTTTCATTACAAATTAAAAAAAACACGATAATGCCCTTTGGAAAAACTCGTCCACTTTTACATCAATTTTACTGATCTACAATGATGAGAGTCTGATGTTGTCCTTTAAAATCTTTCACTACAATAACCCTGCATAGAAAAAGTGGTCATTGTTGCAGAAATGCTCATAAACGCTCATAAACATAAAGTAATTAAAGGTCAGCTATGGTTGAAATATTTACATATATTTTCCAGAATGCACATACTCCACAACACAATCTAAACAATGAAAGAAAACATATTGATATTCAGCAAGATATGCCAATTCAATAATATCAACAATTAACATTAAATACCGTCAATCTTTCTTGAATGCCAGTTGTTTCTCAAGCCATCCTCCAGTAAATGGGGGAAATCCATAGTCTTTAGGAACTGACAAATTCCTACAATAATCTTATTGGATTGCAAGTATTTAGAAGTCTACTGGTTGAAACAGACACAATTGGAAGGCACCTGGAGAAATAGGTCATTTCCCACGTACATCAATAGGAGTAAGGCGTTACGTTGGTACACCATATAACAATTCTTATATACCTTAATTATTCAAAGCAAAGCTAATGAAAACAATGTTGGTCCATCTTCTATGGTGCCTTCAGAGTAGATTGAGTCTACTCCAGAGTCCGGTGGCTCCATTAAAGGAAGGCTACTTTTGAAGGATGTTTGGTGGTCCATGGAAGAATGCACACCAACTGCTACCTTACTGATGCTCACCCTTTTCTGGTATCCAATGGTGTTGAGGTAAAACTTACTATCCTGCGCGAGTCTCCCGTGTGTCTATTTCCAACCACCGGAATTACAACCAAACCTATACCTCCTCACCAAGATTAGTCAAAGCTAACGAGAACAACGTTTGTCCATCTTCCGTGGTGCCTTCAGAATAGATGGAGTCTACTCCAGAGTCCGGTGGCTCCATCGAAGGAAGGCCACTTTTAATTGATGTTTGGATTTCCATTGAAGAATGTACATCTACTGCTACCTTACTGATGCTATCTCCTCTCTGGTATCCAATGGTGTTGGCGTAGAACTCACTCTCCTGTGCAAGTCTCCCATTGGTCTGTTTCCATTCATTATGGATGATGGGAGGGATCATGGAGGGGTTCGAGATGCCAAAGAGATTGTTGTCGTAGTCGCTGTTGCTAGACCACGGTGGCGGCCACTGGTTGATGTAGCCTGTCCCAGTTATTGAATCGCAGTCATCTGCAAAAATAGGAATTTAATAAGCTCATATCAATAGGAAATTAAGTTGTCCATAGAAGAGAAGATATTGAACAGAATAAACTTAAGAAATCAATCTTAAGTGAGCAGAAAATACCTCATATTGTAACCTAAAGTAACAAAATCATATTTGGCGTGAGAAAGATATCAATAACGTAAACTAATATTGGAGTAAATATCGATGTGCTCTAAAAATATCTTAATTATGTACTTTATAGATATTGCTAAGCATTGAAGAAACCATGGTAAAGCAATTGAAGCAGTAAGCTACCTAGACTAAATTGTGTTTCGTAAACATTATCACGTTTAAACTTTGCAATGAAAAAGTATGGCGAGTTATTGGAAAGATTAAGGGAATGAATATCAGAGAAGTTATTGATAAATTACCTATCACGTGCTTATTATGACACTTATTGTATGGAGACTACGAAAGAGAATTGGTTTTACCAGTCTTTAGGAAGAAGAAAAAAGTGGGATCAGTACAGAAATAAGTTCTAACATGGGGTCAGATAATGTGATATGGTAAATGGTCTTACCGTATGGCACGTTATTCCGATGAAGCATGGGCGACCTTCCCAAATGATCTCCTCCAATCTCTTTCTCATCACCACTCTTTTTGGAAGGAGGTAAAGAGTTCCTTTTACGCGTGCGGGCTATGAGGAATATGATGAGAATAACCCCAAGGATCCCTCCCAGGGCTCCTGCCAGCGCAGCCAAAGGGAGCGGGGATGCTGATTTATTTGAGACCTTCTCAGGGTCTCTAGGACGGGTGGTGGTTCGGGGTGAAGTAGGTGTTGTTGATTGGGTGGGAGTGGGCATAGCTGCAAACATGAGAATAATTAAACAAACAATATTATGATAAATAGGTACAATTATCATTTGGCAACGTACCCATCACATGGGATGATTAAGATTCCTACAAAGTACGCTTATTACCATGGCCTTAGCCCCGCTAACCTAAGACGCTCAGAGCATTCAGGGAATTACTTCCTACTAGATTTTCCATTTACTACACCTGGGTGGAGAGTGGAACATTTAGATTAATGTCTAAAGTGACCCACAGTCAAGTGAAGTATCCATTAGACCACGACACCACTTTAAAAGTTGAAAATAAAGGCTGGGGGTATTCAAACTCTTAATACAATAAACAAACAAAAAAAGTGAAAAACAATGATAACTCTAAGATAAAACTTACCAAGAGCAGTAATGTTATTGCTCGATTTGAAAATCGGGCAATCTGGACAAATGCTCTCATCAATACATACCTAGGAAATGACAAATTCAAAAGTTTCATTTAAAATACTAAATGTCCCTTCAAAGAGACAGTGGATGCATAAGGTGATCTTTATCTCTGTTCAAAAACTCAATTTCATTAAAAAAATATGTTTGGAAGCAAGGAAACAAAAGATAGAATGATAATAACAGAGATTGGAGCCCCAATATAACACATATAAAACATTGTGGTCAACAATTATCAAACGAAGAAGTTATTTACATTGAAGTGCTTATCATGGAATCAATATGATATTTTAAATAATTCAATTGCTATGACGAAGTTCCAATTCTGTAAAAAGAAACTCAGGAAACTCGAGCCACAATAAAAAAACTTTCAACCCGAAGAAGAAATTGTACATATATATTTTTTAAATGTAAACAATTGTACTTACATATGCTATATAAATTCCTTTGGGAACGTTGTTAAAATACACATACGGGTTACCATCTCTTTGCTGTAAAAATAATCATAAAAAGGTCATGATGAATAAACTAACTACCGGCAAGTAATAACGTAAACTGAAGGAACATGAAGGTAAAAGACGCCATTGAGAAAATTTCAAAGAAAATTCAATTTACCACGGAAGTTGGTTAAGGCCCGGGGGAGATACTCATATATTAAGACATACGGGGTGTGCCGCTCTAAGGCCTAACAAAGACAAATGTTGTATTACCCTTTGCGACCGACCCCAAAATCTTGAAATCCGATCTACGGTCGGCTTTTTAAATCAATTTTTGTTTTACCGTTTAAAAAAAAAAAGATTTCCGACCGACCGACCCATGTTTTGGCACCTAAAATGTAATTTTTTTTCCAGGCCTAATCGGTACCTTTCACAAAAAATTGCTAAACATGAGTCCCATTTTTAACAAAAATATCCCTAAATATGGGTCCGTTTTTTCGAAATTTTGAACATTTTGAAATATGGACTTTACTTGGAGAAAGATCCGCCAAAATAACCCTTAAAAATGGGTAGGAGTTTCGAGGCTTCAGCGGCACACCCCCGTCAAAACCAAATCTGAGTACCGCCCCCGGGGATTAAGGTTGAACTATATTTTATGTTAAGAATTAGATGAGCCATGCTAAACAAAAAATCTCAATGAAATATGCCATTTCCTTGTAGAATTTTTATTTTATAAGATTAACACGACAAAAATATGGACTATTCCAAATAATCTCACATTTTATTTTGAAAATCCATGTTTTTCATAGAAATTTTTATTATGAAGTTTGGTCGTGAGTCTATCAACAACAAAAAAAGTGAGAGAAAATGCATCATTATCCATTTTTTTGATAATGATGCAGCTTTTATGATTGTGATCTACATGTACATTCCACATTAGTTCACACTAAACATTAAAAGATTAAAGACTGGTTGAATATGATTGATAATTTCCTTAGCATGGATTTTAAACAAGACAAATACGATTGCATTTGATATACTCACTGAATCAAAGTGTGCTTCAAAGAAGATTGGCATTCTGCGTTCTTTAACGTTTACTACTTCCTCAAGCAAAACATGGTATCTAGGGTATGTCTTACTGGTACTCGGCCAAAACGAGACGACTACAGAACCATTGCTGATCTGACTAATAAATGGTTTATATTCTGGCACCCAGTCCTCAGGAGAGTCTACAAAGTAATGACGTACGAAGTAATGAGTTCACTTTCAATACAGTCCTTAAAGTGTATGATATGAGCTTCTTTAAAAGCAAAACGCCCATTTCATAAGAATGGGAAGCAGAATGAAAAATAATGTATTCATTGATAAACCGCCTGTAAAATAACATTTAAATACAATTATTGTTAAAGATCCTACCATGACACCTTCCATCATGACGTTTCAAAGTAATCTGGGTTTTAAAAAAGATCGATATACTTTCAAAACCAAGTGCTTACTTATCTTATTGCTGCAGACAATACAAAATATTTTTAGAATTTGTTTTATATTATTATTAATCCCCTCAACAACAACAAAAGTATATATGTATTCACCCAATTTCTGTGTAGCTGTTCAACCGATGCTAGCAAATTACAAATAATCTGGAAATATATATTAGCAAATTAATATGTATTCAACCGCTGTCACCAATTTGAATGTCTTTTTAGAAACCCTATATGCTATGTCAACTTATCCCTCTGCTACAAATTACAGTTAAAAACCATAAAAAAGAAAGAAAGAAACATATATGTGTTTTTCTAACTGCTATCACCAATTTAACATGTTTTAAAGAAATACATGTGTCTCTCAGTCCACCGCTGCCAAGCTACACACAACTTCAGTATGAACAAGATCTATTTGTATGTGTAATTATCAACCCTGCTACCAGAAAAATTAAAAACGTCAGCAAATCTAGGTGTAACTATCCCACCGCTGCCACCAAGTTAGTAACGACAGAGGAATTTCTCGAATAAATGCAAACAAACTTACCAATATGGCAAAGAGAAACCAGTGGTTTTTGTTTACAACCTGAGAACAAAAAAAGAAATTCTGAATTTGAGTATCCAAATTTGTTTAATTTTTAAAAATTATCAGTACGTATCGTTCAATGCAAAACAACTTACAAAATGGACAAATTTGAACAATCGCAACCCATCTATCCTCATAATTATGCACGAAATACACGAATATATGAATGCATGAATTACATAGCACGCAACATTATTATTTTACCATTGAGTAAATGGAACAACAAATGAGTGTGCTTACCATCTTTAATACGCATTACACACAAAACTAATTACGCTTGTTTTGTGACAAATCATATCAAGACATTTATTATTCCTTGAATAAAATGATTCAAGTTGCTACGAGAGGGTGCATTCACAAATTTACACCATGCCAGTGAGGTACATACTTGGAAGTGCTGCAATATGACTTGCTTTGTTTGAATCATCATTATTCTTTGGAAGGCTCCGGATAATGATGACGTAGTCCATGCTAGGCTGGGAAAAATTCCCATACTGACAGCTCACCGTAAAATTCGACTGTAAGAGAAAAAAAGGAGAACAAAATACACATACGTGTATATTAAAACAATCCCTCGTATCTTGTTTCAAATTTTCAATGAACAGTGATATCTAAATCTTTAATGTGCTCATGTGGTACAAATGGCAAGTCCTAAATCTTTTTCTTCCAACTGTGCTAAATTGTAATAGATCAAATATGTATGTTTTAATATACGGGTAGAATTGTCCTTTCACTCAAATTCAAATTTGCGTGAACATAAAATGAGAACATAAAATGCAAAGACTTACACGAGTGTCCTCAATGGTCAATGTTCTGTTGAATGAGACTGTGACACAGAAATATTGTGAAGCACAAACATTCCTGTTGCACATGACCTTAACTTCATATCCAGTCAAAAGGCTGATGCGATCTAGGAAAGAAGAAATTGGAAATATATGTCAAGTATTGAAAGGAATGTATTTTATGAAGCATGATATCGGATACTACTCTTGGTTTTGAAATTTAGACTAGTAACTACCGGCTGTAAGAATGACGTAAAGTCTAAAACGTTTCATATTTCTGTATCTTGTAATACATAGATCAGTGAATAGCGGCAAGTTCTTTGTTGCGCACGGATGCCACCAAACCAAATCGCGGCGGTTTACTGCGTCATTTCTGAACAACTCCTTTGTACTCAATATTTACCTCAAAAACGGTTTCTTAATTTCAAAATGTGTACTTGTATATATAAGTTGAATTCATCGATGTACACGTGCTTAACAAGAGGATAAGACACTCATTTGGCTTTTGTATAATTACTTCTAAATGTATTTCCCCTGACAGTGTGCTTCGGAATAGAAGTTCTAGATAGATGATTATGGTGCGATACAAATGCCTATTCTTCTTATCATTATTATTAGTAGTATTTATATTTAATTTAGTATCATCATCATCATCATCATCATCATTATCATAATAATAATAAACATCATCATTAGCATCATCCAGTTATTATCATTATCACCTTGTGATGCGCGCCACTGAGGAGACATCTCCAGGTAGACCTTTGCATCTGGTCCTACGACGGATGAAGAACCCATACCAACCTGGAGGGGACCCCCTGGTGCCTGGTTGACAGGTACGGTGTCCCGATTCCAGCAATCTACCAATCAAAATCAAACCAAAATATTATCAAAACCCCCAGAATATCCGACAAAATAATGCACTATCCCTAGACCTTATTACTACATTAATTGAATAAGGCCTTATTCAATGAATTTAGGAGGACACGTTTTGTGCTTGATGGTGTGTTTCGCTACACCTGCAAGCAGATTAGGTCCACCAGCCCCATCCTTCGTGCAATTATAGGAAAACATTATCCCTCTTCTAGAATGTCACGGCGAGAAAAGATTTCTTTTAATGGTGAGAGTGCTGGTTTATCAAGATATAATTATATCGGGTACTTATACGACAAACTTCATTTTTAGAGGAGAAAAGAAGAATTATAAAATGTCGTGTACAAAGCAAACGAACTCTACATGTACATGCATGGAGCTTTGTTACAAAGTTAAGACATACATTACTATTAAGTCTCTTAAAAGAAATCATTTAGTTGCTACCTTGCAAGGTAAAAAAAATGTTGTTCCTAATCTTTTTATTTGAGTTTTGAAAGAAAGCCTGTACGAACCGTCTTATCTCATTTCTCTAAGTAATGAAACTTGGTGGCAGGGTGGTTTTCCCCTTTCAAGAAATCTCTCTATTGAGAGGCATGATTCTATGGGGTACAATAAATGAAAACTGACTCATGACCACAAACTATATAAAACTCTTCTACTTCTGCAAGTACATGTTTATTGATTAATGGTAGACATCCAGAAGGAATACACGATTCATCGGTGACACTTTCTTTGTAACGCAGTTATACAATAACTTTAAGTCCTTTTCACAATAAAATTTATATGCAGGAGCGATAAGCAGTTGGAAGTTGGGAAGCTCAAAACGTTGAGTAGAAAAATAAAATAAAACATGGAGTATTACGGACCATTAAAGAAATATCATATTCTCGATTGAACAATTTTAAAAGGTGTTTCATTGAACAAAATAAGGAAAAGTGTACAGTGACTCAATGATGAAGGTGCACTCGGTTAAGACAACTAGGGTCGGTTGTTGTATATTTGCTTGGAATGATTTCTTATGTTTACAGTATGTTTGTAGGAAAAATACAAATTTTCACACATTTGAAAGCATTATCAGTTGGATGACAGCCTATGTAAGCAAACATTATAAGTATTATATCCTGAAAAATGTATTATTTATATTAAAAAGAACTTCTGCATTAATAATGATCTACCCACCTCTTCCTACCACTAAATATATTTTAAAAGATATTAATTTTTATTTGCTTTTATGTTTATACACTACAAGTATCATGTTTGCTTTTGGCTGAAATCCAAAATTTCATTCAGGAAATGTATGTGTCATTTGAACAGTCATATACAACAATCTGGTTTAACAGATACCTGCTTATTGTATAGAACTTGATTCTTATTATTTTGTGTTATTATGTTGCTGCCAGGACAAATACAAGGGATTTTAGTATTAAGTTAATAAATCCGGGTCTCAAAACCTGGAGGTAAAATTTACTGTAGTTACGTCAAAATAAGACGTAATAAATTGGGTTCATCAGGGCATTTTTACAAAATACGTTTTTTCTTCAAACGTGGCCATTATTTCAAAATCTTCTTTATCAAGAAACTTGTTTGGAATACCTTTAAAAAGGTATTTCGCAACTTATTCTAGATGTTTTGACGTATCATTTTAGTATGACCATGCACGTGCATATGAAAGAATAAATTTAAATGAAGACGATACAAATAGAGATAGAGATGGATTGAAAGAGAGGGAACAGGGATGTGAAAGAGGAAGACAAAACATGGAAAGGAAAAGAAAGCTAGAAAGAGGAAGACAAAAGATGATGGCAGAACAAAAGAGAGGGGAAAGGGAGGAAGGGAAGGAAAAGATGAGGAGACGAGTAGGCATCTTACTAACAGTATTGGTTAAGCAGTGAGAGACCAGACATATATATTTTTATTTAACCACTAAGCCCAGATTTTTATGACCTGGTCCTTCATGCGACAACATGTTTCTTTCCTTTTTTAAACATTGATAATTGATATCATTAACGATGCAGTACATTTCTGAAATAATTATTTACGTGACTTACTTGGAGTAATAACGCATGGTGGTAAAGGTGAACTTGAAACACGAGATGCATCCTGTAACAGAAAGACGGAATTAAAAATCAGAAAAAGCAATCTAGGAAAACTTGACACCTCCCCCGAAGATAAATGAGATTTTCATGATATCACGAAGTCATACTATACTCTAAATCAAACGACCGATTCAACACAGAAATGAAAGTACAACCATTTTCATGTCACGAAGTCATACTATACTCTTATAAAAATGAGCAGGGTTCTTTTTTGTGGTTATTTTTCCAAATTGCAAATCGAACGACCGATTCAACACGGAAATGAAAGTACAATATAAGTTTACCTCTGAATATAAAAAAAACTATAACATATAAAACTATCCGACCGTGCTATGTTAGCTTTTTACCTACTATATGGGTACCCATAAAAATAATAACTTTCAATACCTGCCTGTGGGAAACCCCCAAATTACCATGCTGACTATTAAAAAGAATGCTAAAAGTTGGAGTTTATACTGATTGCTTTGATAAGTATATAACAAATCGCATGTGTAGCGCTCCTAAGGCATAATGTTCTGTTCTCAATCTGGAATAAATGAAAATCTTGCAATTCTCAATGGAGAACTTGGTACAAATACACTCATGGGAAATGAGATTTGTCTAGCCGGAGCCGACCCTGATAATCAATCCTGACCTAGTACATTAACTTGTCTACGTTTGTCTACACATCAGTAACATAGGGATCATGAGGGTAGACATGAATGTATCGAGAAGAAAGAAAACAAACTGATGAATTTCTGAGGTCCTCGATCCCACTCAAACCCATTACAATGGGGGTGCCACAAGAAACAATATTTCTGTCCATAATGGCTACACTCTCGTGACAACAGCCGAAAGTCATCAATTTGAAAAGAATTCAAGTCACCTTTAATAACGCAGATTCAAATCGGCAAAAATATTTTCTCAAATATGAATAGAATCTCTTCATTTTAAACAAATTCTCGTAGGTGTCTCTCGCATGAATTTTTCTATTAAAATTTGAATAAGTGCTATTCATTTTTTAATAAATACTTTTGAAAGTGTAAGTTCAAGATATTTGGTCGTGAGTTGTCTTTAGGATACCAAGTATCACGGTATTATGAATATAACTTGACTCTTTGACAACAAAGTATCATTTAATTTGATTTGGTCTGATCGAAGCTCTGGTAGGGCTTGCAAGTTAGTACAATCATCAAAAAATAATAAAATATTAGAAGTGATAGGTGCAGTTTGGGTCAAAAAGTATGGACTCTGTTCAAACATGTTTGCCAAACAGGAAACCCATTGTTCAGATCGAACATGGTTTCCGACGGGCTCTACGTGTACACACATGCATTAAGCTTTGTCATCAAGTCAAGACACACATTTCAAAAGATACACTTCCCGGTGATGGATTTAAAAAAAAAAATCTATAATAGATCCTAACATTTTGACGGGGGATGTTTCCCGTCTGAGAATTTAGAGGAAGAGTGGTATAAGTCTGATGGTGAATTAATCACCAACATTTAGGAAATATTGCTCCCCTTTTGTTGTTATGTCTTCTAGGTAGGAAGTATACATTATTCTTTGTGACAAAGGAGCAATACTACACCGTTTGTAACGTAAGCAAAAGTTAGGATTATAAACTATCATATCGCCATTAACATAATATTAATACTAAACTAGATATTGGAATGTGTCGACCATTTTTGCGCTTCAAGTTCATTAAAAAGCTCCCCATACTACGTATTTAGGACAAATACACACACTGTAAAGTCCCAGGTTCCAGGAAGTACATGTTTGGGTATAGGTATTTCCATTTGATCTATAAAAAGATATAATGCTGCAGGTGACAATAGTTATATTCCTTTTATTTTGGTTCAAGTTTAAGTTATATACAATCAACGGGGGAATGTACACAACTACCAAATATGAAGATATAACTATTATTAATAATAATAATAATCATAATCATAATAATAATAAAACGGTGCTTATAACTTTCCACCGAGGTCACTAAGCGCTATAACAAACAAAATACAATGAAAAACAATCATATATTAAACCAAAAATTACAAATAAACCTACAAATTACAAAACATATAAAATATACATCAATGTGAAAACAGAGTAAGTTAAGCATCAGAATAAAGTTTGAATAAATGTGTCTTAAGAAAAGTTTTGAATGGTTGACAGTATATGATTATAGCTTACATTTTCTCATTATTATTATTATAATTATAATTATAATTATGGGCATATTCAGAGCATTTTATAGACATTGCATTCAAAATAATGTGATAATAGCTTTTTGAACTTGTACATAGCTTGATTTTATACATGATAATTAATGCTATCATAATTCTTGGCTTGATTATAGTTTCGTTATCATCATAAATCTGAATATAGGTTCTAACAAGTTGCTTTCTTATATAACTAAATTATTCTTAATACAAAAAAGAAGGCAAAGAAACAAATCTAGGCATACCTACCTACCTATCTGTACTTATAAGAGGACCTGGAAGTGTGAACGATATTCTTATTCTACAAAAAATGTAAATGGCGACACTGTCTTATATGACGCTAAGAAGCAAAAATAAATTAATGAAAACCCACATTTCAACCTCTAAAAGTCCATTATACATCTATAAAGAAAAATAACGATTTATTTACTGTTTTTGTATGACTTAAGCATAGGATAATTAGACACGAGATTTTTTGTGAACTGTCATGTCTTGTTTCACTTCAACAAAGAAGATTCATTAAGTAGGTTAACTTTTGCAAAGGTAAAAAGTGAATGACTGAAGTAACAAATGATTTGAACATACTTTAAAAAAGTTAAAGCTTATATTATTTAAATGTTTCTCAACCAATGATAAATACAACTCTTCAATTATGATCTTTCACTTGATCTACTCCAGTTTGTTGATTTTTCATGCAATGATAAATACAAATGTATAACACTTTCCAAAAGAACAAGAACAATGATGATGATGATGATGATGATGATGATGATGTTGATGATGATGATGATGATAATAATTAGAGTGATAATAATACTATTAGTATCAATAATCATAAAAATAATCATAATACAAATAATGAGAGCATGAAATTATTAATATTTATTTTTTATATACATTAGCCTCATATCAAAACATTAACAATATTGCACATTCCTATAGTACCCTTGCCGACGCAAATATATTACTTTACTTTCCCATATTGTATTCCTCTGTACCCGGGCCTCTGTATGCATGTATAATGCTATATCTTTGCACCTGTTAACATCATTCAGCCGAATGTGAACTATAAATGTCAACAGGATAGCGGCATAGGTTATTCCCTTGACATTGACAGAAATGAAATTCAATCATACGAAATTGCTCTACCATAGCCTTCCATATTATAGTCCCTGGTTGGTGAAGACAAACAATACCATAAAACAGACTTTCTAAACTCACCGTTTGTTGACAAGGACTCGTGCAAGTCAATGGCACGCCACCAGATCTAAGGGCGCCTGCTCCAGATATGCACCAAGAAACATATACCGTAATTATAACCACCAAAAGTGGAATATAGAATGGAATATGTGCCATCTTTGCAAATTATGTTCGCCTCTCCAATAGAAAAGGATCGACCCAGCAAGTATACCCAGTGCTTACTAACTCCTCATCGCTCAAGCACAGTTTTGCTCACGAACTGACTCTGTAATGGTCGCGTGCTCTCTCTCCCTGACCTCATTCATGTCGTTGACTTTCTATCCTGGTCTGGTTGAGAAGCCAGAGAGAGAGAGAGGAAAACGACACTAATCGTTTCCAAGAATGACATTTCCGGAAGCATACGCGTGCTGTGATGAATTGGATATCATTAACATCTAGACTTGATATTAAATTTTTCCAGAAGAAAATCGAAATCGAAGTTGTTGGAACTGTCGTTTCACAATTGTTTCTTTACAATTAAAATAATTATCGTAAAAATACTTTTAAAGAGTACCGGTATATGCTACCTTAATTATTTTCTTTCCTAACCCAATGGATCGTGTCGGGTTGAAAGTAAATAATATCTGTCACTCTGTCCTAACATGGCGTTGCCAAAGTAGGCATATATGAAACATAATAAATTTTCTCCACGATTCTACGTCAAGAATAAAGATTAAGATATTAAGTCGTTTCATTTTCAGTCCGGTCTGACAAATTTGTTAAATACCGTTCAAAGCAATGATCAATGACTGGGTTAAATCCAATTACAATTGTCAAACTAAGCGGGGAAATGTGAAACTCATATCTTCCTGATGTAAGTATTACTGCCTATTATCATAAGAAATTTAAATAGGTTCCCAATAATTATAAATTCGAATGGCAAGAAATCGATTTTCCTTTTTTCACTGACGAGGAGAACAATGGTCGCAAAACTTTCCTTTGGAACATTTCTGAAACAAAAAGTAATTTCACTTCTTCATTTTTATGATTTATACATCATCGATGAATATCGGTTTTTAAAGATTCATCAAAAATATCTGACCATTTATTTATTAAACAATTAAATAAGGTTAATAACGACTATATAATTATGATCACCAACGAATTCAATGTTACCAAGTGGGTGCCTTTATCTGGACAATAGTTGTCACGAGGGGTAATTTACAAACGCGGGGCTTATGAGTCCCAAACTGAATGATAAGATAGAAAAGTAAGACAGTCAGAAGCAACACAAAATGACTGATAGGTTTTTAAAGATAGGGAGAGAGAGAGAGAGAGAGAGAGAGAGAGAGAGAGAGAGAGAGAATGTCATCAAAGGGGATGGACGGAAAATAAAGAGAAGTATCCTTCCTGCACCACTTAATTAGTGGTCACGTTAATCTTAATCTCATTTTTGCTTTATGATTCACTTTTTTCTTATTAAGGTCTTTTGTACTATGACTAGTACAGGTAAAACAAATGAGGACAAGTGAAAGTTTATTTTGATCAGTGTGTGCACAGGTGTTTGCATAACTCACTGGCGTACTGGTGGGGGGGGGGGCGCTAGCCCCCCTCCCCCCAAATAAAATTGAACCATGACTTATTTTCAATTCCATAAACAAGTGATGTATAAATGTTCGTGATATCCCATGATTTCCAACAAAATGCGCGTTTCTCCATTTCTGTTGCAAACTGACACGTTCCCAAATGGCCAGGAAGAGCATATGTTCTTTTAGCCGTGGCCACTAACAGTAACTCTAGTAAAATATTCTTTCCAGAAGCAACTGTGACAAGCACTGTCGGGCGTTCCATACTTACATTATGTAATACTGCACATGTACCGCTAAGGGACCCAGTGGGGAAATTGAATTCAGACAAACTTAAGAGTAGTGAACGGTACAACGAATCGTCTTCTTTCTCTAATAATTTAATGAAACGGCAAAGCTTCAGCGCTTCGGGGGGAGGGGGTGGGGAAACTGGATCCAAACAAGAATTAAGAGTCGAGAACGGTACAACAGATCTTTTTCTTTTTCTAATAATTTAATGAAGTGTCAAAGTTTCCGCGCTTCGCGCGACGGGGGAGACTGAAAAATAACTTAGTTCCTGGCCCCGGGTTTATAGGGTTAAATTTGTAGACATTTGGACATTGGCATTAATATATTAATCGGTAATTGGTTGCTCGTTTTGTCGGTAATCGGTGGCCTCTACACCCTCCCCACTCCCCCACTGACAAATATCTAGCGACGCCCCTGATAACGACAAAGTTTATACACTCTAAAGTCTAAACAAAATTTGCAAGTACTACTGATTAAGTACCGGACCACCGTCTCTGTGCATTGTGCGGCATCAAAGCATATACAACGTCTCAAGACGTGACTTCTATTAACTTCTCACCAATCAGAAGGCCTCGTTTTTTTTCTTCCAGGAAGTGCCGGTGGACATTAATGCGCCAAATGTGGTTCTCAAATTGCAAAAGATCCCTACTCTTGGAAGGGGTAGGAGAAAGCAATTTTACGTCATATTACTCCAGGAAGTGCCTGAAAATGCGTCTAATTTGGTTCTAAAATTGCAAATGCTTTTTACTCTTGGAGGGGGCCAGAACCCCCTCCCAGACCCATCCCCGCTTCGGGTCGCTCCGCTCCCTCGCCGCTAAAGCCTCTTGCTGTCGCTTCATCTTTTTACATATATTTAACCCCATGCCATTTTGTGCCCCCCCCCCGGTAAGAAATTCCTGGATCCGCCACTGATGCCCATACCCCTTGAGCTTTGGGGGCTCCGCCCTTAGACCCCACTTTGCGAAACGTTCAGCGGGGCCTGCATGTTAGAGTGGGGTGCTGCAGATTTTTTTTTGTCAGCCCCCCCCCCCCCCAAAAAAAAAAAAGAAAAAAGTTTTTGCTCATTACGCCACTGGCATAACTCATATACTCATAGGTGTTATATATTTCGTGTATATAGTTATATATTTACTTACAACATACATATTTCAATGACATGGTGGTGAGATGATGGTTTAATTATGGTGTATTGAACAGAGCCAATCTCGACTAGCCTTTTTAAATTTTCCGGGTTCCATTTACCCAATACAAATTTGAGGTCTATAAAATAAGTTACAATCTTTCCTAAATAATATTTTCCTTGTTTATTTTCGATTAAACACAGCCATACTCTATTACGCAATCATACATACTGCGAAGAGCTAGAGGTCCATGCATGGGTATGTGTACGAATTATTCTGTGCTGTGAGTACGACGAGTGTCGAGATTTTGATGTAAATTGACGTAAAACTCCCGGATAAAGATGGATGAACAAGACAATACAGATGACTTGAACATTGCCACAGTATGTGCAACTGTAAATTCGGGTTTCGAGCATTTAGCGACCCAAGAATGTATCGAGAAATTGGGTTCCAGCTCCAGCTCAAGAACTTTGAAGAAATTCCGAGGACGAATCATATTTGAGCTCCCTGTCCAGGATATTGAAAAGGTGCGTGATTCTCACTCATTAGCATGATTAGTACATTACTTGTTAGTATTGAATTTAATTAAAATTAAAAATCGGACTGGTTAGTAAAAATATTGTTACGTTATCTATGTGACTCCAGTGTGGAGATACCCTACTCTAACACACCAAAATTTATCTAAAATATCTTCCACGATTGTTCAAATAACGGTCATGATTTAAAATATGTTAGACTTAGACCTATCTTTCTTGCCATCTTTTTTTGAGTTTTTTTTCCTAAGAACTAATTAAGACATTAGTAGACCTATACGCTTTCTCACAGGTTTCACTGCAAACCCCCGCACAATACAAGTGCATACTGAGCTAGACAGAAATAACCGTCTGATATGGGTCATTTCTTTAATAAAACTGACATTTGTTGACATTCCCGATATATCTAAAGAGGCGGTCAGAGGAGCCAGATGCAATCTCAGCGGAACATCCGTCAATATCAGAGACTGAAGCTTTCAGTCTACTACTGAGCTAGCTGATGGTGGTAGCCTGCATGAAGTTAGCAACCGTAATGGGGATCTGAGACGAAAGATAATAGTTGGAAATGTATTAAATAAAATGAAATGGTCTTGATAAAATTTCAAAGAGGTGTTGTTATTTATTATTATGTTATTATTATTGTGTTGTGTGGGGGGGGGGGGTACCTTTATGAGATAAAGAAAAAACAAAACCATAACTTCAGTCGGACCTATCATAGTCAAGAAAGAGTAGGGAAATATGATTGGCGTAGCCAGGTCCGACTGAAATTATAATTCTGTTTCTCTCTTTATTTAATACAGAGCCTGTATTAGGCTAGACCGAAAACGTCAGTCTCTCTTATCATCGGTTGTTCCACTGAGACTACGTCTGGCTCCACTAGACCTCCGATTATAGAGACTGAAGACAGTATGGCCTATCGGGACTGTACGGGACTGTACGGGACTGTACAGAACAAATGGTTCGGTTCGACCGGACCGCGATGAATGAGATATGCAACAAGATTTTCACTCTTTACATCCTCATAACTGCTGCAATTATAATCAAAATTAAAAATAACATATATATAGCTTATTTGAATTACGATAGCTTGCTCATTTAGATCCTAAATTAATGATTTATCCGAACGTCCAATAGCTACCGTAGCTATGTACGAGTCAGCCCGGCTTGACCAACGAACTCCCACGAAACGAGTGCTCTGATTGGCCATTGGCTATGTTTTGGTAGGTTGAACCGGAAATATATCGGCCGCCGGGTAATAGTTTGAATGCATGAACGTACTGCTTCGCGGTTCTGAGATAAAATTGGATAACTCATAATAAGTAAGTCCGTAAATTTCACATTCTATAATAGGTTAGCAAATTTTGAAAACTGTAAATAGGAGGTATATATACCGACCTAATTTACATCTGATTTAGAAATCAGAAAATAAGATCTAAATAAAGAAAATCGGGGGAGAAATGTCGGGAACAAAAAGATGTTCCGCTGTGCCCTCGATTACCCCCATGGTACGAGATCTCTGGGTTGCCGTCTGTATTTGGGAATGTCAACAAATGTCAGTTTTATAAAAGAAATGACCAAATCAGACGGTTATTTCTATCTAGTATTAGGCGAGCCCGCCCCGCCCCCTCATGCCCCGGCATGCTGTAAGAAGGTGAATGAAATGGGAACATGAGCTGGAAAAATGAATATGCAAATGAAGAATCCAAACTTGTAAATGAATATGTAATAGTGGATTATAGGATATGGAAGAAGGCAAGTAGTAGCCATGATATTTAATAGCTGAAATGAGACAAATATAAACTCTTACATTACTTTCTGAATTTAGAATCCATAACATGTTTGATGTCAAGAACAGACAAGATGATAAGCTGATCAGGCTCTTTGCTTACAATCAATACTGGAGCCGAGATAAACTTGACTCTTAATCATTTTGATGTATGATAATTATTGATTTAATTAGTGAGATGTAAAATTGTCTTCTCCTACAAATTAAGTCTGACGGACCCTCTTGTGAGTTTGAGTCATGGATACGCGTCAGTAAAACCCTAATTACTCGTACATACAATCTAATTACTATTCTGAGTATTCTCCTATATGTTAATAGTAATGTCTCTCAATATTTAGATGTCATGTGATAGAGAGTGATATGTAATAATGTAATATAAATTTTGGTGTTCTTTGTTTGCTTATTTCAGGCAACTCAACTGAGATCAGTGGATAACTTGTCAGTTGTTCTCAATCATATCAAAGATGTTGATTTGCATCAAGAAAAGGTGAGAATTTGTTTTGGTATTACCTCGTGTTGCAGAGAGATAAATACAGGGGGATAAATAAACCCATCCAAGGCATCCATATATGGTGCCTCATGGGGTTGACACAAAATATGTTAAGAAACAATAAATATCAACATCTATGCAGAGTGCATGGTAGGATATTCATGAATGTTATAGAAAGCCTTGAAGATGATGGTTTTCCTCCATCCTATACTAACTGTTTTTATTAATTGGAATTGAAAAGCTTTTCATCATTCGTTTCCAAGAAATACCTGCGTGTTTGGAAAAGCTTAAGCTTGCATGTGACTTTGTGCATCACCCTATCATGTCCATATCTGCTAAGGTCATGACCTTGTCAAATTCATCCACCTGTTGTCTAGGCTGTGAAATGTTTGGGCTATCAGACCACGTTTTGCTCGTATATCCATGATCAGACAGATGGATGTGAACCTTTCCGATCAGACTAACGTAAATAAACTCTATCCTTCCGTTTTCTGTATGAGATAACATCTTGTTCTTGCATATGTTCTCCTTCATTGATACAGCACATATATAGGTATATTAACTCTTTATGCATGCATCTTCATATTTGTCTAAGTATCTGTAAAAATTAATAAGTTTTCATAATATTCAATGTTAAAGTTATGTGAAAATTGTTATTCATTTGAGCCAGATAGACCAGGCAGTACAATGGTGTGGTGAAAAGCTATCTAATACTCTCACTAGTTTTTTTTGTAAGTACATGTAATGCAGGGCTCAAATTAATTGTTTGTCCACGGGGGCTCTACCCCCCCCCCCAAAAAAAAAGAGCCCCCGTGAGCCTTCTCACGGGGGCTCTTTTATTACTGACGGGGGCTCTTTTTTATACAAATATCCATTGAATTGGTCGTGAGCAACCTGACGGGGGCGATTATGTAGCTCACGGGGGCGAATCGCCCACCGCCCCCGTGTATTTTGAGCGCTGATGTAATGACAATAATAATAGCTCGTTCTTATATAGCACTTTTCAGGACCGCAGACCCTCTCAAAGCGCTTGTAAGTGTCCATATTAAATATGCATGGCAATATCTGTAATAAATACAGATATATTGGCACATACATCAACATTTATCTTGATAGTGACGGTTAAATCTCAGTGTTTCAATGTCAGTGGTATCAGTTACGTAATGACAAAATATATAAACAGTTGACATGTCTAATAACCTCAGTGTGAAAAAAGTGAAAAACTATAAATATGGGATAATAATTATATGGTGTTCATACCAAACTATATGGTATTCGGTAACCAGAATTTATATCTTAAACATACAACTTGTGAATTACAGGTTTTTTTCTTCTTTTTTTCTTCTTCTTTTTAGGAAAAAGTAGTTGATGAACTGTGTCAGAAAATCCTGGAAATGAATTGGAAGTTAGCCTTGGACACCTGGAGACATTTCACAAAATCCGAACTCTGTCTGGACCCTCTTCCTGGAAAACTATCCTCCTCAAAGCCTGCACCACACCAAGATATGGAGACAGAATCAGAAGTGAACACAAAGGACAAGAGCGATGACAGTCCAGGAGAAGTGCCTCTAGGAGAAGAGGTCACTGCCGAACGTCCAACATTTCGCGTGACCTGCACTCGCACAGGAGAGAAACACGACTTTAGCTCCAGGGATGTGGCCCCTGCAGTAGGTTCCTTAATCAATGAGGCTTTTGGATGGCCAGTGAAGATGAAGGACTATGACATCGAGGTGGTGGTTAATATTCTGGAGGACTCGACCTTGGTGTCTATTAGCTTGACTAAGGAGTCCTTGCATAGAAGGAACATTACTCACTTTGGTATTACAACTCTCAAGTCTACAATTGCATACTGTATGCTTAGGTTAGTGAAATACACATTTGTCGAAAAAAAAATCCAAATAGATTTTAACAAATCTGTACCCCCAGATATGAAGGGAATATTCACTTTCAATTAGGTTGTAATGTGGTAAACCAGCGCATTGGGCCACATTACGTGTACGTTTAATTTTTCACTTTTATTAAGAAAGTCTGAGAGCAGCACTAATATTTTGTCCATTTGAAATCATGATTAAAAGTGGCAGCTCATCCCCATTTTTAACCTAGTAGTGATGTATCACGTTTGGAGGATTAATAAGTAAATGAGGAATATCATGTCAGTAATGAGTTTTAAAAAGTACCTTAAGTGCAGTTAAATAAATAGTGTAGGGAGAGAGGTGTTCTAGGCACCCCCCTCCTGATTTGTCCTGAAAGAAATATGTGTACACCAAGTCTAATTCTAAGTGTTTCTAACCCTACGCGTGCATCATGAATCAGGATAGTGGTTTGATTTGTTTTTCTCTTCTCAGATTGGCTCAGCCCAAACCAGGGGAGATCATCATGGATCCTATGTGTGGTGTAGGGGGTATCCCTCTTGAGGTAAGAGTAAACATTCATTTTATTATTGAATTTGAACAAAAATGGATAAATTCTGTCCAATAAGAAAGCAAGCATATATCAATGATGGTTTTTAAAGAGTCCAATTAGGGGGGCTTAAATCCTTTTCTCATAGATCAATTTGCTTTCAATACCTTCAAGTTCATGAAAATATTCATCACTAATCCAGACATCTTGAAGCACATTAATAAGTTAAATATTATTGGGTACAATTTGCTATTTATGGCAAGAAAGGATTATGATAGAATATTATAAATATATATTTTTTTCCTTTCATATTGCAGGGTTTGATAGATTGGAAGTCGTGCTATGTAGTCTCAGGTGATATGAATGATGTGGCAGTAGAGAGAACAAAGGCCAACTTAGATTCACTAGCAGAAAGGAGGAGAGAGAAGCATATAGAAAGGTAAGAGTTCTTGGACCCATCACAAGAAACTACTTGTTTTGCAAATATTCCATTAAAATGCATGTTAGACATTTTATAGGATGTTAAGGAGGTTATGCTTATGAATGCCATTTTATTGCAATGGGTCAAATATTAATATCTGGTTTAAAGGTACATGTACTATGTCCCTTTTGCAGCCAACCTCAAATGCTGTAGAACTTTGCAGGAATTATGAATATGTCATGTATGTCCTATCTGTGAAATTTAAACGTTAGCAGTGTCCTCATATTCAAATTATGCAAGGAAACCCGTTTACTTGCTAGACTTCACTGTCAGACACTATTGAGTGAGTGACTGGCTTTTTTTCTTCTTTGGTAATAACATACATGAAAAGAGTTGTAAAGGGCACATGAGCAGTTGTCTACATCAATAACCCACTTCTTGTGATGGCCAATATTAAACTGATTGAATCTTTGCGCAGCATAAAACGTATGACCATTCGGTACAATTGTCTGAAAATCAAGACTATTACTTTTGGGCTCTATAGCCCTAAAGTCGATTTGACAACCAATAGTCGTTATTTTCCCACATTTTTAAGCCCCACCTTTTTTAGGGAAGTTCTAAATTAGTATTATCTTTCAAATGCAGTTGGAATTTAACTTTTTCATTTTTTTGGCCTGCAAATGGGACATAGTACCTTTAATACCAGGTACATTTTATTTTGTGTAGTCTGACGTCGTATAAGCTATGTGATACCGATTTTAAACTGAGAGCATATTTGATATGTATTTGTCTTGTATATGATAGAAAGTGCAATTTCTCTCTGAAATGTATTGTCTCAGACCTAAGATAAATGTTATCCTGCTCCATTGTTATATATTTAAAGGCGAGTGAAAATGTAGTCTCATTTGTAGGAATTGCAATTAATGGAAGGCTTCGAAAAGCAAGATATGCCGATAAAGGAAGGGTGTATATCTCTTAAGTGGAAATAAATTTAGAAAGAACTGATTTGTTTAATGTGGTCAGTGAGTTGTATCCTGGTATAGAAATAGTTGAGTTAAGGTATAAGGGTGCTACACAAAATAATGAGATGATGAAAAACTGAGAGTCAAATTTGAAAGAGCATACAATTTAAATGACAAAATCATCTTTGTTTGATCAAAATTGGTTCTGAGACGGCTGAAGTATAAAAAATATAACCATTTCTAATATTTGTGGGGCCCCACAAATATTCAATAATTTTGAACCAGCCATTGAAAAAGTAAGATAGCACCTTATTTAATGAGAAAACACTCAACTCTTTCTTCTTCATGACAGGCCTGATATAGAGAATGATGTTCTTAAATGGGATGTCACAAATCTTCCACTAAAATCCTCATCAGTAGATGTCTTTGTCACAGACTTGGTGAGTTATGAACATCTTTCTTTATTGATGATGCATGACTGTTTGCTCCAGCTGAGCACAAGTCAACTTTATTAGGCAATTTTGCAGTTTTAAGTACTCTTGAGCTACTATAAGGGCACATTTATTCTATTTATTTTACAATTACAATAATCCTCTATTAAAACTACAATATACAAAACTGAATCTGGCTCTAAATATGTTTACCATTCAAAAGCACAATTAAAAATCGTAAAATCAGATCCTCTTTCCAAACAATGCTAGAAACTCTATTTGAAGACAAACTTATGACAATCATAATCAATCTCCACAATATACAAGCGCCTGAACAAACAAAACTCTATCCAAAACACCCACACAAAAACAAAACATAACAATAGGGTAAGAAGGAAAACAGAATAAGTAACACCATGAATATATACACTTCCTCTAACTGCTCTGTTACTATTTGTGAATGGATCATGATATTTCTGTAAACAGGAAATAGTGCTTGAGCAAAAGAAACAGTTCACAGCATCTATGCAGGGGGTCCTGCAGGGGTTAAACATGGGTCAACGTTGAAAATCATGGTTGTTTGAGAGTGTAAATACAAAATTTAAACTTGATGCTGGATTTGAGGTTTTGTTTTTATTTTTAAAAAAAATCAGGTTTGACAAAGGAAGTTAGACTGAGGTCTAAGATTTGATGGCTCTTTGAGGCTGTATGTTTTGACTCATATGCACCACATTTTGATTTCCACTATCCTTCCATGTTTAAATTTATTATGCATTTGACCAATCTTTCTTCTTTCTTCCACCGTTGATGCTTACTCAACCAGCCATTTGGGAAAAGGTGAGAATTGTTCAAATTGATACTTATATTCCCTTGATGAAATTTATCAAAATCATTGACATTTATGCAGGCTTTAGAAAGGAATTATTTTACGATTCCCAAAGAAAGGAGATTATCTCTTTGATTTATCATAGATGAAATATATAAATGAAGTATGGTCCTCTTTGTTATCACGGGACTCACACAAAAAAAGGGCATGGAATATATTGACATTAATTAATTCAGGTTATCATTGAAAAGGAACATTGGTATACTTAAAATGAGGAAGGAAGGCAAAGTATGTTCATTGTGACCTCAAAATATTAGCTGAAGTGCTTTAATATCTCTATATGCCAAAGAGGAAATATGAATAGAAATTTGCTACAGGGTCAAGTAAAGTTTATGGTGTAGGGTTGAAGTGAACTATTGTGGGAGATTAACTGTGGAGCTATTGTTGCCAGAACTTTGTTGTACAACCCATTATGCTTTTGATTTTGTTTATTGTTTTCCCCTTGTAGGCTTGGTAACAGAAAGAATAACTGGTCTCTTTATCATAAATGTCTGGAAGAGATGGCCAGAGTTTGTCGTCCTGGGATTGGCCGTGCAGTGCTGTTAACTCAAGACAAGAAATGTATGGTTCAGGTGAGTTCAATTGAAAGCATTAGTGGGATGATAACGGGAAATACTAATATACAATGTGTTATCTGTGAGCATTTTGGGACCATCAACTTGTCAAGCCTAATACCTCAGTCATACCAATGAGACCAGCACCAGACCGACACCCAGCCGACACCCGGCCGACACCAGACCGACACCAGACAGATAACAGACCGAACAAACAATTACATTGATTTTGAGTCGGTCTCAAGTCGGCTTGGCAGTGTGACCAAGGTATCAATAGACTTTTAATGATGATCCTTTTTATTCTTTCTATTTTGTATGAATTTATTAAATGTACCTTGTATTTTACCCTTGAAATGCTTTGTATGTATTTGTTCAATGTTTGCATGTTTTTAAACTGAAGAATGGAAAAAGACTGAACTGAAATGTATGCGACATTTTGCAATCATATGATGGTCAATGATATTTTTGTTATGTACATGGGTCACTGCACACAGAAATATATTTTCCTCATAAAGTTAGGTTGTGTTGCTGATCCATGCCAATTTTTGTAATGTTTTAAAAATGTTTATCTTAAACTGATACACGAATCTGACCCCCTTTTACCCCTCTCTTCTTCTTTCTCTCTTTCTTCCTCTGTCTTTCTCTTTCCCTCTATATCCTTCCTTACCTTCCTTTCCCCTCTCTGTACATCTCCATCTCCTCTGTCACTCTCCCCTCTCCTCTCTCTCCCCACCCCTCTCGTCTCTCTCTCCCCCTTTTCTCCCATCTCTCTGTCTCTCTTTCTCTCTCCATCTCTCTTCCTCTCCCTCTCTCCATGTTAACCCATCAGACTTTGCAGCGATGCCATCACATATGGCGGAAGAAAACTGTCACCTTCATAAACCATGGAGGACTGAAGGCTTGTGTCTACCTTCTGCAGAGGGCAAAGGTAAAAAACGTTCGGAATAAGAAGGATGAGCAAGAAGATGGAGGAGATGTGGATGAAGATGAAGGAATGGATGAAGGAGATGATGATATAGAGGAGCAAGGTGAAATGGAAAGTACTTGAACCCTTCGATAAATAAGATTTTGTGAACCAATAATAAATGCCAAGATCAAGTGAAATTGATACTAAGATTATTTTTGAGGAGATGAGGAGTTTCTTTGGCAGCTGTGATTAATATTTTGAAATTAATCTTCTTTCCAGTTTTTTAATAGTTTTAAAAAATAATTAAAGTCCTATAGTGCATTAGGAAATAATGTTAAAAATGTATACTCAATGTCATAATTCCCCATCACCAGATGACATTATGAAAAATAAATGAATTTATAACTGTAAACCTGGACCCAACACAATACCCTCCTTACCCTAACCACCTAAACTAAGAGCCACTTAATACTCCTACGCTATAGGTTTGACAAGATAAAGCCTGAAGCAATTTCTGCCACAGCATATGTCAGATTAAAAGTATCGTATTAAAGGTTATGGAGTAGGAAATGTGTGGGAAGTAAAACAACATTTCTAATGTAAACAGGTGATCTCCAGGCACATGTTACAATCATTTTAGCCTGCCAATTTGAAAGATGAGATATGGGCATTTTGCCAGGAAACACCTGCTTTTGTATTAAAATCAGGAAGCAGGTTGCTAAAAATAAACATGATATGACAACTCGTTAAAATCTGGATTGAATTCTGGTAATAGAATAGGACTGTACATGTATATCAATTTGCATTGTTTATCATGTAGTAGATGGGTTATTTTGACCAGCAAATTGTACAAAAATATCTGCTGGAAATCCTATTCACTTTTAGGCACCATTTGATACGACATCCATACTGCACAAATGACTACATACTATTTATTTCTGTGGTTCATCTAAAACCATTTCACAGTACTTGGCTGACAGATGTTTTTTTCTGGTCATGAACATTCAGTGTGTGGTGTATTTTTCATCATTACCAGGTCTTAATTTTACCTTTAAGTAAAACACGTTAATGATTGGAAGCATTCTCACCTCACCCTAACGGGAAGGTCACTGTAGTTTTCATTGGCAATAGCTATGTAAACAAGGTTAATTGAACTCCCAGGTAAGCCTTGATAGTGGTACTTCCGCTGATGTATGCGACTGTTAACTTCCTCATAGCCAAGAGCTTGTTTACCTTTTATGCCAACAAACTACTAAAGCATAAAGACTACATTTGTATTTGATTTAATAGATTGTTTATCTTTATTTCCTTGAAATTTAAATATGCAAGGTAGAGCAGAACCTCTGTAATTTCATATTTTGGTTTTGGCAGCAGTAAATGCTTGGCAAGTCACCTGAAACATTGGAATGAAGAATGTTTCCTGGGCCAATCCGAGGTCACGGCTTGTATTTTGTCCTGTACGCTACTAACCACATGATAGATTTATAGAAAACTAGAGCCCCTTATCACAAAGGTTCGTGATCAATGGAAGATATGAAATAACGATTCTGATATGTTAATAGTCAGCCTTGTTAACAATAACCCTGTATGTGCATGCAAATATGATCTTTTTTGGGCATTACCATTTAGCAATTGATTGCAAGTTGATAGCTGTACGATGGTATATTATATATTGTATGTTGTTAATTTCATGATACTTTATAATGTACCTTATATAGGACATAGAATGACCAAGTATCTTGGACTTGCCGTTGCGAACATACAAGTACTGAACGTTTGCATTCTTCATAATTGCTAGTACCATTGTGTCGCTCAGGGTACTATAAAACTTTTTAAAACCTTGAATGGGAGGATAACATTTTTGTGCTGCAGAATATAATTTGATCTTCTTCATATTAAAAACAAAATGAAATAAATACATTTAAAAAATCCAGGATCATGATTGTGCTAGGTCGTTTGATTTTATCTGAAGATTATGTTTATGAAAGTGCCTTCCATTTTGAAGTAGTTATGCAACTTGCATTCCAGAAATTATTGAAATGAAAGAAGACTTGTTAGTCTGTATTCTTTACTGAGGCCACCCAAAGGAAACAGAAAAATATGTGGCCTCTCTATGAATCATATTTCTTCATAGAGGGAGGCCACCATATAAGTGACCACTATAGACAGGTGGACACTATATAAGTGACCGTTAAAGACAGGTGGACACTTTTACAGGTTTGACTTTCCTTGTACTTGTGTATCTATATATTTTGTTTTTCTTCAAAATAAATTTCATAGTCTAAATTACACTTCAAATTGTTATTTAAATCATTTTAGGTACTAGGCATGAAAGAAACGCTGCCAAAGTGGGATCCTTTGCAAATGAAAACATTTATTGTATTTTTGCAGATACGAAATACATGTAGCTATAAATCACACACAGTACCGGAAACATTTATTCATGTACCAACACAACATTTGCAAATACAGTTTTGAAGCTTGAATACAGGAGATCTATTATGCACAAATCTAAAAGGCCCCTGCATCCTTATATTTGAACACAGTCCTGCAAAATATTAAATGATAAAAAAGCTTATTTAATAGAATCTTTAAATACAATTTAAATCATTGAATATTTTGGCAGAATTATCAATGATTAGCTACTACCTTCGACATTATTTGTCTGCGTAACTTGCTTTCTTAGTATTATATCCTAAAATCATGAAATGATCATCATATGCATATTTCTTTTTCTTTCTTTTTCTCCCGGAAAATATAAAATATAGAGTTTAAATTCAATCTTATTTATTAATTGGCAATTGTGATGATTTTGCCATTTAGTTGGGCGGTTATTATTTCACTTCAAAGTTATCATGGAAATTTTTGCTAGATCCACTGGTCATGGATTTGATATACATCAACAGCAATGAGCATGCTTCTAATAGAACAACAATGTGAGAACTGCAGAGGATCAAACAAGCCAATAACACAACGAGCATTACTTTTACTGTTACATACTTTCAGTATTTGGCAAGACAACACAGCACAGCACCACCCGTTTGTTTCAAACACTAAAAAACCAAATAAATATTTAGCTTGAAGAAAAACATTGCTCCTTTAAACAAAAAAATTATCATCTGGAAATGGTAATGCATCTTTGGGCATTCCAAAATGAGTGGGAATAGATTTTGTGCAGTGAAACCATGACATATCTCATTCACATTGTGGCGATTACAACTATAAGATACAAATGAGCGTTTTTTCCAGATTGTGTTTGGAGAAAATCTGTGAAAAGTAATTCCTAATTATTGTACAGTGTACATGAAAATATTATTATGTTGAAAGGTTGAAAACCACATACTGGTACACTGAATACCACTACACACATTCACCAATCGCTCTGCAATCGTTAATTACAGATTATCAATCAGAATCATTTGGCAGATTTGTGTTTTTCAGAATTTTTCAGAATAATGTGTTTTGTTATACCTCGCAAAATTTAGTGAAAACTCTAGTTGGAATTCATTTTCTTATTACTACCAGGGCAGTATTCTAAGCACAATTTTATCTATATCATTTTTATTTTTTTTAATTTTTAATAATTGCTATTCTGAGACCACTTTTATCTCAGATATTACTGTTCATTTGACCTCAAAATAAGGTAACAGGCTTTTCTATCTCTCGGAGGCTCTGTACATGCGACATTTATTTTAAAGTATTCAGCTGTGATCAAAATACACAAATTAAATTGAGTACAGACTACATTGCTCAATCAACATTCTCATGGGTTACTGAGTTGTATTTCAAGATTTTTGCCAACTAATTAAATCGTACTTAAAAATGATGCTTCTAATGGTGTTCAAAAACCTATTAAAACTACCTTGGTCATTTTTCAAGAAGGTCCTAGCAAATGCTCTTATGCATTTTTAGGCATGCCTAGTGCTCTTGCACCCAAGAGACTGGCATAACATGGTTCTATTGGCTAACACCGACGGAGTGAAATCTAGATAAAGTGATTCTCAGACTACCGATACAGACTTGAAGGGTATTTTATCTGCCTGAGATAAAATCAGAGATAAAAATGAATCCTAGAATACCGCCCCTGAACTCCGGGCATCAACTACATCCTAGCTTTCCTATAAACAAAACCCCATCCTGGACTTTATTTACAACATATGTTTACGATGCATGGACATCACTCATACAATAAATAGAAATTCCATAGAAATGTGATAAAAATTTGCATACTTAAAAACATTCACAAAATTTGATAGTTGATTAATTTATCATGTATCTGTATAAATCAAGAGAGCATTCAAGGTGAATCAAGACAATCAAGGTGCATATTAAATACATTGCATTACAGTTCAGAAATAATGTAGAATTCATGTTTAGTACATTTCACACAAGCATAGTTCTTTTCTGCATCATGTTTTCTTTTCTTTTTCATGCCAAACATTTGATTTAAATAAAGGTACTATTTAACATCTTGAAGTATAAAAAAGGGAAGCAGCTTTGTTTCCAATAAAATATAAAAGAAGAGATCAAGTACACTATTTCATAGGCTAGTAATCTACCAAAATTTAAACCATGACGTCAAGTTTAAGTGCTATTCAAAATAAAGTTTCCTAAAGGAATTTAGTCTGAAGGCTTGAGGTTTCCTTTGTTAAACATATTAGACCTGTAACTGACTTAGTGTATAAAGATCGATTTGCATCCTGTGCTTTTCTATGTCCATTTTGGCAAATGCATAGAGACCATAAGGCCTGTAATTATGTACATTTCTAAAAATTATTTCACATTGCTTGCTTGTTTCTTGTAATTTTGATTTTTATGACACTACAGGATTAACCCTGAATCACATTACAAAAGATGTTGAATAGTACCTTAAGATAACATGCATCACACAAATTTGCAAAGCAAAAATTTATATATAAACTGTCAATTCATTTTATAGTGAAAATCGTTTTCTGAACTGCTAAAACAATTTTAAGTATAGTAACACACAAGAAATATAAATAACATCAATACTTAGAGAATGAATCTCATAACTGTATATATTTTACAACTCAAGGTAACAGTTTCATGAATAGTACCTACATTTATATATTAAAGCTCTATTACAAGTACTCTCTAAAAGCTCATTCCCATTTCCTCACTTAGTAACAACAACTTATAAAAATGCAGCCACTTTCTTTTAATACTTACACTGTCTTACGCATGAGATGACATCGTATAGAAATTCATTGGCAATGTTGTAAAAAGCTTAGGTAAAATTAAGTACATGTGACATTCAACATAAACCGTCGTGACAATGGACAAAATGATTACAGTACACTGTAGTAAAGACCATAATACTTGATTGTCATGAGAACTGTAATACACAAATCTCTTGAACATAGCCGTAACCCAATATACCTGTAGTCTTTCACTGCAGGTCGATTCAGTGCAATGTGTCCAATGCCACATCAACTTTTATCCATTTATTTCATCATCAAAAAAAGAAAAGTTTCTGGTCTTAATCTGATTCTTCCAGGTATCACTAACAATAATCAATGGACATATAAAGAGATCTTTTGTATTTTTGGTTGAAGTAAATGGATGAAAGACTTCTGTTCTTTTGGACTCATCGCAAGGAATCAACCTTAAGCATTTCTGCTTTAAAAAAATATCCCTCAAATAACTTCACAAGAATAGACATGCACTTTGATGCTCAAAATAATTCATGAAATTACGAGCTTCCTTGAATTGTTTCCTCTACTCTTCTGCTCCTTGCAGTGAAAAGGAAGGCAGTTTCACTGGACCGCCACAGGGCCACCAGAGGACACTTTTGAAAATCTCAATGAGCAGAGACATGTTGCAGACTCTCTGCATGATTCTTGCAAACTCCATGCCCCTACTGTGCATGAACCAGCCTTGATACTTCTATAGCACTACCCAGCAAGCCTCTTCAGAAGTGCCATCTACAGCTCAGCAATGTCATCACCGTAACATACTTTCTCAATAGCACACCATGGAATACTGTTGCTTTCATGAGGGGCACTTCTAAACAAAATAATTTTTCCTGAGGACGGACATGTAATTGTTGTTATGCTGCGTCAGACCCAGGGCGCTTGCACTAAGTGAGTTGTTAAGGGGGTCCCTACTTTTTCTCTCAGAATAAAATGAAGAACCAAATTCTGTGGTAGCTGTAAGAAGAAAAGAAATTTAAATATGAAATTGTAGTGCATTTATTACGTCATAAATACATTTAACTAATATACATTAAACAGGTTTCGGTGTTTCCATTTACGATCATTAACTCTTTACATTTACCGCTAAGATAGCATCTTGTCATGATTTATGATACATATATTCTAAAATATGACTTTCAGATTTGATGTATGATCAATATGATGGTATGAAATAAACTTCAGATCTTTCCTTATATAGCTTTTTTGAATAATTCAAAATAATGTATGGGTTCTAGCATCTTCCTGGTTTTCAGCATCACTAAATAATACAAGAATTTTAGATAAACTCACCTGCTTGCAAATGCCTTTCAATGCTCTTATCCAATTCTGATCGAACCTAAATTCAAGAAAGATATGTATATTGTTAATCCCTGCTAATCATTGCCTTTAAAACATGAGCCTTTTTCAAAGATTTCAAAATTTCATGAGGTCTCTTGTGGACTGAATAGTTTGCTAGGTATGATTTTACTAGATATGGTTTACCCCATGCAGTACATTGTGCCATTCTTGAAAAAGAGCCATTTAAATGTAACTAATCATTAAAACCTCTAAATTGGCAACATAGTATAAAATATGAAATCACTATTTTTGTGTATCAATTTGCAACTTTTTTCGGGGGGGGGGGGTTGGGGAGGGGAGGGGGTAAATTTTGCAATTTCCTTTCACATAGGTTTATTCAGAGTAATATTTTACAAACTTTGAAGAAGTGGAAAATGAGATTAATTGCATGCTGTCAATTTGAGGAGGGAAAACTCACTTAACTCTTAGCTGCGATGGGTTAGTATGGACACTGATAAGATTGTTAAAAACATACTTGGTGGCTGTAATTTACCTTTTCTGTGATTGGATCCACACCAGTAACAGGGCTAGATGCTCTTCCCCTAGGAGATGTTTTAGATGGGGTGAGATCAAGACTGCTGGCTCTGGTGTGCTTTGTCTTATGTCTATCCATACTGGGCAAAAAAAGAGGAATCAAGAGACGAGAATAGAAAGTTCACTATCAGTGTTAGAATGTCTAAATGCTTAAACACCACATGTACAGTTTAAAAAAAAAATAGCTTCTTCATATTCCTAATCAGGTAATATCATCTCTTTGGAGCCAAAAGGGCATTAAGTCTGTGTTAAAGTGAACGAGTTGATACCCTTCTGGTTCCAAACAGACGATATACTTGAGTGGGAAAACAAATGAACATGGATGTTGCATTATGTATCTTGGAGATAAGTGACTCCGTTGGGAATAATTGCACATTTACAACATAGGTAATATTTGTCAATAATCAATGTATTTGACTATGACCAGAAAACAAATGGGGTGTTTGGCAGAACTGTCATGGGGTTATTTGGTATAGCCTTGAGGTAAGTCAAAGTGTCAAGTTTTATAATAGAGTATTCAAATTAGCAGCAATAATGACTGAATTGTCATTTAAGTTCATGTGTCAATCAAAGGTTCATGAAAATGGATATCATACAGCAACACAGAAGAAGCAAGACAATTTTAATAAATGACAAGATTTAACTTACGTCATTCTTGTTGTTAGATCAACTAGTCTGTTCTGAGTCCTATCCAAGTCTGCTCTGAGCCTCTCACGAGTTTCAACCTCTCGACGATGAAGTTCCTAATCGATAAGAAATGGGAAAATAACATGAGGGTGGAAATTCTGGCACTAGATATTGTAGTGTGCAAATCTGGTGAGATCATTCTTTACTTGGGTCTTATACGCCTGCCGTTGGGATGAGTCTGGTTACAAATGTCAAATATTTTTCTCAGTTTATACATCCATATAGAAGATCAATTTGTAAGGATGAAAGGCTATCCTTTTGTTGATGAAATGTTTAATATACAACATGCTTCCCAAAGCGAACATTCAATAAAATAACTACAACATGAAAACAAACTCCTTCAGGAATCTTTAAAAATCCTGTATTTTTGCTCCTTGTAGTCCTTTCGTGGTTGATCATACTGACCTTAAATCTTGCCACTTCTGTCTCCTGTGTTGCCTTCTGGGTTTGTAGCTCATGAATGGTGGACCTCAGCTGACTGGTTTCTGTCTGTTATCAGAAAGCAATTAAATTTACACATGGTTTTCATCTTAGGGATTATCATATAGACAAGAATAGAGCTATTTAATAGAGCTACAATACAGATTCATAAGATGATTTCTTGATTCAGTTTTAACAAAAGTTATATACTTAGTCTTTATTTCATACTCCTATGCAAATCTTTAAGCAGAGAGAATAATTGACAATGGGATAGAAAGAAGAAACAACTAAGTGAGAGAAAAGAGTGTATGAAACTCAGGAAGAGAGAATAAAAAATGGTGACACAACTACAAGGGAGAGAAAGAAATATGAAGTGAAGGTGAAATCTAAGACATTTAACATGGACTGGGAGAGAGACAGAGGCAGAGACATGCAGAGAGACAGAGAGAGAGAGGCAGAGAGAGAGAGAGAGATAGAGAGGGCATAGAGAGATATTCTGGAAGGAAAATATACATCTCCTGATTCGTACCTTGAGATTAGTAATGGTATCCTCTATTTCCCTCTTGGCTTCCTCCTCTCCAGACTGTCTTATCTGATCCAGTTGATCTCGAGCCGCACTCTGAATCAAACAAGATGATCAAGATACACGATAATATCTAATCAATCAATATATAAACATCACATATTCTAGAAAAATGTATCTTTCCTGATAAATAATAATAGTTTGTTCTTATATAGCACATTTTAGGACCACAGGCCCTCTCAAGCGCTTTACAGATATATTATTACCCCGGTCATCGGATTCACGCTGACCCGCACACAATGTATGCACATTCTCTACTCGCTGGGGAGCATTTTAGCCAGGCGTCATTTTTACAAGCGCACACTTGCTCATCTAACCACATTAACTTTTGAATCCTACCGGGTACCCATTTAACACTTGGGTGGAGAGTGGCAAATGTAGATCAATGTCTTGTCAAAGGATATAAATCCATAGTCTGGCAGTCATTGTATGTACTATATTTCCACAGCATCCTGCCATCCCCCCCCCTGAATGAAAGAGTGAAAATGTTACACATCAAATTGATACTGAGCCACAATAGAGCCACATGATAAAGATGACCTCAATCAATATCATGTTATATATCTAATTGCAATATAACACTGACCTGCTGTTCTAGGTATGCATTCACTTGCTCCAGTTTCTGGTTGATTTCAGATCGTGCCTGGTGATAGAGATGAAGCAGAGTCAAGGTTAAAAGCCATTTTACAGATTATAGCATTACTAATTAGTATATCAGTATACTTCGCTAATCACACTTATCGTTTTACATATTACAGGACAATGGATAGTACCTTGTGGGTTTGATAATCATTCAGAATCAGTAGGGGACATTGAAAGGACAGAAAGATATCATTGATGAAATTTAGTATAATTCAATTGAATAATAAAGTTATACATTTCTTAAATTACCTTTTGTCAACTTTTATATAGTATTAAAAAGTGTTAAACTGAGTATGCAACTGATTTATGAGAATGTGCCTACCTTTGCATCAAGTTCTAGCTTGTATCTATCTACCTCTCCTTTCTCAACATAATTGTGTTGCATTGACATCTGTAAAGTAAAGAAGGATTGATCCAGTTATATGCATACAATATATAAAGCTATCAATTTCAACTATCAAGTAACTCACCCTTTATAGTGCACATAAATTTTTGGTAAGATCTTTCAGTTATGCTATGTATTTTATTCCTGAATATCTATCACACTTCTAAAAGCAAATATGTCCCTACTAGCTCTTTAATACTCAGAATAGCACAAAGGAGAGCCACATAAACTTTCTTTTGAACACAACATATATCAAGCAAAGAACTAAAGTATCAAATAGCATAACAAATCATTTAAGTTTGTAAATAAAACTAATTGGAAAAAAGTAAAATACATGTATGAATAAAGAAAAGAATATATCAACATTATAAACTTCAAACTTGTAACATTGAACGTCATGTTAATATAGGAGAGTATGTGCAATGAAAACATCACAAACACAACTGAAATGAATCTGTTCTTGATAAACCACCAAAGGGCTGATGGGTGAGAAGGTGCTATAGGAAAGGTATGGTAGGTGAGAGAAGTAGAACATTATTGCAGCCCTTAAAAGTAAAGAAATGAAGGACTACAAGGATGATGGATAATGAGGTTAGAGAATAAACAGTATTAATAAGACTGAAATATGTTTATTGTAGAGGTGCATAAAACACTATTAATCATATAGTTATGTACATTCATAGGAAGAGGAAACATTATGTAAATAAGGAGAGAGAGAGAAGGAGGGAGAGAGGGAGAGAGAGAGAGAGAGAGAGAGAGAAAGAGAGAGAGAAAGATAGTCCGAGAGATATAGAGACAGAAAAGAGAGGTAGCATCAGTAAAAAAAAAAGTGCAATAAAAAAAAAGATAAAAAAAGAGAGATATAAAGGGAGCAGAGAGAGAGGGAGAGGGACGGAAAGAGAAACACAGATAGAGAAAGAGATTGGTAGTAGCAATAAAAGAGAAAGAAGGGTGAGACAAATAAAGAGAATGAAGTGAAAAGGGGTCACAAAAGGTGTAGGAGATGTTAGTAAATTAGTGTTAACACATGGAGTACTTGTAATAAAAGAACAAAAGATATCTTGATTAAGCAACACAAGCAGATGGCAAGAATTGTACTGAAAATAAATACTTTGATTCCCACATCCGAAATGTTTAGTACCCTAAGATGGATTGACATGGAAAAAAGATGGGATTTCAATAAAAGTAAATTAATGTATGATGTTATGAATAATAGTGCCCCATCATATTTATATGATATGTTCACCCTGTCCGCCCATACTCATAGATACTCAACAAGGAATGCTGACAATTTGGGCGTCATTATTCCAAGAATTAAAACAGAATGTGGAAAACGTGCCTTCTCAGTTGATGGTGCTCTTCAGTGGAATAGCCTACCCCACTCAGTTCGAAATGCCCCGACCAAGAATAATTTTTGTTCTCTCTACTTTAAGCAGCGATCTTAAAGATAAATTTGCCTTTCTTTCTTTATTTATTTCTTTCATGAATATTTACATAAATTTCTCAATATAATAATTTGTTAAAATCTAAATAGATCATTGATAATAATCAGAGTATATTGTTATCGATTTGAAATTGCTCGTTGAAATTTATCAATCTTACTACGGCTTTGTTTCATTATTCACTCTTACTCTTTACTCACTTTCTGTTATATGTTGCTATGTATTGATGTTTTCCATGATATTTATATTGTTCAAGTAGTTTGTTTTTTCATATATGTTTATTTATGTACAGGGCCCCCTGGAAAACAGTACTTTGATTACTGACGGGGCTACCCTGTTAAAATAAAACGGAATAAATAAATAAATAAATAAATAAATAAATAAATAAACACAAAGCCAAATAATTCAGATGAAATGTTAAGAACAGCCAGATATGGACAACTTCATGAAAAAGGATGACAATATGTTGAAAAACAATGATAATTGGGCAAAATCTTACTCTTGTTTGAGATAATTCATCTTGTAACTTCCTCTTTGATCTTTCCAGCTTGTCTTTATTCTGTTCACAAAAAAAGAAAAGAAACATAATTAGTCAATCTGTACATTGACCTACATAACAAATAATAACATTGTACATAAAATTCTTTTCACTCTTTATCTCAAGGAAAAGGTGCTCTTTGAATAACTGTAATTATAATCAATCATATTGTTTAATATTGTGATGGGATCAACATATTTTACTCCACCTGAAGTATCCTACGTTGTACACCTTTCTTTTAAGTCTAAGCAGAAATCAGGATGACTAAATGTTTTTTTTTAATCTGGCGAGAATTACTTTTGCAATGAACAAGAAATAAGATGAAATAAGATGAAATTAATTCAATTTTAAATCCACTATAGCTTCTGTATGTCTCATCTTCATGAATTGTTATATTCTTTGAAAAGGTAAAAAGCTTCAATTTGTAATCAGATACATGGTCATCAAATAACATGAGGAAATAACAGCAACTTACCTTCAATGCACTCTTGGATGAATTAATTTCTGAAATAAGAATGTTCAGAGATAGTCAAATCAGTATGATACGCAAATGAAAGAATAAGCATTGCAACCCCCAATAATAAACAAAAACCTATCATTATTATTATCTTTAATAATAATAATAATAAACAATATTTATAAGGCGCTTAATACTGGTGTCTCTAAGCGCACCATATTCTGACTTAACAATTATTTACCAAAACTTATAATAAACACACAACTTATACATCTGTTCTTTATTCAATAAATCATGCATATATAATAATAAAAAATAAGATAAGAGTGAGATCAAACAAACATACATACAAGAGGTCAAACATAGGATCAAACATAGGATCGAACAAACAAAAAATAAGACGGTGTGCACCTCCTTTGACCGACTCACAACTGCAGAATATTATTTATGAATTAAAAAGGTGCGTTTTCAGCAAGGACTTGAATTGGTCGAGAGAATGAATATTATGAAAGTGCGCTGGTAATTTGTTCCAAAGGATAGGGGCATTTACTGAGAAAGCTCGGTCGCCATATTTTGTAGCGGTACGAGGTCCGAGGGTTAACTGCAAGGTTGATGATGATCGAAGAGGTCTTTAAAGGAAGTATAACTAGCTTTTGACATTTCCTATGCAGAGTTATGAAAATGAAGTTTGTTGTTGCCATTCCCTAGAAATCCCCAATGAACTGTAACCATTCTAACATGAAAAACAAACTGCCTCCATGAATGAAGATTTCTTCCATCAAGCTATAATAAATTCTTTGTGATTCATGCCACTTCTACAAGGATACCTAAGGGTAAACCCGTATTCTGCAGATGATAATTGGAGGTGGAAAGGGGAGGGGGTAGAAAACCATCCTATATGTTTGACTAACCTTGCTGCAGTCTACGATTGTCTTTCTCAAGATCCATTCTGAGAAGATTCTCTCTCTCAAGCTGCTGATTCACATCTTCCAGCTGAAAATTAAATTCACAAAAACAGAAAGGAAACATTGATAGCTTTCCAGCACCCTTTCCTAAAAAGATGTCCATCTCTCATTCTGGAGGTGCTGTAAGTACTCTCAAGATGGTATCTGCTTTTTAGATTTTCAGGGGGCTTGTATTTGTTTCTACATGTTATTGTCATATTACCTGCATGTTTGTTACATTAGAAATACATTTCAGCCCTTTGTTAAAATTCCTTTAATTATCTCTCTAAAAATACATGTCAAATAGGAGACCATAATGCAACTATAAACTACAAACTCTTTGTGTAAAATATATTTGTAAAAAATATGAGGTTTAAATAAACGCTCTTACTTGTCTCCTAATGTTAGCCATTGTTCCATCCATGTTGATTCTTTCTCTCTCAAACTCAGACTGTAAGGTGCTGATACGAAGCTCAGGAGATTCCAGTTCCTGTCACGAAAGAAAAAATATATTATTTGTCATCCTCAGTAACAAATTCCATTTCATGTTCCTACAATAATATCTTTATTATACAGGAATTCTCTCATAAAAATTTTAGTTATGAAGAAAAAACTTTGATATCATCACATCTTGTGAAATAGAACAATACTTTCCTCAATGTTAAGAATATACATAATATGTTTTCCTTTTGGCGTGGTATGTAAACAGAAAAGTATTTTCAAAATAAACTATCTGTGATTATCTCCTTGCTCCATTAATGTTGAACATTCTTCCAAATAATATTCTGGAAATGTATTTAGCATTCCAATGCACAATCAAAACAGGATAATATTCTATTTGTTGAAAACAATTTGCCAGAGAGCAACTATTTCATGTTCTCACCTTTAACTTTCTCCTCATTAGCTTCATCTTGGCTTTGGCCGTATTTAGTTCCTGTTCCAATCTCCGGTTCCTACACAATACATAAAGAAATCATGCATCATTAGATACCTGAACTTGGTTGATTCATAAAACACTGATTTGTCATCCTGTACATACATATCATATGGTCAAATAAAGAAATTATGTGTAGATGTAAAAATATACAAACAAAATACAGTATTTTCATTCCTAATTCCCTGTCAGTCAATGGTTTTACTAATGTCTCTGATTTCAAAAACAATGAATTCAACCTAATGCAAACATGAATCAGTTTCAAAGATAACAATCACTTCTACAATAGAGAACTATTTAATCATTTAATCTTCCTTTCATTCTACCTCATTCATCATATGAACAAGGCTTGTTCCCATGTTCTTTAATGCAATACTTACTTGTCCACCTCTACATCATACTTGACTTCTAGATTTTTCTTCAATTCTGCACCTTTCCGCATGTGTCTTCTCTCCTGCTCACATAAGGCAATACAAATGACCAATCATAGCATGAATGAAGTACATGTATACAATAAGAAAAACAATAGATAAATGACCCAATAAACATAAAGAACAGAGACTTTTACTATCTTGTAAAGGCATTAGGTAAGATATACAGAATATTTACCTATCTAAAAATAGTGGATCTTACATCCTTCTACAAAAATTAAAAATATCCATTTTTAATCTTAGGCCAAGAACCTACATGTATGTGTATGCACATGTACATTGTACATGGACATGGACAGACCGGCCGAAGCCTTGAGACTGCCCACCCCAAAATATCAATAACACATGCAGTTGTTGTTATTATGAAATATTTCTGACAAAATCAAACAGAACAACATATTAGATAATGCACAGAGATATGAATAATGAATTATACCAGAACAATGATTAATGGAGACAACTACTAGAAATATATTTATGGCTAGTGTGACAGATCTAAAACCAAATAACATATCTCACCTCTTCAATATCAGCTTGCATTCTTGCCTTCTCTTTCTCAAGCTGAGATATCTGTCATGAGAGGATAAAGGTTCAAAAAGCACATTGAGAATACTATGCTGTGAAGCTATTCTTGTTGTATTATTAGCAAAACTGCAAGAGCATATGTTTTGCATGCATAACCTTTTATACAAAAATCTAGTCAAGCACTTCTAAGTAGGAATCAATGAGCAAGGAATATGACCCCTGGACAAAACGCTCTCCATATTTCATTACAATATCCTCAGAGTGGTAAGTGACAAATTATACTGACCCTTATTCCTATCCGTGACCTTGATTTGACCTCAATTTCCCACAAGTCCTTGTGTTCTCCAGCTTCTTTAGCAAAGATGTTTCTGGCAGCAAACTCTTCCTGATATCATCATAAAAGACCAATCAAATTTAGGAAATATGTAACCAGCAGCAAAATAATATGTCAGTAATTATGGATTATTTATTTGTAAAATTGTATTATATGTGCATACCACACAATATATTAGTATGTAATGTATATTCCACCAAACTCACCTGGAACTAATGGTTGAAATCACAATAAACAAGAATTAATTACCTTATACTAGTACAAACATTATTAAAGGCACTACCAAATAGAAATGGTACACTTCTATATGCACATGGTTATTGCAACAGTAGCCCTAGAAATTTACTGCCTTGATTTTACTATCATGCCTATGTGGGTTATCCAACTATCTAATTTCACACATATGTTAGAAAATTGTAACATATTACACTGTTCTCACCGATACAGGAGGAATGGTTAAACAGGCAAAATATCCATACACAATAATGCTGCAACATTATTATGGGTATATCTTACATTAAAAAATCAGGATGCAATATTGATGTCATATATATAACGGATCCCCTTTTACTTACGTTGAGTTTGCCCTCTATTTGTAGATTACTTGTCTTCAGTGTAGTCACAAGGGCTTCTAGACCACTGCGAATCTAAATAACAAGGATATTACATTTACATCAAAATACTTAAGTTATTTGGTTTATTAAATTTAAAGAGGAAGTTATAATATATTACCTTACTTTTTATCATCAGTTGTATAGGTGCAAAACTCCTTACATAAGACTTTGTATCATTTGTTTTGCATAATGGATATATGTATAAGTCATGTTAATTTCAAAGTAATAATGGATGATAGTTTTACAGGCAAGAAATTTTGTGAAATATCACAAAGTGAAAGAAACAACAACACCACACACAAACAAATTACCAAACATAAACAAAATAGTTCTGTCACTTTGTGACTTAGCATTGGTTTTTACACAAGCAAAATTACTTGAGAAAAATGGTTATCTGTTTCACTGCTATCTTAAAACATTGGGGTTTTTTTTTCTTCTAAAAAATGAGGGGGAACATACCTTTTGAGATTCCTGTAGATCGGTTTTCAGACCTTCACTTCTCTCATCCAGCTGCTTCACGATGATCTCTAGACGAGAATTCTCAGCCTGAAAATGCCGAAGTCTCTCTTCAAGTTCGCTCTGGTCAAAGATGGTAGAAAAAAAATATTTAGAAACTGAGTCATAAAATACATTAAAAAAACAGATGAAACATGAAAAAGTAATAACAACATTCATTCAAAAATGCCAAGATACAAAGTGTTTGCTGATCTGTTATTTTTAGCCCCTACTAAAACACCAAAGAGTGTAGATTGAGCAGAAAATTCATAATACATAAAAAGAAAAAAACATGAACCATGAATCATACATATACAAAATCTCTCATCATTTCAAAAACCTGATACAATGTTGCTCAAATCCCTTTCTTTGCAAATCGTTCTATCATTAATATCATCTATGCCTAAAACAAGACGGGCATCACTGCAATAGCCAACAAGAAAACAACATAAGCTGGGACTAACAATCGATGTCTCACCAGTTTTTGTAGTGATTTGTGAGTAGAGACGAGTTGTTGTGATGTTGCCATGCTACCCCTCTCGGCCTGTAGAAGATCATTCTGTAGCTCTTCAATCCTGGTCTCTAAGGTTCGTCTCTCTTGCTGCATGACCAGGACCTGATCTTGGACTTGTTTCATTTCTGACTTGACGCCCTCTTTGTCCCTATGCTGATCATCCAGAGCCTAAAGTAGTTATAAATTAATTGGCATTATTCATTTAGACCTAATCTTGACATCTAATCTAAACTTGACAACCTAGTCATTTAGGGACTAAGTTTTAGTATGAGGGCAAAGTATAATTATGTTTTAAAGGGACTTGATAATTGTCTTTACATCAACATACCGGTACTTGACTCTTTATCATAATTTTTTTTAAATGTAAATCATGCACTGTTGTCCATGAAATTAAAATAATTAATTCTTACCTCTTTTTAAAATATTTTTTACTGGAAGGATTCTGACAATATGGTAGTGGTCACAAGCATTTCATAAAATGAGCTAAAAATGTCATACGTTTTCAGACTAAAAATAGGGTAAAATATCGGAACAGTCCTCTATGTTACTTTACAAGCAGATTATTTAAAGCTACTATATATTTTACACTGTGGTTCAACCATCCAATCCTACCCCTGATATGAGGAAGAGTGTATATCGGTAAGTATTTCCACATGAAAGAATATTTTGAGCTTTTAACAGTACGATCTAATAACCATGCAAAGAAATGGTCTCAATTGAATAAAACTTCCTCACCTTTTTACGAATGTCCAGGTTTGCTTCAGCAATAGATTGTTTTCTCAAGGCCTCTGTTAACTCCTGAAATGGGCAAAAGAAAGTTAAAAGATAAGTAAAGTATGCTGAGTATAAGTTAATATGATGGTATTGCCAAGATTATATGAATCTGCCTAGAAGCTAGGAGTATATACTTAAGAACATATCATACTGGCTACAGAGTTAAGTTCTTGATATTGCTAATATTAATCATCAATCATTAGCCTCATTGCTACCATTCTAAAATCACTCAAATCAACTCAATCAAGATCATCTTCATATTAATCATCACCACCATAATCATTCTCCTCCTCATCACCATCGTGATCATAATTATACTTGTTATCATCACTACTTAACCCTCATCATTGTTTCCACCACCCATTAAGTAAAAGTCACTAGCACCACTACCACTACCATTATCATCATTGCCATCATACTCCTCCCCATCATCACTGCCAATTTCTAATCGTCATTCTCACTCCAATTACCTATTGTGTCTGCTTCTGTACTTGTTCCCGTAGCTCTCTATTGCGGCCAGACTGGCAAGTCTTCCACAATAAAGTCATCTTAAATATAATTACCTCACCACCATTATCACCACTATAAATGCCTGAATTATTAATAATGCCACAATTACTAATAGCATAGGCTCCACCACAATGGCACCAACACTATTAACAAACTCACTCACCACCCTCTTCACTACCATCCATGCATTAAATAAATCACCTGTTGTATCTGTCTAAGTTCTTGTTCTCTCAGTTGTCTGTTATGTTCAGAATGGCGGAAGTCTTCCTTCACACGTGTCATGGTCTCTGCCATGTTAGTGTGCTTCTCTTCCCAGATAGTGCGAGCCTACAATAAGAAAAATCATAATTCATACAAGTTGAATAAAGTAAAACTTTAGTACGAAACTGAAGTGAAAATTAGTTGATTTTTCAAATACAGACATGATGAGCATATAAATGTTTCTTGTGTATTTATATTATTTCATGTGTATATTAAACATTTCTTGTTCAAATGAAATGTTTCTTGTGACAATGAACATGGAAACAAAATAATGATGTATAGGATATCGAGAGATGTTAAATCAGCGAAATTTTAGCATTCGGTTTGGTACAGAAACTTAATTCTTTAGACACTTCAACCAAATGACTCTTAGAACATAAATTATACCTATTCTGTTCACAGGAAATTTTTTCTTTAAATACAAGTAAATATAATCACCTCATGCTAAACAAAATTGAAGATAAATGAAACATGCATGTTATTATCTTCAAATCACTCACTTCTCTGCAAACTTTTCTACTTTTCTGGCATTGTCTATGTGGAGTTAAAAGTACAAAAAAGCACAATTGACAGCCACATTGTGAGTGGAAGAAAATGAATGCCACATACATGTATACAAATTTAAGACAACATGACAGTAAGTTTCTTAGACAGAAAAGATGATTTTAAAATAATTTTGAAAGTATTCCGAAGGGGCATACAAAATCCACAGCAAGTACATGCAATAAATACTTTACTCACTCCTTCAATTGACATCTGTGTTACATGTTGCATGCATGAACATGGACAAAACAAAAAATGAAATGGAAAAAGGGAGTGCAAAGGTGAATGACCTTTTTCAAATATTGATTTTTGAAAAAGCTGTTATGAAGTATCAACATATCATGCAGTTCAAAATACATGTGCATGCAAGACAAGAAAGAAGAATGGAAGAAATTCATATGATACATGAGGTTAGAGTAATATCATTAAGCAAAATATTGTCATATAATATATGTTAAAAATGTAGATGGGAAAGATTAATTTGGATGAATGATTACAAAATTACTTCAGAGGGATAAATAAATGTTGTTGTAGTTAGTGCACAATGATTTACCCTATTGTTTTCCATCTGCATGGTAGTAAGAGTTGTATTCAGCTTATCCTGCGAAACGGAAATCAAATTCATAAATATGTAACCCTCACAGTATAATCCCTTTTTTAGATTAGATACAAAGAAATATTGAAATATAGTCACCATTCCACAGCATACCATTATAACAGAATATTGAATGAAGATGATTTCTATTATCCTCACTTTCATGGTACACCAATAAGAGATTGGGATGTGTGCTTCAAACACTCAGCAAAAAAGTAAAGAGATTTAATTTGATCTACAAGAGGCTAGCACATGTAAATAGAAGAAATGAGAGCTTGCAATCTAAATTCAAAGATAGGAAAATAAATACAAGAAAAATTCATCATTTCTGAAAGGAAAGGTGTTTTGTAAAAGCACCATAATTCCTGTCAAAGCTATTGATCTCATACTTGCTTGACAAAAGAAAAGAAAAAAGCCCCACAAAAAAGCAGCATCAATAATCTATTTGCTTCTAAATCTAAAGATACATTGTCAACATGACAACAATTTTTTTTTTACAGCAGTGTAATTTACAAATTATCTATTTTTCATGTTTACAGCATGAGTAAACATGCTACAACTTCCAAGTATATATATTGCATTCATGACTTTCACAAGCAAATGAAGCATGCTAAAGCACATCCAAAACTACAAGCTGCCACCATATTTTGAATTATTCAGAATAGAGATTACACGTCGCAATTCATTAACTTTAAAAGTTTAACAGAAATTTGCAGAATATACCAAAGTATTACAATTCCGGCTAGATGAAAACCTATGTGAAAATAGAGTTGCTATCAAGAATTTACATTTTCAAATGTATTTGTGGAAACGGCTCTTTTGTTATACATATTTGGGACGATAGAAAATCTAGAAAACAACTGATAATCATGGCAAACTAGATAATTTTCATTGTTTCTTCCATTTATGTAAAATGCAAAACTAAAGAGTTTTCAATCTTCATAGCAGTATTACTTTGGAAGACTGTCAAGATCACTTGAGAATTTAATAAGTTTTCACTCTGTAAGTAACAAAAGCGATCATTAGCAATTTAAGGGTGTAATACAAATATCATTTCCTACTTTGCCATTGATGAAGTCAACATTTTAGATCGGTAAATTTGATCTGATTCAGATGAGAACTGAAAACAATTTAATTCCTCTTGTTCTCAATTATTGATGAACAGTGTTTTCAATATGATTTTTCTCTCGTTTCGTGTAGCATTTTGAGAGCTTGCTTCTTGAGCAGTTTTGAATGGATGCAGTTTACAACCAGCCAGCATACATTTTACATATATAAAAAATATCATCATCATCATTCCTAACAGCCAAGAAGTTAGAGTTCCAGCTACCATGGATAACACCTTCACCATCTCTTTAGTATACCTGGGTGTTTGCAGTCTCCCTGTTCTGATCTCTGTTCTCATTCTTGGCAGCTTCCAATGCCTGGCGTAGCGACGTGACCTGTGCTCGGGACTCTGTCAATCTATGGTAGACACGAAAGGATCACAAATACAATTTTAATCTTTTCTTTTTAGGTAGTTTGTCCTACATAAGAAACACTGTATCCAATATAAAAATACATCTTATTTGTTTCATTTTAATGTTTTCTCTGATATCATGTCTATCCTACATCAACAAAAAAGAGAAAAGAATAGCCAAAGCTCGCAATTCATGATGTTTGTTATAATTCAATTGCTGTATGTCATTTACTTCAATCATATTTATAAATTTTTTCCTTTGAATTCTCAGCTTGCAAGTATAGTAATATGGAATTACAAACACTCAATTTTTTTTGGACAAGCACTCCAATAAACAGTAGGCCTACAGCCTATACCGCAAAATAAAGTTATACTCACTTTTCATTGAGACTTTCAATCCTTGCAGCTAGCCTTGCATTCTCATTCTGTGACCAAAACAAGAACATTTCAGTTAAATCAATTAATTAATATGAAGAAAAAGTTACATGCTTCTACCCGACACATTAGATTAATGAACGGATATCATCATATCTTTTGGTTAGATTGTTAACACAGTTTATATATATTACAATTTAAAGGGAGAATATAAAGACAAAGAAGTGACAGCTTACCCTATCTTTCTGCAGCATTGCATCATGGGACTGTTGACTCGTCGCACCTTTCTCTAGCTCCCTCTTGAGGGCAGATAGCTGATTTGAACGCTCACGCAGGGTTGCAGTCGCCACTTGGAGCTATAGTTTTAAAATAATGAGAAAAATGCAATGAATATACCTGTATAAAGAATGTAGAGGGTTAAAAGAAAGAGGCGCAATGGTTCAGTGGTAACTGGGAGGTCCCGTGTTCGAAACCAAGTCGAAGCCCTAGTGCCCCTTGGTAAGGCATTACTCCTCATTATCAAGTTTCTCCGAGAGGACTTAGAGCCGTCGGTCCCCTGGTTGCTTAATTACAAGCATACAGTCAGGTCAAACAAACAATTTTTCAAAGTAGATACAAGACAGTACATTGTGATCTAAAATAATACGTCCAATACCATCTAATGATTGCCATTCACACCATGTAACATGGAGTATTAAACACACAGAATTCTAATTGTCACATACACCCTGTATATCAGAATTCTGTCATTCCTACATTATTTCCTATTCCTATAAATCCCCTTCCTTGGTAAATACTTACCTCATTTTCCAGTCTGTGGACCTTACTCTCTGCACTGCTCAGTTTCCTTGCTGAAGTCTGCCAAGGAAACATTAATGAAAAGGTTTGTTTATCAAAAATTTCCTTGGTAATTTACAAATGTTAACTTATTCATGGGATTTGAATTAAACCAAAGCTGGAAGGCTCAACTCCACACATCCAATTCAATATCATAACAATGTCCTTAGCACTTACATAAATGATAATTATTTATTTTAAATCACTTTGACTTTTATTTGATATTTTCATTAAGAGACTATTAGAGATTATCACAAAAAACAAGCCTTAATCTGACATCTGTGCTGGACATTTCAAATCAAAATGATATCTGAATGTATCTGGATAATGATATCCATATTGGATGAACACTTCTTGAATGAAAGAATATTAATTACCTGACTGTTGTCCTTCAAGCTTGAGACCTCCATAGTTAGTTTTTCAACAGATCTGCTCCACTCCTCTTCCCTACGCTTCAATTCACTGAAGTATAAAAAATAAAAATGGATTGTGTCCATCACATATTCCCAAAATATTTTTGACAGATAAATCTTTCCTTCTTCAAGGTACTGTAAGCAGAATGAATATAAAATCCAACTCCAGTCGAAGGCAAATTTCGTTTTAGAGCTGCTCATGGTTAATCATGTAGGTGGTTCATTGGTCACTATAGATACAGTAAACACCACACCAGATCCACTTAAACAGTGGAAGAATATACCAGATGGTGGACTGTACTGTAAATTATGCAAAGCTATGCATGAACACTAAAAACAACTTTGAAGAAAGCAGACTGTAGCTAAGGATTATGGGTTGATGTACAAAACCTACATATGCTACATTTTATTAATTCCAAGATACATAGAATTTATATATATAATTATTCCATTTTATTATCAAAGTACACAGGTATGTGAGTATAATGTCTCATGCGGGTATAATCATTTAGATGTAGAATTGGCATTAAGCACTTAAGAAAAGGATTGTGAGCTTACCGTTCAGTTTCATTTCTGACTAATTGTGACTTTTCCAGCTCCACATTGGTGCTATTTACAAGTTTCTTTGCAGATGATAGCTATGGAAGAAAACAAGAAATTTTACATCATATTTAATGGAGTAGAAGATGACAATTTGTTTAATTGATGAAGAAAAAAAATCATTAGAATAACACGTCAGTGAAAATACAACAGATAACATCTAATTTTAAACCAGTTAATCTGAATTTCATTGGATCAATGCCTCAAACAGGCGATTATCTGCTTGTGATGCAAATGCATTTTAAGCATTAGGGGATTGATTATAAATCACACTGTTGCAATTTTCCTGACTTGGTTAATTTTAGACAGATAGTATAATCTCTATTAAACACTGGTAATTCCACTTAAGTGTTTTCATAGCACTTAAACAGGGCACATGATGTAAGAAAGGCAGCCTAGATATCATTTTATGCTACAATTAGTACTTCACTTGACTTCTTCAAAAAATGTCTGAGAACAAACCTCTATAATTCTTTTTATTTTGTTGAAGGAGTAAGAGACGTTGAAGGGGTACATAGACCATGCCTTACATGTATATCCTCTGGAAAAGGCGCTACATAAATCCAATCATTATTATTATTATTATTAATTACGATGTAGGACATTACCTCTGTCTGTACCCTGTCTATCTCTGTCTCTCCTCTCTCCAGCTTTGAGTAGAGCTTGGTGTTTTCAGCTCTCACTGCAGCAAGCTGTACATTGAAGGCCATGGTAGCATGGGCTAAGGCCTCCTCATTCACTTGCTGTAGAAAATCAAACAAGAATTATAAGCGATTAGGATATATATATATATACATACATACATATACATTAAAGGTACCGTAAATCTCCGTGTATAAGGCGCACTTTTTTGCCGCCGATTTTTTTTTTTAGTTTCGATTTATGGCGCTATGCCTGGCAAGTCGCATATGTTTTCTATGTTTTCTATAACAAATGGTGTACCACAAGGTTCTATCCTAGGTACTCCATTATTAGAAAGATAGAGGATGCTATTCATATCATGCATGACTATTGATGTTTGGCATAGAACACAGTGCTTCTGCTAGGTGATGTGAAGAGGCTGGTGTGGGACACTTGGTATCATGAAGCCTTGGACTGTTGTTACTATTATTTGTGACAAGTTCACAACTTCTACTGCACCTCGATGTAAAATGAAGGTCCTTCCCCGCGTGGGTTTTCGGCAACAAAACAACAACAACAACAAAACAAAAACGATTTTTTTTTTTTTTTTTTTTTTTTTTTTTTTTTTTTTTTTTTTTTTTTTTTTGGTATCATCACGTATTAGTCAAAACATATTCTTTCACATGATTGGTAATAAGAGCTTCCATTTCATTTTTTGAGAGGGGGGGGGGGGCGTTTCCAAAACTGGTCTTTACCTTTAATCATCATGTGTAGATAAATACAATGTATACTGAATAATTTGAATTTGATGTCAGGAAGTTGCATGGCTGTACACAGATGCATGGTTGATACCTATGACCCAAGTGTGCTGTCAGATCACAGGTTTCCCTTTTCTAAATGTTACACTTGCATTCATCCCATTTAATTTACTTGTACATGTATCAAAGAGAACTGTTGCTGAGCTAGCGCCATGAGCGTCCCTGGACGGTGTGTGCGCTCTATAAATTTACGCTATTTTTCTTCTTCTTATTATTATTATGATTTCTGAAATTAGACACAAACATTTTGATGAAAAACAGTAACCTATCTGAATTCACCTCAGTCATGATAATGGACTTACAATGTCAGACTTGAGTTCTTCAATCTTGTTGTTGAGTTCTTGGTTTTCTGTTGCTAGGAAACCTTGGTTGTCATGGTGATGTATACTCTGTCTCTCTAGTTCAACCTGCACAATAAAGAGATATGGCATTACATGGCATTACATGGCATACTGCAGCTAGGATCAAATTGCAGAAGTGCTACCTAGATATAGCATTAAAGAGTGATTTTAATGATGTTTATAATCAAAACCTGCAAATACAAAGATGTTCTCAAGAGACATTCCTTTTGATTCCATGTATTTGGGGAAGACAAAGTTGAAAACTTTAATTAGATATTTGTATGCAAAATGATGAGGAAATGCTGACTATTAGTCTTATTCATTTTTCTCTTTACATATATATATATATATATATATATGTTTTTTAATCTATATATATGTTTTTTAATCTATTCTTTTTTAAAGGGGGGAGGGGGAAGGGCAAGATTGAGAGACTTACCTTGAGGGCATACAAGTCCGCCTTGAGACGATCATTATGAGAGAGAGCTGCTTTTCTACTCTCATCAGCTGCTTCAAGTCTTGCTACTGCTTCAGCCTGTAAGCAGAAGATGATTTCATACACTAGAAATATTAATCTATTCTTAAATCAAAGCCTAAAGGGTTTAACCATGAGACGATTTCATAATATGAAGCCTGTGTACAATGCCGGTCGACTCATTTCTTTACTTCTCAATTTGTTTAAACAATAAACATGATGGTTTTTATTGGTTCAAACATATTCCTTTCAAAGCAAGAAGGCGGACACATTTAGTGCCATGCATTCTTGAGAAATGAACAAATTCTTCAAATAAAAGCGCAATATTATAATTTTTATGCATCAACACAAAGAGCTTGCAAAGGAGACTTACCTTCTGATATTGATACTTCGATGCACCCTATGAAGAAAATAGGTAAAAGGCAGAAAAATACAAATAGCATGTTATATCATCATTTCCTTGCTGTTATATAGTACCTATAAATAAAGGTATAATGTTGTTAAATCAACTCCACCCAGGTGAAGTAAATGGGTACCTGGTAGAAATGTATTCCTTGAATGCTAGAGCACCGTATGGCAGCCGTGCTAAAGCCAGGGTAATAATCGGAGCGCCAGGAGGGTCAAATCTTACTGACATGAGCGCTATACAAGAACCCACTATTATTATTATTATTATTAAATCATATAGTCAATCAAAAGAGAACAAGATATTTAGGTTTTTTTCATAGCTTTACTGGGTGTAAGCCACAAACATGTTCAAACAAGATTTTAAGTATATATTTGAATGCAGGATGATGGTGGAAACGACTATTTTTGGGGAATAATTTCAACTGACTTTGAACAAAAATACATGATTATATGTATCCACTTTATGTAATTCCTTTGATAGTTAATGCATAAAACTGTTTAAAAAAAGGTTGAAATAGTTTCACATTACTTGAAATAAACAGAGATAGATTCAGATTCACAGGGACGTGGAAGGCAAACAGACGGAAATTAGAAGATAATGCAACAGATTCAACAATAAAAACAGAAATGTATAAAGATAGATGGAAATCCAATATTCTTACTTGTTTGAGCTTCATCTCCTTCTCTTCCTGGTCTTGTAAGATGTCTTGATGCATCAGTCTTGCATTCCTCTCACTCATTGCTTTCTTCCTCAGCTCATCTCGCTCTTCCTCCAACTGATAAACAATATCATATCAACATTCATTAGAATATCCCATTTAAATCCCATTTAAGTCGTGTTCTTTTCACGAATATCCCTTACCTAGCATTTCTCTCAAGAGAAATGATTTGCAACTAGCAAAATACTCATCACATGTAAACAATACATTCTTAACAAATTGACGATGCAACTGGTGATACTTAATTATTCAATTACGGTACTTGCAAATAAGTCAATAAATATATTTTCTAAGTGATACAGAAGTTTTCATAAATATCAATTACACAACATAATCAATTTCATATTCTATGAAAAAGAAGATTTGTAATCAGTTTGACAGTATACAGTGATTGAATTGTTATCATAATCAAATGTAATATAATTTTACCATTGAATTGACCATTCATAAGTTCAAACATACACAGATTACATGAAAAGTCATAACCAAACAATCACCTGCTTGATAAGATTAGCTGCTGATTTCAGGTCTACTTGAATGGTCCTTGCTGCTAGCTCAGCCCTCTGTTTGGCTTCAACCTCCCTAGTTATTAAAATACAGAAGGACAAAGTGATAAAAAAGATTGAGATATATAAAAATGGTTCAGGTATGTCACTGAAATGAGCATCTGCAAGGTGAAACACGAAATTAAAAAAAGCATTTATTATCCTTTTCAATCAAGAACCTTAAGTTTAAAATCTGCAAAAAAAGACCCCCCCCCCCCCCTCCAAACAAAACAAAAACAAAAAAGTGGAAGAGAGAGGGACACCCAAAGTGAGGAAATCACATTTACTACTCATAAAAGATGGGATAATGAGGAATTAAACCATAAATCATGATGAGATAGATTGTTACAGGGATATCTAAATTCATCATTTTGTTAATCTCTTAACAAATGACAGGATTAAGAACATTTGGTAAAGAGGAGTATGTAGGAATCCTGGCTAAAACATACAAATAATACTGTACAATTACACAGGGTAGATATCATACTTCAAGGAGACATTATCTTTGACATTCACAGTGAGCTCATTGCATTCCTCAGTTTAACTACAATTATTGGTGACCAATAACTTACTTTGTGAATGCCTGTTCCCTTTTGATGAGTTGTTCTTTTGTTTTCTTCAAAATCAGTTCAGCATTGCTACGCTTCTCTGTCTCCTGGTCCAACCTATGCCTGTACATGTTATAAAAGAAATAAAGTCCATTGACTAACCAACATATGCGCCTGAATGAAAAACCAAGCCTCTCATCATCATTACTACTATTGGACCTCCAACCATTGTCGTTTTACAGCTAATAAACAAAATTTGTTTGCAATGTATGCAACTGTATGCACTGCTATGTACACACATGTAGAATGTAAATGTATGAATACGAAACTTATAATACAAATACAAAATAAAATCATTAGGAAAAAAAATCAACCATATATCAATAATTGTATAACATACAACTTTAAAAGGGGTTTGTAATTGGTAAATGTTTGCAAATATATTTGCATGATATAAATAGTGTTTTAGTACATCAGTCAAATCCTAATTAAGCCTAAAATATACTGTATATTGTTGTATCATATAAAAAGCAAGATTTTCTACAAAAGATACCCCAACATATAAGAATGTCCTCTATACTTACGCATAAGTCCTAATCTGAGATTCGAGATCCAGTATCTTGGACTCGAGTCCTGCCTTCATCTCACTAACTGCCATCAGTTTGCTTTTAGATAAGAAGAAATTCAAAAAGTGAATCAATCTCACAGAAAAGAAATCTTCATTGCATTACATTTTGTTTAAATGAGGATTTTAAGCTGTAAATAGAAATAAAATGTTGCTTTTATTTCTGTGGTACATGATTAAAGATTCTACGATTATAAACTGTATCCCGAAATTCACAACATTGGGTTTTTTAATTACTATGTAGAAGGTATAATATTCTTATTTTTTAGGAAAGGCATTTATAGCATAGTAATACGATAATGCGACTGATTTTTAAAAAACTGGACTTCACAAGCAAAATATCCACTAGTGTATATCTACTTCCAGATTTGATCTTCTTTCTTTCCTTAATTATTTTTGTATGCAGGGACAATATGCTTAATAATCTGATGACGCTGTCGTAGCTCATTTTGAGTTTAAAGTTCTAAATAATTTTAAACTATTGCATGATGAAATGATAAAAAAAGACAATGCAGAAGAAAGAACTTGAGTGGATGACATTATGATATGATTAGAATTTAAAGTCTTTACTGAACATCCAGTCTGGGTGAATACAAATAATACATTCTTTGTGGTAAACCTACTTGTAGAAGTCCTGCTTCTCACTCTGTAGAGTCTTACACCTGTTCTCTGCATTAAGCCTAGCACTCTTCTCTCTGTCTGCTCGTCGTCTCATGTCCCGTAACGCTTGATGAAACTGCATGGCAGTCGTTGCATCTGATGTTCAAATACACCAACCACAAAAAATCAGGTACAATTATGTATTGGGGTAAATGAAATTCTAGGTTCCATGTTTCATATTAAATGACTTTGTAATCTGGAACTAAAAGTATCTGTGACTTGAATGTACATTGGTAATCTGAATCCCAGTCACGCCATCAAACCAACTCAAAACCCAACTCAAAACCCACCGATTCTGGATTATTCGGGGGTAATGTAATCTTTTAAATTGGTCTTTTGTCGGTCTGCTGTCCATCTTGTTGGTGTGAATAGGGTACAGTATTAGATTCCATCAACACTGAGCTATTCCATATCAGATTTGTATCAACAATCTAACAATTTCAAATTTACAGTAGCTTGCAAAATATTTTTTGGCTCTTGTCTGTTTACTCAGCTTCCATTAATATTGAACACTTGTAATTATCTCACTTTCTGTCATTGATACCATCATACAAACAATACATCCTGATTGAGATGACTCCTTGTATTATTATTTCAGCAAACCGACCACTTATCTACCTACTGTGACCAGGATGTTGCCTTTACTGACTGAAATAACACTACCAGTACAACCACTACCACTTTGTGAGGATGTGGACAAACATAATGATTAGTATGATAATTTTGTTTACCCTAGAATGCCTCATCAGCATCAATGCTGTTCTTTCAGAGGACCTGCAATTATCATTACCCCCCCCCCCCAAAAAAAAAAAATGTAATTGTCAGGTTCCTATTTGCAACTGGGTGGAGAGTGGCAATTGTGGATTAATGTCTTGCCGGAGGAAATTAGTACCAGGCTTGGATTTGAACCCCGAACCCTAGGATTGAGATTGGTTAATAAACCACTATACCACGACACCGCCACATACCTAGAGTTGTATCCAGTGATCCATGGGGGACGCCGGTGAGGGGTGCGATAGGGGTGGATGCCAGGAGGGGCAAGGTGCCTAATTGACCCCCATCATCAGCTGCAGACCCGTTGCCTTCTTCACTGCTGGAGTAGTCAAGGCCATCCCCTTCACTGAGTATGGCCATCCATTCAGGCTGGTAATGTAAAGAGTAAAGAGGAGTGATGGACAGTTGGCAGATAATATGAAGAGACACAGACAGACAGACAGAGAGAGAGATAGAGAGAGAGAGGGAGAGAAAGAGAGAGAGAGAGTGAGAGAGATACAGAAAGAGACCCAGAATATTAGACACATTGAAGAAAAAAAGACAAGGAAAGGAAATATTACTGCATGTACCCATGATATATTATATTCCAAGGGTATATTCAGAATATTGGATTTTATGCATTCAGTGCTTATTTAAGCCTCATCTGGCATGAGACGAATATGCTCAGAGGAGCATTTTACACACAACAGGTGTCATTGCACTTAATAATTACAATAGCACCATGCAATATATCCCCTTAAGTGTGTTATTCTCGCGTGACTTATTAAAAATAAAGGAAGAAAAAGATGGGTTTGTGTTTCTTGGTATTCAACATTAATCTAATATACCTTAAAAACAGCTCAGCAGTTTTCTCTCATAAGATCTGTATCAATACATGCAACTTCATATTCACCCTATCAATAAATGTAAACCAACCTCACTTGATTATTTTCAATCATAACAAATCACTTGATTCATGCATGACCACTTACCTGTTGTTTCTTGTTTGTGTTGGTTGTATTGTGATGCAGAAGGGATGGTGGCAAGGAGCTGGTAAGGGGTCTTGATCCAGCTCTAAATAAAAGGGAAAAAATGGAGAAGAGAAATATAACACAAAATAAATAGGAAATGCTGTCCGTATAGAATCATGTTGTTTAATGATATCAATGATGCACTACATTGTTATTAAGGTTTATATCAGATGCTGTGAATTGAAATCTCATCCAATTTTATGACATGATATCAACAAAATTCAAGATATCATTTTTTAGAACATGTCAGTGGACTGCAAAATGAAACTATAATAATTTGATGGTATTTATATTCATGTATTTCTTGAGTCATTAATGTGTCCTCCTCCTGTCTCAGACATCTATGAAATAATTGTTTCTATATTTGTTTTGTTTTTGCACACAAGTATTAAAATGGTATGTTTAACCCATGCATAAGATAATTCAAAAAGTGAAGTCAACTGGTTAATGGCAGAAGACTGAATTTCAACATTAAAATGGTAAGCCATGAGTGGGTTCATTTCAGTAACAGAATGTGATGCCATCAAGTAAGCCTGAATATAACTCACACTAATCCTGAAGGGTGTCCTAGCTCTGATGTGTTGTGTAGCTTGATGAAGGTCCCATCTGTTCCTGCTGTCATCCCCATGCTCTGCCCCATCGTGCTGTAGAGAATAGGATCGGACATCTCCATCTGATCCTTCTCCATCTTCATTGACTCCATCTCGTGAGTCAGCTCATCAATCATTCCATCAAACTGACTGACAGATGAGATCGTGTCTGACCTCTCCTCGTCCATCAGACGCCTCTCAATGTTCTGCTGGTAGAGGTTCAGGGCTTGGTCGACACTCCGGTCTCCCGCAGCAGTCTCCTGGAGGCTCTTGGGAGGCAGTTCTGTGGGACGTGTAACATTCTGCTGTTGCTGTTTTCTTTGCTCTTCCAGCCTCTGTCGCATCATCCGCTTCATCTCTTCCAGCTCATCACGTTTCTTCTCCATCTCCCTGGTTCGGTTCATCAGCTGCTCGCGCTCTTCCTGAAGCCTCTGCTTTTCTTGTTGCAGCTCCTCCTTGGCTTTAGAAGCTAGTTCTGCTTCCTTCTTCAACTGTCCTTCGATGTCACCTGTCACATTCAGGTTGTCATTGTATTTCTCTTGCATAGTCTTCTCCATGTCTTGCCGATTTTGATCCAGCTCTCTCCAACTCTGCTCAAGTTTAGCTTTCTCTTCCTTCATGGATCTCTCCAGGGTCGATAAGTTTGTCTTTTCCTTGATTTGTTGCTCTTCAAAGTCCTTCCTCTGTTGCTCTATGCGTTGCCTTTGATCTTCCAGCCTCTTCCTTTCATCCTCTAGATGATGTGCTGCTGCTTGGCGATCTGTATCATCAGCTTCACCAGCTGATCTCTTATTGAAAAGTTCATCTTCAAGCTGTTTCCTGACATCTTCTTGTCTCTTTCTCTCATCTTCCAATCTCTTTTCTTCTCTCTTGAGCCGTTCTTCTTCCAACCTCTGCTTTTCTTCTGCTTCTTCCTTTGCGGCTTGCAGTTTCTTCTTTTCTTCTTCTTGCTGTCTTCGCAGCATCTCAAAGTGTTTCTTGAGCTCATCAATCTTATTCTTCTCTTCTGTTTGTTTATGCTTTTCTGTATCCAATTGTTCCCTTTCTGCAGTAAGCATAAGCTGATTTTGTTGCTTTTCTTCATCAAGTTCTTTACGTTCCTTTTCTCTGATCTCTTCTTCCTTTCTCCTCATCTCTTTAAGACTCTGTCTCTCTTCCTCAAGCTTTTGTTCATTTAATTTTCTTTGTTCCATGAACTCTTTCTTTTCCTCTTCTCTTCGCTTTTCTTCTAATTTCTTTTCTTCCAAAAGCTGTCTCCTTTCTTCTTCAATTCTGTTCAGCTCTTCTTTTCTCTCATTTCCCAGCCTCTTATTTTCTTTTTCTCTTTCATTTGCGATCTCCTCGTCAGCTTCTTGTTTTCTCTGGGCTTCTCTATTCCTATCTTCTTGAACTTGTCTGCGTTCTTCTTCAAGTACCTCTCGTTCTCTCTCCAAGTCCATCTCCATCCTCTGCCTTTCTTTAATCAACTGTTCTTTCCTTTCTGCTTCTCTTCTTTCTTCTTCTTCTCTCTTTATCTTTTCTTGTGCAACATTTTCTGATTCCAGTCTCATCTTTTCCTCTTCCAACTGCTGTTTTTCCTTGGCAAGCTCTTCCTTCATTCGTTCTTTCTCCCTTTTCAAATTCTCCTCCTGTTCTTTCTGCTTCATTTGTTCTTCTTCCATTCTCCTTTCCTCTGCAGCTTGTTTTTCTCTCTCAGCTTTCTTCCTCTCTTGTTCTACTTCCTGTCTCTCCTCTTCTAATCTCTGTCTTTCCTCTTCGTTTTGCCGTCGTTCTAACTCAGCTTGTCTTGCCATTTCTTCTTTTTCCCTCTGAATCTCTTCCTCTGCCTCTCTCAAAATTTTCTCCTTCTTCAGTCTCTCCTCTTCTTCCCACTGCTTCTGTCTTTCTTCTTCCATTTGCTTTTGTACTTTATTGAGCTGTAACATACAATAGCAAAAAAAGAATACCTTCAAGTTCTCAAGAAGAATACACATTATACTGAAAATATATATCAACAAGAAATACTTTACAACTGCTCTTCCATACAATTACTTACAAACATGATTTTATATCAGTATATAGCATATTAAATGAAATATTGATGTAGATATTAAATTCGCTGCTATACTGTCCTACTGTTCAACTACATGTATATTGGATGTTACTAGATATGATATCCGAAGATATTATGAATCATGCTCCAGCCACATCTACTCTGCAGTAAATTATAACAATAAACGAATTCCAGCTTTTAACCTTTGACCCAACATGAGAACAAGCCCTTAGCTTTAACCTAATTTAAACCTTAATTATAAAACCAACAAAAGAAACCCACGTCTATATTGGTAAACTAATTACGGATCATCTCTTTGCACAAATATGCGTAAAGAATTGGTCCTGATTACTAAAGGCATCACATGATATACCACAAAACAACAAATGCCATGATAAATGATGATGCAATGCTAGTCATCTCACCTTGCCACTTCGCTCCCACTCGCTCTCCTCTTCTTCCTCCTCATCCTCATCCTCTTCTGTATCCCAATGATCACCACTGTTATCAGAGGTAGCTCTGACTGGTACCTCCTCTTTGGTCTTCTTGCCCACATCTTGTGTACTACTCCTCTTCTCTGGAATGGGTTTGGCACCAGTCTGCTTTGCTGGCTCTATGAAAAGGGCAGTGAATATCAAAGACAGGAGTGTATAAACCAGTGAGATACATTACATGGTATTAATTTGATATAAGTACAGCAATTAAATATTGAAGTCAATCTTTGAAATACATGTAGGAATAGGTAGACTGAGAGGTACATACAAGAAAAAAATGAAAACACAAATGTAAATAGAATTCCAAAGGTAAAACCTCTTTCACAAACTCCATACACTTGACACACTTAAGAAATCCAAGATTTTAGCATGCAACGATATGGAAATTGTACCAGTACTCATTCTGTAACTTTAATATCACTTTAAGTCTTTGCATGATGTTTGGATGTTTATATCACTTACCTTTAGTGTTTGATCCTTCAGAAGGCAGTAAGTCATCCTATTAAAAAAGATAGATCACAATAGTTGGATTACCAGTACATATCTTAGAGATTAGGAAAATATATACATGTACATATTGAGGTATTAAACATAGATTAAGTAACTATGTAGCCTAACATTTGTTTATGGCAAAGACAGAAAAGTTCTAGTGGCAAAAATTTACTACTACCATTCAATAACTCAGTAATATGACAATTTTGTAATTCTGGACTTTTTATCTAGAAATACAATAATGTATTTATTTACTAATGGACCATTTCATTATTATATATCTAACCAAAGACAATTTACAAAACAAAAAAAAATCACAAGTTGAACAAGTGATACATGTACTTACATCTGAATCCCAATCAGATTCTGAAAAAAAGAACAAATAAACAGAAGATGAGTCAGAATTCCTTTACTTTACAACATACATCCATTCATATGGATACTTATACTTATTATTTGGATTTTGAAACAAAACCTCTGATGCAAGTCCTTGCGATCTTCCTTCAAATGAGAGTGCTTCTGTATATGATCTGCTGAAATCTGAAGGAGTTTGTTTCGGTTTTGTTTTGTTTTGTTTTTGTTGCTGTATTACAGAGTTAATACCCTGCAGGCTCTCAACAGAAAATTTGACATTCATGTTTTACTCGAAAGACATTTTAAAAGTTTTGATTCTTCAATTTTGAAAGCAAAAGTGCAGAATGGTATTAGAAAATTTAAACAACATGTATTCAAATGTACCACAGATTCACTTTCATTCATACCACAAATCCCATACAGTACACTTACCATTGTCATTATCATCATGTGGTTCATCAACTACGATGTCTGGAGTAGTAGGCTGCAAAAAAAAAAAAAAAAAAAAAAAAAATCATATTTGGTTACACAATAGCCTTGTTCACATGTGCCCCGCTGAATCGCTGGAGCAGAATAAGCATGGTGCACCTTGTCACATTTCTGCATCTTATAACATGCAGGTAAGTTCAGTATATATAAGAGCTTTGTTGCATGCAACTATTTAATGTAAATGTTTTTAAAAAGCTCAGTAAACTGCATTATAATTGAACTTTGACAAGCCCTTTAGACATATTCTCATTTTCAACAGTATGTTAAGAATATGAAGGGAGGCAAAATTACCTGTACTCCTCTTTTAACTGTCCCTTGTTTTTCTTTCTTTGTATCAGTCAGCCAAGAATCATCTTCCTCCTCCTCCTCGTCATCATCATCAAGGTCACTCATGCCCAGCTTGTTTAACATTGCTGAAACTAAACAATGAAAATTGATTTAAATCACTTTAATTCACAAAGCTATCATTAGCCTGTTTTAATGTACTACTGAGTCCTGATGTGAAAGCTCTTTCTTTACCCTTACACAAGTAGTAGGGTCATTCTTCTGACACAGTGTTGAAAAAAACACCTATGCATGTTCATGTATACGTATTAGATCAGTTTTCATCTTTGTTCTAATTCATAGCTTACAAATTTCATGATCCATTTCGTTTTATTAATAGTATTATGTCAGTTTGGATCAATACACTGATAAATGAATATGTACAAGTATTCTCCTCTACTTCACACAGTTAGGTTCAAGAATAAATATTCACAAGATCAACTTCTTTTCAATAATTTCTGAATTGATGTCTCACAATTTTTTTTTTTATCTGCAACTACTTACCATTTGGCTTATTCTTTCCAACAAGACTCAGCTAGAGAATAATAAAAGAAAACATTTTAATATCATTCAGCTTTCATAAAATCCATCATTTTTTTAACGTGTTTGTACCGAATTTACCAAATATCACTAGAAATCACTTTTCATTTTAGGCGACATTACCTGTTTAGAACTATTACTGTAACTTTAAAATTACAAAAACATATGAAAATTACAAAATTACATAAAATTATACAATTTGCAAACAACATATACACTTCAGATTATTTGTAGATGAATATTTTACACTTATATCATTAACATTTCATATTACTTGCATAATGTTTGTTTTTGAAATGGAATGTTGGTCTTACCTTAGGTTTGTCATTGTCTGATAGAGGAAACAGATCGTCATCATCATCAAAATCACTCACAGTCTGCAAATAGTGATGACAAAATATAATTGATAACAAATATGATGTGGATTCATAATCTTTTCTTTAAAAAGACGATGAAAAGATGCAAAGGTATTTTTTAGTTTGATCTTATTCTACATAGGACTTTTTGAAGAATAATCAATACATTTTAATAACTCCTGAATGGTATTGCAAATTTATAGTATTAAATGACTCATTCATTAAATGTGTATATAATATTTCTGAATAACATAATTCTTAGTCAAAATCTGTATTGTTCAAATTTTTCTGATATAGGATTTCAACCAAAATATTTAAAAACAAGGACAATGATTTGAGCTATTGTGATGAGCACCAACGTGTGCATTAATAGTGTTTAAATAGGCCTCATTCAGATATGACACAGCAAAACCAAGGCAGGTTTTATGATAACCTAAAGTGTAGTACGCATCACATTTTTGTATCGTATTCCTATAACACAAAGCTCAGTGAATACGTGCTGGAATTTTGTTGCATGCAGTTGACATTCATTTACATGTAAGAAGGGGGTAGTTTACCGCGTCATATCTGAACGAACCTTTATCTAACGGGTCGATAAACAGAGAAATTCAGAGAGTTAAGAAATGAAAAGACTGTACCCTTGCTGCAGAGACAACACTTTCCCTTGGTGTAGGGGTAACCGAGGCATCCCCCCTTGGTGTAACATCATTCTCATCTTCTTCTGTGTCTCTCCTCTTCAACGGTTTCTTGCCGGGTGATGCGGCAGCAGGAGTAGCCATGCCCTTCCTCCTCTCCTTCTCCGGGGATCTCAACTTGGGAATCCTACTAGGGCTAGCAGCACTGACGTCGGATCGGACGGAACGGGTGCTGGTGGCGCTGCGCATGCTATCTTTGGAGTTGGACCTGGCGCGAGGGATGCGGGATCGGGAGGCGGTAGAGTGGACCGAGGCGTTGCTGTGGATGGATTCATTGTCGGAGTCTTGGCTCATGAATTTGGTCAACTTGATGGGTTTGCTAGGCTGAAATAGAGAGGAGAAAAAATAGTATGGTATCAATCTGGAAGATTAGCAATTCTTTACCAAAGTCAAGCCACAAAAGCATCTATACTTTCTCTGCATCTCTTTTCCTCTGTTCTTTAATAACACATGGCTGCTAGAATATAATTGGTTAATTAACCCACATTACATACTTACATCCATGATTACTATTCAATTTTCCACAATTTACACAATATTAGTGAAGATATGTTGATCCCAGGGTTGAAGTGTGTATTCTGAACTCAAAGCTTTCACTGACAGAGTAAATACCAGAATAAAAACACAGACACACAACAGTTTAAAAGACAGCTAACAATATACATCTAGACCCAAAGATAAACATATACAAACAACCCAGTGCTTAGACAGCTAACAATAGGCATCCTGTACCAACAATTACTGCATTTATGCCTTTAAGAGACATCAATGAATAGGACAGATGTACTAACAAATGGAACATAAAGAAGTTATTAAGGTCATCTTAAGCCTTTATTACTTAAATGGCTTGACTAGTTAGAGTATGAAGGAGTGTTTACAACAATGCCATGCTCCGCTGCACAACGCTTCACAAAGGGCTATAATAATTAAGTGCTTAAAAGTCACCCTTGAATGGGTCCTTTTGTATTTATTGGTATTGCTAAGGAATAAAGTATTCCTTCTTTGAATTTCAAAGGAAAGTACGCTGTATATACATACATTGTTGATATTTCTTCAGAAAACCTACATTTTGTATTCTCTTATTCAATATTCGACTTCAAACACATCTAATGACATCCTCTGTCACATTATGATACGATTCCAGTGAAATTTTGCCATCAAATTTTTGGGGCTCCCAACACTTTAGAGGGGCTTTAAATGAATGGATTGTACACCGACAACCTTGATTCAAATTTCCCACTGTACCATACAAACAAGTGCATGACAGACACTAACCAAAGGGTGACTGAAGCCCATCAATAAGCTTGTAACTCACAAAACAAGTATTCAGACTCACTTTGTTGCTTTTCTTCTTGACTGGAGGATCGTCAACCTCAGAGGCTGAAGCAGCCCAAGAATCTGCTACGGATCTATACAAAAACACAAACAAACAGAAATTGTAAAGAGAAAATACTAACAAGAGTATTAAAAAGTAATCAAACCTACATATGTGTATCACATCATTAATTTGCAAACATCTTTGTGTGTTAATATATATTTTTCCTTCAGTATTTTTCTGATCTTCAGTATATTTTGCAACAAGAGAAAAAAAAATACATAGACAACTGATAATAATAAGCATTGTGACAATAAGTACAGGATAACATTGATGTTCTGGTATCCCAAATTCCTGAAATATTCACCTCGCATCTGACGTTTTTTGGTGGGGGGGGGGGGGTGGACAAAGAGCCACTTTATTGCTCTAGAACCATCTTTTTTACATTTAGAAAACACAAATAAATGTTAAAAATGTAATGTAGCCATAATTGTCAAATACTCACTTTCCTTCTGACAAGTCATCATCTTCATCATCTAGAGAAAAAGAAAAAAAAACACCATAAATTCACATAAATGTGGAATTCCTTGCTACTACAATATATTTATCATCATTTATCATACAAATCGATTGCAACAGTGTAGAGTTGTAACTTATAACATCTTATTCCTCATTTTGCAATACAGTATGTGCATCGAGTACAAAATCTTGGCGAAAAGAAGCTTACTAGTATGTACTGCTACAAAAATAATACTAAAGAATAAATTTTAGGTTTCCTTTGTTACTACTTTAACCCTAATAAGACCGGATTATTTGCGTGCTCTCTCTCATCCCCCCCCCCCCCCCCCATGGGTAAAGAATTGAAGCTAGGAATTTGATTAGTGTCAGAAATTGACCACTGAGCATATGCTGCTAGAGAATACATGTTCAATGTATGTTGTACAACTTTTCTCTAGCAAGAATCGTGTTAAAGCCCATCTAGAGTGTTGAATGCCCAAAAAATTTGATGGCAAAATTTCACTGAAATTGAACTTGTATTATAATGTGAAAGAGGATTGTCATTGTAGACACATTTTTGCAAGGATTTTCAAAACAAATGTGTTTGATGGACGCATACAACAGAAAAACCAAATTATGTATTCTTTTATCAATATTTGCCTTAAACACATTTTTTTGTTTTTTGTTTGTTGGGGGGGGGGGGGGGGCGGGTGGGGGAGGAAATCTTTGCAGAAGTGTGTCTTAAATGACATCCTCTTTCACATTATGATACAATTTAAGTGAAGTTTTGCCTTAAACTTTTGGCAAATTTGGGGCTCCCAACATTATACAGGTGCCTTAACTCATATCATTTTACAGAGTTAATGCCATTCTAGACGATATGACAAATACCCAAGTTATCAATTGCTGGTCCTCCCAGTGTGAAGCCTAGAGCATCAGTGCCTGCCGTAGAACCAAACATTCCTCCAGTCCCTCCTCCGGTTGATCTCAGAGCTGATACTGGTCGCCTGCTAGATATGTACTCATCTATCAGATGGGAACAACTGTGGATAGAGAACAATAATGGAAAGTGGCAATGAAATGAATCTATTATACAGGAACATCCATGAAGACAATCAAGACATGGGATTTATAAACAATCAGCTCCAAACCCTTCTTATCTGAAATCATAACCAACAGTGGAATAATTCAAACAGAGCTTGAAGATATATATCTATTGTGAAACCCTAAGCATTCATTGAACTTCATATCGTCACTGATTGGTGACTTGTTTGTATTCTATCTCAAATTCTGAACCAGGGATGACATTTCAAAATGCTTTGCATCCAATGGAAAAAGTGCTATATAAATTAACGACCTGGAAAATTATTAATATTTACTTTGGTTGCATTTGCTCCAGGCAATATTTTATCAAATATATTGTTATACAATTTAGGTTGGGTTTTAAATTTGACCAGTGTTTGAAACTGACCAGGGGATGGGGAGTAATTGTTGATAGAGCATATGTCATACAACTGAACTGGATTTTAAGTGAGAGAGGGGGTGGGATAGTAAAAAGTAAAAGGGCAGAGTGAACGAGAGAAACAAACAGAAAGGGGAAGGGGTAAGAGGGAGAGAGGGAGGGAGGGAGAGAGAGAGAGAGAGAGAGAGAGAGAGGAGGGAGAGAGAGAGAGAGAAAGAGAGAGAGAGAGGGAGGGAGAAAACAAATCTTTCCTTCACATTAACAAGATATATTTACACATACCTAGTATTTCACACAAGTTTCACATTTCAAATGAAAACTTATCCCCTCTCAGAAGACCAAACCTGCAACAGCAGACACCCTCAAACCTTACTTGTTGGTACAGGTCCAAAGTAAAGTGCACTGACTTACCCATGGAATCCTCCCATGATGGCATGGTCATTGGCTGTCCAACCTTTGCTGTCCTTGATATCGATATCAGCCTTGTTTGCTAGTAGCACTCTAACTACACCTATCTGATCAGTCTGACACGCCCACATCAAAGCAGTCCTGTCAATCAACATAAATTCATCTTTGCATGAATTCACGTAATGCCATTGTTATTGCCAAGATATAAGATACAGTTTGGCTTTTGGCTTGGTACATGTGTATCCTTTTGCTACATGCAGTTAACAAAGGAAAATTATGAAACCTGAGGAAAAGATTCAGATCATAAATGTTGTTGTATGTAAACAAACAGAATACAATTTTCAGAATTAAGAAAATTTATCAAAATTGAACTGCAGAGAGACCATTATTTTTTCATGAATTGACTGAACCATTTAACAGTAAATGCCTTGAAATATCAATAGTTACTAACGATCGCTCCACATCTGTACATACATGTACATATGCAAATTGAGAATTGTTAAAATCAGATACTAAAATTTTGGGGAAGAAAAATTTGAAGATCCATTATGACCCGATTACAGGCATTCATACAAATAGGACTATGAAGTATGAACAATAAAACTGCAAAGTTTAGATTACAGTGTATGCTACAACTTCAAGATTGCAGAATTGTAAGAGAATGTGTGTGGTATGCTAGATACAGTTTAAACATATCAATTCTTACCATGATACAATAACAGAATATAAAAAATAAATAAGAAAAAAAAACAGTGACAAACCTGTTTTCATTGTCAGTAGCATTCACATCGACATCTTCGTTTAGAAAGATCTCAATGACCTCATCGTGCTTGTTAGCTGCTGCTAGATGGAGGGCTATACTCCCATCCTGTATATCAATAAACAAAGTCAAATTACACCACTAACAAGGGTCATCTATCGGTAGTTTACACAAATTAATGGGATGAGTTTGACTTAAAAGATACTGATGAACATCCATGGGGTAATATGAAAACATAGAAGAGTTCCACAAATATGGACTGTGATTCTGTAGCAATAGTACATTGAATACAAATAAACATGCCATTAACAATGATGCACAAGTTTCCCATCCTTAATTTCCACAAAGGACCAAATAAAGATGAATGTTTACTGCCTCATGTCCTCTGGATATACAAATGACCCAAGGCATGTCATTATTTAACAATAACAATATAGAGTTCAGGGGCTCGTTCCTAGAAACCAACGACAAGACAGTCATAACTTTATCTGCCAACTACGGAGATGTCTCTGATCTTCCTAAACCGTTTCACGAAGAGCTTACTAGATAGATATCTCGTGAGATCGATAATATTGGCGTGAAGAGGAGCCGAGGCTTAGCCTTACTCGCAATACCACCGGATTATTACAAAAGTAATATTAGGGAATATGCGATTATTTAAATGAATGAGAAATAAAAAAAAAAATTGAAAATGATACCAAGAAATAAGAGATGCAAATACTTCCGAATTTGGGTAAATTATACAATAGAATATAATTGTGAGTATTTCATTACATGACCGGTGAATCAGTTTTGTTCTTGAGATGGGTACCCCCCGGATATTTTAATTTGATAGTTTATAAAAATACAACAAAATATTATTCTTAGAAAAATATGATGTAATGAAATTTGTGTCCAATGTTTTAGGTGTCATGTTTTAAACTATTCATTTTACACATTTGAAGATAGAATTTATCTCAAAGGCAATATGGGTCTGAAAAGTAAAGAATGCACTTCGAACTATGGCTTGCCTGCCGTGGCAGATTACCCATTCCTTCGAGGATTTTCCAATATGTAAAGAAACGCGTATAATCAGTTTATAAAAGTGGGAAAGACCTCAAATATAAACATGGCATATTTTCAAAAGATTTTCTAATGTAAAGAAATGATAACTTCCTGTTTAAGTGAATGTGAAGAAAGATCATAGCTGGAGGATTTATTGTCCTTTCTTGCTAGCCATAGTCTACCCAATAAATGACATGTGATGGCGCTGCCCATCGACTAAAAAGTTATGACAGAGATATGACGGTGTCGGAGGCGTCTTAACTCCTTAGTCAGGATGTTGACGTTGATCTTGGCAAAGAGGGCTTCGTGAAACACGTAGCGGACAAGTACATGTAGCTCACTAACGCTGATTTAGTCAAGAAGTTAGACTTATGACAGTTTCTGGGAACGGGCCCCAGGGGTATAAGTGGAGTTTCTTATCAGCTGCAAATTTCTCTTGGAAATGACAACACAAATCAATGACAGGTGGGAATCATAAGTACTGGTAGGCATTTTTGTAGCTATATTCCCTCCCCCATTTCCCAAAAAAGAGTAATAGCCATAAAATGAATGTTATGAATGAATATATTTGTATACAGCATCAGCATAGCAAAGCATAGCATAGCATAGCATCATACCTTTGACTATTTCAAATTAACAAGGCATACCCAATAAGTTGTATGAATAATTTCCCACAATTGGAACATAGTTGTGTACAGATATAACAACATAGGTATACAATGAAAACAAGGAAGAAGATCAAGTTGATGCCAAACCTTATTAGCTGCATTGACCATAGCTCCATTCTCCAGGAGAAAGAGAGTGGGATCTTGTGCTCCTGCTATAGCAGCCAGATGAAGAGCTGTGTTACCATTCTTATCCACCAGGTTAGGATCTGCCTTGTTGAGCAACAGAGTTTCCACACAGACACCAAAGTTACCTTGAACAGCCTGTAAGTTAGAACATATCAAATCGGTTTGGAAACTTAACCAAGTGACTACCTCTTTATATATGCCACACAAACGCTCTCACTGTACAGCTCTGTATTTATCAAGGGATATATATATCAAAAGCTTAAAAGATTATTTATCTGTTCCCAGTGCATTTTGTATTGATGTATTGAACGCTATATAAAAACGGAATATTATTATTATTATTATTTTTAATCTATACCTGTGTTAAATTGGTTGTCATGGAGCTAATCAAGTCCAGAAATAGGAAATGTTGCAAAGCTATTGTATTGCACAAAGCAATCTTTCAATTCAGTCAACGGGTGCCTATTGTGTGTGCAAAATTGCATATTTGGCAAAAGAGGGACAGTGCATCTAGAGGTGAAGAAAGTAACAGAAGTGCTAAAAGAACATGCATGTTTTGATAGTTATCATCAAAAAGGTTTCCTTTAAATTTTTCTATCTTTCTTTTTTGAAACTAAAGTTTCCTCTCCAAGTCAAAATGCTGGTTTCAATAAAAACATGGATACAATCAGAATGACGCAGCGCTGGAACTGGACTGGTCATTTAACGAGAAGAGAGCCATACAGCATCCCAACAGTAGCCCAGCACTGGACACCAGATAGAAAAAGGGAGAAAAAAAAGACAACCCAGAACCACCTTGCATTGAACTGTAAAAGACGAAATTAAAGCTATGAACTTGACCAGGGGACGTGGTTAGAAAGCAGGCCAAAACAGACAGGAGTGAAATGCCAGGAGGCAAACATAAATTTTCCCTGTAAATCAAACTGCTGACTTCAATAAAAAACACATTTCAAGTACTTCATTAACATAATATAAAGAGACAAAAGGGAAATGCATGCAAGTTTAATTTTTTTTTTGTCACCCTCCCATCACATTTCTAACATGCAGAGACTTGTACACAAAGAGTATATTGTATTTAACAAAAGCTACTAGCTCTAGGCCCTATAATCACAGCAACATAAAATCAAAATGAAGGGGCAGTGGGCCTGCACATCATCTTTCATTGAGCTTTTCAAATTCTCTTACCTTCATAAGAGGTGATCGCTGGTCATTGTCACACATGTTCAGTTTGGCTTTACATGCTATTATTATGTCTATCACATCAATGTGACCCTTGCTGCATGCCAGGTGGAGGGGCGTTCTGTTGTCAATAAAAGTTAGAGAAAATCAGTTTAAAAGTTATGTGCCCCATGAAAGTAAAACATACTCTTGTGTTTATAGCATAAGCAGAAGGCTGCATCACACAAATGACTTGTACTTCAGCTTCTGGGGTAGGAAATATTGTTTCTTTCTGTGTTTCCTGTAGAAGATGGTGGGTCGCGGGCGGGCACACACGCGCCTGCATGAAGTTATCTACCGTAATGACATAACTTCACGCGACCATGCGCCCACCCGCAACCCACCATCTGTATGCACTTGTATTATGCAGCGGTTTGCCGTGAAATCTCTGAGAAAGTGCATAGATCTACCAATTTCAATGTTTTTCCCAAGAAATACTCCAAAAAAAGTTAAAGATTGACACGAAACAGGCAAGAAACATAACAACTTTTAAATCATGACCATCATTTGAACATTTGATGAATATTTACTTGATTTGGGGTATGTTTTAGTAGACCCTATATCTAGGTCTATCTTCACGCCAGAGTTACGGGTCAAAGTCTGGATTAGACCGAATTTTCCGTCTCTTTCGTTCGTTAGCCTCTTATTGGGGTAGGGTCGGCCGGCTCTCTCTTTAGAGTCGGAAACCGTCTATACACATTCCCTTGATAACGCCACGGCCATTTCAGGTCGTAGCGTTTTGCCCCCAAAATCCCCCAAAATGTCATTTTACCTCGTGTATATCCAAATGTAAATTAGGCCTAGGCTATAATACATCGGTTCCACTTACTAACTTGATTGAAATAATCCGTTTAATGGTCCCTTTTAAGGAAATTATGGGTCAAAATCGACATCCATGTTGAAAATCTTGCAAGCCGTGTTAAACTCTCGCTGCCCGGAGTCATCTAAATCAATCTCATCCCTTCTAGTCTACGCCAAAGGCAAAAATGATTATGAAGGAAAAACTGTAATAACGCCATTACGAACGTGTAGATGGCACACAGTTTTTCCTTCATAATCATTTTGCCTTCGGCGTAGACTAGAAGGGATGAGATTGATTTAGATGACTCCGGCAGCGAGAGTTTAACACGGCTTGCAAGATTTTCAACATGGATGTCGATTTTGACCCATAATTTCCTTAAAAGGGACCATTAAACGGATTATTTCAATCAAGTTAGTAAGTGGAACCAATGTATTATAGCCTAGGCCTAATTTACATTTGGATATAGGTCTACACGAGGTAAAATGACATTTTGGGGGATTTTGGGGGCAAAACGCTACGACCTGAAATGGCCGTGGCGTTATCAAGGGAATGTGTATATATAGACGGTTTCCGTCTCTAAAGAGAGAGCCGGCCGACCCTACCCCAATAAGAGGCTAACGAACGAAAGAGACGGAAAATTCGGTCTAAGTCTGGATATGATTCTGAACTAGCACCGTTAATAACTCAGTTTAACTTAGACCGAAAATTTCTGTCTCTGTCGTTCGTAAGCCTCTGATTTGGGTAGGGTCGGCTCTAAAGAGAGGATCGAGCCGACCCTACGCCTACCCAAATAAGAGGCTTAACGAACGAAAGAGACAGAAAATTCGGTCTAAGTTAAAGTCAGTTCATTGACAGTTGAGTTGTTGCAGTGACTTTTTGTGAGCCACACTCACAGCAAAAATCAGATTTCTAAAAGCAACACCTATCTACTAACCTATTTTCCTTGTCCAGAGTATTCACATCGCCTTTCTTTGTCAATTGCTTAACTTTGATGGTATCGCCCGTCCAAGCCGCCTTGTGCAATTTGGACAGGTCCTTCTCTTTGACAACATAGCCGGGGGCTTCGGCTCCATGTCCCCCCGACTGCGGCTGTCCACCTGTAGCCGCGGCCGCAGCAGGTGCCGTCGTTTTGCTCTTGTTGCCTTTCAGGAACTTCTTCATTATTTCATATTTTCAGCGCTGCAGCACCAACGAAATCAAATTTTATGGATTCATGTATATCTACCTTCCACAAATACTACTTCATATTATCCTTCTCGAGCATGTAATAAGCTAAATAACCCTGACGCTTGCCTAGCTAGGCTAGCTAGCTATTTCACTGCACCGGTATTTCAAAATAATAATACCAATAATAACACGGCCGACTACGCTCCAAATATAGCGCGTTGGTGATATTATCGTGCGCCACGCCGTCGAATGAACAGCACAAATATATGCACAATGATCTGACGCACTACGAAACCAGCGCTATAAAATCCTTCGTCACTACGAACGCTACTTTGTTCACGTTCCATCGCTTTGGTCAAAGGTCGCATTCCTTGATCTAGTTCGAGAGAGCTCGGCTTCCGATGGGGGTTATATTGTGGTAGTGGTGGTGGGTGTGGGGGGGGGGGGGGGTGGAGGTAGAAAACCTAACAGCGCTGTTTATAAAGAAAGAAATAAGTAAAGGGAAACGAACAGAAGGCGCTCGCGCTCACAAACCGCATTATCATAAATATGGTCAACATGATTGACACCCATTTGACACCATTAGCGTATCGGGGGGGGGGGGGGGGGGATGTGTTATAGGCCCGCCCCCCCCCCCCAGGCGCGGATCCAGGGGGGCCGAGTGGGCCTTGGGCCCCCCCCCCCCCCCAAAAAAAAAATAAGAGAGAAGGAAGGAAAGGGAAAGAAAAAAGGAAAAGAGGAGATACTGGCGTACTGATAGAGGGGGGGGGGGGGGGGGGGGGCTTGGGGGAAATCAAATTCAAACGTGGTTTATTTCTAATTCCACAACGGTGGATTACAAAATAATGCTGAAATGACATAATTTCCGAAATTTGTCCTCACTTTTTAGCAAATTATACGTTTGTATGTGGTTGTTGGTAAAATGACAAATTCCTAAATTTACAGCCAGGCAAAAAATATGATTCTTGAGATTCCTACATGTCAGTGCCCGAGGTACGGGGGGGGGGGGGGATCGAAGGCCTTGAGTCCCCCCCCCCCCCCCTCCCCCCACTTTTCTTGAAAAAGTATATTAAAGAGAAATAAAATAGAATGAGAGCAAGAAAGTAAAAATAGTTAACTGCCAGTGTTAACAAAATAATGAGGCATCAAAATATATGCTCATCTGGCTGTGATTAAATGCCTTAAACCCCTAAGCTTTCGGGGGCTTTGCCCCCTGGATTCCATCTAGGGCCCTACGGCGGGCCCTTAGATGAAAGTAAGAATAGTTAAATGCCAGTGTTAACAAAATAATGAGGCATCAAATATGCTCATCTGACCGTGATTTAATGCCTAAAACCCCTGATTTTTGGGGGCTCCGCCCCTGGACCGCACGCCAAATAGTGACCTGCCAGTGTCACAAAATAATAAAGTATACAAAAAAGTATGCCCATCTGACCTTAATTAAACGCCTAAAACCCCTGAGCTTCCGGGGCCGGCTCCGCCGCCTCGACCCCACCAAGGGCCCTAAGACGGGCCGGCCTCTGATTGCTTATCTGACCGTAATTTCTTGCCTTAAACCCCTTAGCTAGCGGGGTCGGACAAGGTATCAAGATGTGTTTATCTGACCGCAGGCGCGTGGCCAGGGGGGGGGGGGGGTCCCCACATCGGAAGAGGACGTAGGAAGAAAAAGGAGCAGACACAGAACATCTTTGAAATTCAGACAAGGATTAAGAGTATAGAAAACGGTACAACGCATCGTTTTCTTTCTCTAATAATAAAACGTCAAAACCTCGCGCAGGAGGGGAGGGGGGGGGGGGGACTGAATTCAGACGAGGATTTAGAGTCGAGAACTGTACAACGAATCGTTTTCTTTCTCTAATGATTTAATGAAACGTAAAAGCTTCCACGCTTCGCGCAGGAGGGGGGAACCTGAATTCAGACGATGATAAAGGGTCGAGAACGGTACAACGAATCGTTTTCTTTCTCTAATAATTTAATGAAACGTAAAAGCTTCTGCGCTTCGCGCGGGATGGAGGGGGGAACCTGAATTCAAAAGAGGATTAAGAGTCGAGAACTGTACAACGAATCGTCTCTTTCTCTAATGATTTAATGAAACATAGAAGCTTCCGCGCTTCGCGCAGGAGGGGGAGGGGGAGGAACTGAATTTATACAAGGATTAAGAGTCGAGAACTGTTCAACGAATCGTTTTCTTTCTCTAATGATTTAATGAAACGTAAAAGCTTCCGCGCTTCGCGCGGGAGGGGGGAACCTGAATTCAGACGAGGATAAAGGGTCAAGAACGGTACAACGAATCGTCTTCTTTCTTTAATAGTTTAATAAAACGTCAAAGCTTCCGCGCTTCGCGCAGGAGTGGGAGGGGGTGGGGGGGGGGGACTGAATTTAGACAAGGATTAAGAGTCGAGAACTGTACAACGAATCGTTTTCTTTCTCTAATGATTTAATGAAACGTAAAAGCTTCCGTGCTTCGCGCGGGAGGGGAGGGAACTGAAATCAGACGAGGATAAAGGGTCGAGAACGGTACAACGAATCGTCTTCTTTCTTTAATAGTTTAATAAAACGTGAAGGCTTCCGCGCTTCGCGCAGGAGGGGGAGGGGGGAGACTTAATTCAGACAAGGATTAAGAGTCGAGAACAGTATAACGAGTCGTCTTCTTTATCTAATAATTTAATGAATCGTAAAAGCTTCCGCGCTTTGCGCGGGAGGGGGGAACCTGAATTCAGACGAGGATTAAGAGTCGAGAAATCTACAACGAATCGTCTTCTTTCTCTAATAATTTAATAAATCGTAAAATTGTCCGCGCTTTGCGCGGGAGGGGAAAAACTAAAATCAGACGAGAATTATTTTCGAGAACGTTACAACGAATCGTCTTCTTTCTCTAATAATATAATGAAACGTCAAAGCTTGGGAGGGGGAAACTCGCCCCCCCCCCCGCATTACGTCACTGTTGGTCACCATTACGTACCAATATTTGGCTCGCATAAATTCAAATTTGGGCCTCCCCCCCCCTAAGAAATCCTGGATCCGCGCCTGCCCCCCCCCCCCCCCCAACTCCGAGAACGGAGTGATACCTTGCGTGTTACCAAAGTGTCCGGTAAAGGGGTACTTTTCGTGCGACAAAGTCCGGCACGAGAATTGTAAAAAGGGGGGTGTATTTGACTTTTCACCCGGAGATTTCTTTAAAAAGGGGGTGTTTTTTCTTTTTTTTCTCTCATCTCTTTGGACTCCTGACAAATTATTCCGAATTTAGGGGGATACATTGAGCATTTTTTCTGATTTAGGAGGGGGGGGGGGGGGTCTCCAAGGCTGGAAAAGCCCGTGAAAAACCCGCGAAAGGGGGGTTCGGAAATGTTGGCAGTCCTCAGATAGCTCGGGGTGCTTTCAAAAAGAGGGAACAAGCATAGGTCCATGGAACAAGCATAGGCGTACCCTAAAAAACACTGAGTGGGGGGGGGGGGGGGGGTTATAGGTTATATTTTTTTTCAAAGGGGACACACCCCACCCACCTCCTCTATAAAGGAGAAAATAACATGATTGTGATACTCTTTACTTTAAAGGTATAGACCAGTTTTTGAACCCCCCCCCCCCCCTCAGAAAATGAAATGGAAGCTCGTATTACCAATCATGTAATATTTTTTGACTAATACGTGATGAGACAAATTTTGCCAGGAAACCGCCTACTAATTCATAATCAATATATTTGGTAAATTGTCATATTGATCCGGCCTGGATAGATATCGCAAATGCACTTCAATATTAAACATTTGGGCATATATTTTTGCTTTTGTGGCGAATTTTGGTTGAAGTATTGCCATTTTTTTATCTTTGAAAAAAAACAACCTAATGTTTAATCCATTTTTATCTCACTCAAAGTACATATTTATTGCTATTCTTTTAATTGATCGATACAATGGGCTTTACAATGAACTTTTTGGCAAAGTTGAGTATTATACGAAGGACAGCAATTCTGTTTTATCCATCAAACAAATTACATTCAATACTTTTCAGTCCGAATGAGAGAGAGAGCCAGAAAGAGACAAGTGAAGAAAATCCAATACACCCCGTTTATCAAATAAAGTCTTAGAATCTCAATTCACATTTTTACAATTAATTCAAATATTTGCCGGGAAAGCCAGATATTAAAAAAAAAAAAAAAAACTAATTATATAATAATTATTGTTGTGTTTGTTGAAAGGGTTTAGAAGCACAATATGTCAATGGATTCCTCAAAAAAAAAGAAAATAGGGACTATTGCAGGGGGGAGCAGTGTAGAAAAAACTATCGGTGAGCCTTGGGAGTGGTCATTCCTCAACAGAGGATCTTTTACATTCAAGTCTATATAAAGCGTCCCCCCTGTTTTTTTCCCCGATTTTCTTTTCTTTTTTTTTCTCCGATTTTACCCCTATTCGGTTTTTTTTTTTCCTCAATTTTCATACTCAAATGGGAGGGGGAATGTTGTTAGATGCCACCTTTTTTCCCCGAACGCTTTTTTTTTAGTCAAGGGGAGACTAAAAAAAAAGTTGAGAAAGAAAAAACTATTTTTGTATTAGTGCTCTCTATCACCCCTCTTTTTAGCAAAGGTACCCTTTCACACAAATGTAAAGGCAATGCGTATCAGAAATAGAAATGGGGGAATTTTTCCCAAAGACCATGACAAGAGATGGTGGTATTATTTTTAAGCGTTTCTAAAAGCATTTCAACCGATTTGGACATGCCATGCGACACACATACCACCCGACTACACTTTCACACACTGTTCCTAGTCTCCTCTACCCGAAATTGGAGCGACAGAATAACAGAAATAATCTATTTAAAAAATTGAATGAATAATTAACACGAGGCTACAATAACCCAGTGTTAAAAGTTCATGAAAACTTTACTTGTTCCCACTTCTGTAAACGGAAGGATAATTTACCTGCCCTCCCTGCAATATTCTTTTCTTCTTCCCTAATTTTCAAGTTATTTTTGAAAATTACCCAAAGTCAATATTACGGACATTACCCTCCATCTTAATTATATCCAATATTTCATTGCAAAAAAAATTGTATTACGAGTAAATTATCTTTATTCACACAAACACACACATCCTCTCTAACAGACAGGCCAACATTCTAAATGCAATTCTCAAACCTCTTCCCTTCAATATATAAACTTTCCCTTCATGTCTTGAATGAAATATATATAAAGTTCTTTCCAATAAATCTCTTTTATTTATCTGAGTACTCCCTTACAGTACTGATAACATTTATTAAAAAAATTATTTGCAGATGTTTTGACAGCACAAACACTCAATCATAACGTTTTCAAGAGTAAATTCTTTATTTCCACATATAATTTGAATTCTTACATGATACTACTATAGGTCAGATAAAAGAATTAATCCACCAATTCCTCTCAGAGATATTTATCCCACTGGCACATACATTTTTTACAGTAATTTAAAAGGAAAAGATGAAGAAAAGAAATCTGCATGGAAGGTTTTGGATTCTACATAAAACTATTTCTCTGCTTCACTTTTACTTGACTACCGAGACAATCAACTGCAGATTGTTTTCTTCAAATCACACAGATCTCCAACTGACAATAACTTGAGTGAAACAGTGGCATATCCCTGCATATGGAGTTTCATCTAAAAAGAAGTTCCAATGAATTATGCCTATACTCTACACCTTCCTCATTTGGTCTGATCACATATCAAATTATGCATGTATACTTATTTATCCTTTCATTCATTCTCCTACAACTTATTCAAAAAATATTGTTTTCATCATACACATTATTCAAATTGAAAAAATATATTTTCTTCAGTTCTTTTCCATTTTTTTAAGAATATAATTTCTCAAATGTATTGTTTATACAGAAGCATAAAGTAGTTTTGATATGAATTATCTCTGACTATTATTTTTGGATACAGCAGCATTATTTAGAAAACATATATATTGAGTAAATAAGACAAAAATCATAATGTGCATAAAAGTTATCAAAACGGCCATACAACATCTCAACTCCTGGTTCATAATATTGCTTACCGGTAAGCATCTCAGAACCATAAGATTACTAGTAAAATGTATATCTACAATGGCACCAAATCTGCTACATTATTTTTTGCACATAAACTCAAGTTTATAGAATGACAAGTGCAAAATTCTGGCAGCTTGTAACCAGACCACACTAGCCTTTCTGCCAAATGCATTTAATGTTTTTAGAGGACATGAAAACACAGCTGAAATAATATCTTACCAACTAGGATATTGTTAGATGTAAAATTGATTGCAATAAATTTATTTAAAAACATTTCTATAAAAATATTCTCTCAAAACACTTCTATTAATATAGTTATGTTATATACAATGACTATAATAATAACATATACCTACCATGATTTTTTTCTTCTATATCTATGAAAGACTGTACCTTGTTTCCTGAGAAGTAAAATGAAAACAAGTCAACATTTGGGAAATAGTATATTAATAATAATAATAATAATAATAATAATAATAATAATGATAATAATAATAATAATAATAATAATAATAATAATGATAATAATAATAATAATAATAATAATAATAATAATAATAATAATAATAATAATGATAATAATAATAATAATAATAACAGTAATATTAATAGTAATAATAATAACAATCACTAAGTATAAAAAAGTAGTACTATAATCAATTGCTCATCCCTTTTTCATCAGTCATATTTGGTCCATGAGATAAATATATGAAGTGTGTTGTGTTTAGCTTACTATTAAACCACAAAACTGTCAAACAACAAAGAGCAGAAGATTATCAAATATGTTGAGTACACTGAAGACCATCCAAACATTCATGATCATGTACATGTAAAACATTATAAAACAGTTCCTTGAATTTCAAATAAAAATTCATTAAAAAAGTAGTACTACAATTACCTACTGGTCTATTTCTCCTCTGTCATAAATACTTTGGTCCATAAAATGTAATATTTTGAAGGTGATGTGCTTTATTTACTAAAAAACCACAAGACTTTCAAATTAAGATCATATACACAGCAGGATAATATATTAGTATTTTTAGAACATTGAAAGACCATGCCCACAGATGTGTCCCTAAAGCACATCGCAAATTAGATGTAATAAGCGCATTACAAGGAGATCCACATAATCTTTTTTTTTCAAATGTAGGTATCTTAAATTTCTTTTCCCATTACATCAACATCTCAAAACAATGTATTGATACCAAAAACATCATATATGCCATAATTACATTTATATAGTTGTCTATACAGGTTTATAAAACTGAATAACAAAGCTAGCATAGATCATGAATTCTATTTGTAACATTGTACTGAAAGAATGATTCAAAGACAGCAAGATGAAGAAGAAAGTACTGATATGATCACTTGCAACAATCATGAAAGACTAGTAGATTACCATGAAAAATCAATAATAGAGGTATGTATTAAATATGACAATACAGTTTTAATATTTCACATAGTGTCTGTTTGCAGCCAAAAAAGAGTTAATTCAATTTTAAGAATTACCAATTTCCAATAAACCCTTACTTTATTTTTTATTTCAAGTATTTAAGCAATCATCAAATATGTTGGCACTTTATGATTTCCTCATTGTACATTGAACTTTGAGCAAGAGTATGTTAATTATCAAATACATCAACTAAATATCATAAAAGGCAACCAAAGCAATAAAATATATATTTTATAAAGTATATTTGCTGTCAATGACTGCTCCTTCCCCACTCCCCCCCCCCCTGATTTTTTTCTTTCTTTTTCTTTGGTCATATAATTTAAAATTACATTAATGAATCACAACAATAAGCTAGAGACATATATTCTTATGAATAATTAAAAAATTCATACAATAATTCCACAATTCATTCACAACCATTCAATAAAAAAGGCATTTGAAAATCAATTTCAAACTTGTCCTGATATCAGAAATATAATTATAAGCAACATGATTAAAAAAGCAATAATATTTCTTTAAAAATTCTTGCATAACCCATGTTCTTTTGTTGCATTCAGGATGACTTGGCTTTCTCTCTCTATAAACCTCTCATGAGAAGATGATTTGTAATTGCTATAGCAAGGACTGAGTGCTAAAGAACATATCTTTTTATTAATCCTTTGTAATCTATTAAACTGTTTAATGAGACAGTGATTGAAATGAAATGAAAACATTTACCTCTCATATATACTATGGCAAGCAGCAACAGACCTGTGTAAAAGGTTGCAATGTTTAGTACATTTATATCCCCACTAACTGAATGACAAATGTAATTTGGTACACAACCAGACACATTAATGGATGAATAAAGAGGTTAACTTAACAAAATAGTTCCTTTCTCCAAGAAAACTACAAAATAATTCTTATATCATCTACCTTGACATCTTAAATTCAAAAGAGCTCACTCCTTCAAAGAGAACATAAATAGTTAAAAGTTTGAAATGCATCTTTTCATTTGTATTTGCCCAGGTGTCTATACCATATACACAGTCACCTATACACAGCCATTACCAATGATTTTGCAAAAGTTATAGATACAACAATTAATCCTTTCTTGCCTAAATCATCTGGGACCCGTTTCACAAAGCTTTTTTCAATGGCAAATGACAAAAATCAGTGACAAATCTGTTGATAACCAATCCGAAGCAAGGATTTCAGTAGCTTATAACAAAAACTGTCATTTGTCACTGATGACAAATTTTGTGAAACACCCCCCCCCCCCCTTAGTCTATTCACTGCTTTCATCCACACAAGTGCTTCGTTCTCACGGCCATCCTGTTCCTTAACGAGTGAATTCCAGTGACACAGGAGAATCATCAGAATACCTGGAGTACTGTAATAAGTAGGAGAACTTTTCCTTGTCTATACTAAGTGAACTGCTCTGACATCACTGACATAAGAGCTTGTTCTCCTAGACATCCTTTTCAGAAACATGTGGATCCAAGTGGTCTACTGTCTGGTCCACATTTTGCTCTCACCTACAAAGAAAGACTGCTCTCATTCAGTTCCAATGGGACCGAGGAAACATCAGGGGGCTTTGAATACCATGATCCATAGGAGGACCCTTACTTCATTGTCCATAGTGTCTGGTCCATCTGCTGACTTCGTCTACACAAGAAGATTGTTGTTCAAATGTATAATGTGATCCGTAGGACCCTAAGTTTTAGTCTACACTGCACGTCTGTCCTATCAGTTGCTCTCACCTTCACAAGAAGTTGTCCTCCAATGTAGACACCCTGTTTAGAAGTATGTGGATCCCATTGGTTTGTTGTTTGGTCCATCGGTTGTTCTCAGCTGTAAAATAAAATTGTTCTCCCTGGATTCAAATAAGAATGAGGAATTACCAGGGGGCTTTGAATACCGCAATCTGTAGGATGACTCTTATAATCTTGTTCATACAGTCTCCTCTTATCAGTTGCTCTCAACTTCACAATAGCTTTGTTCTCACTGCGATCTGCTTCAGCAATCAACAAATGGATTCCAGTGAGGCTGGAGAATCGTCAGAGGAGCCTGAAGACTCCTCTTCTATGATGTTGGGTATCCAAACCGAAGATTCATTGTCGTCCTTTTCTACACTGTTAAGTCGAGATGAATTTTGACGGTGTCCAAATCCTGGTTTGAATTCTACCTCATCTTTAGAGAAGAACCCAGATGATGACTCCGGTATGTTGGGTTCAGATCTAGAGAGTTGATCATGGTGTCCCGGGGGGTGGCAAAAAATTTTCCAACTCTGACTGACCACTGACCACTGACTCCCCACATAATCGTCGAGAGAAGGCAAAGGAATACCGGTATTCTCACATCTATTGACCGGAGTATATCCTACATCATCTTTATCTGGGTCTGTTGTATTAAGGTTCTCCCTGGAACCTGTATGAGAGAAGAAAAACAAAATGAATTACAAAGAAAACTCTTCTCTTATGATTCATAGATGAATTTGAAATTGTGATAGATGGTGGGCACATTTTAGCAGTGACTTGGTCTCTTTGCCCTCATACACCACTGTCATGTCTCACTACATATCGTCTGTTATATCGTCTGTTGAGAGACGGAAGGATATTGACTCTCTGTTAAAGTATAGGACTTAATGCCATTCTGGCTCCAAACAGACAATATTCTAATACATATATCACATTGAGAAATTATTGCACTTTTGATATATAATTTAAGATAAATCTTATTTTAAAATGAGTGCTCATCTACCTATATCTCCCCTGAAAATCATCTTCTTACAGATGAGGACGACCAAGAGAAGAATGAGAAGGAGACCGGCTAAACAGGACAATGCTATCACCAGTGGTGAAGCTGATGGAGTCTCTGGAAGAAAGACATCAAAAACAAGAAAAAGCATATGAAACATATGAAACACATGAAACACAAACAGTAAATATGAAAGAGATATTATTTTCTGTTCATTTAGAACCAGAAATGCATTAACTTGAACCCAAATTTAATACTTTATTTATATGAAAGAACAGTGTTTAGTTTATGAACTTTAAAACATATACCGGTAATGTAATCTAACTTGGGCAGTTTTAAGCTTTCCTAGATTATTACTTGCATTCAATTCCAAAACTGTGTATGTGTACCTTGCAGCATCTATCATATTTTTTTGAATGGCATGTGGGGGTTCACATGCCATTGGGCAACAGGGATGAATTTCACTTTTGTAAACCCTAACCCACTTTCGATTCCTACTTTTACTCTGCATCTTTTATCTATTACTTTATATGTATGTTCTGCATCATTATGGTCAAATAAATTTCCATCCCATTTCTCTTTCATTCTACCCCTTCCCCTGTCACTTTGAGTTTGCATCCTTCTATCTATCTCATTTGCAGTGTACTTGACTTGTAATGTTTGTGTTTTTTGAAAATGGGCATCCAGAATCACAAGCATTCTCTTATGCTCTTCAGAGACCATGACTCCTTAAATTGTATTGGAATGTTCTTTGTTTCTAATTCTGTGACTTTAACCAAGAAGAAGGAAATAAATGTTGTTTTTTGTTTTTTTAATTGAAATTGAAAGTAAATATGACCAACCTTTGATATAAACAAAGAAGCTGCAGTATGCTGAGTTATTGTAGGCATCTGTAATCTTGTATTTGACCGTGGTATTCATACCCACAGAGAACTGAAAGGATGTTTCATTGTCAGGCATATCAGGAGTGACTATGGTCACGATCGTGTCCGACGCGTCATTAAACTGTGGCCTTTCCCATTGGATTTCTGCACTTTTCATCTTGGGTTGCCCTTTCACATCGATGGAACGAGGGCAGTAAGTTATCCGTGGTGGGTCAGTATCACCTAACAAAAAAAAGGTATGAAAGAGAGAATTAAACTTTTCAGAATTCAGTCATATTGTTAACCTTTTTAATATGAGAATTGGAAAACAGAATTCACAACAATGTTGTATAAAATCTTGTGCTGAAAATGGAATGATACGGGCCTACTTTCAACATGCTGACTTCCAAGTGCATTTTTATTACCCCAACCTCTTCTGTGCACGTCGACTGACCAACAAATATGGCAAATGAGATTTCAAAGAGTAAAAAAAACATATGGTTGGATGGGATATCAAATAGCTCCCACATTAGTAATTGAATAACTGTACCTGTTTTTGTTTCTGGATGAAGGAATTGATAACCTTCTCCAAGTTAAAACAATAGATTTCATCACTCCAGTTCTTGCGTGGGAAGGCATGGGAGGGGGATGAATATGAACTATATGTTGGAATTAAGAGGAGTATGACAAACCTTTGACATAAACGGAGAAGCTACAGTATGCCATGTTATTGTAGGCATCCATAATCTGGTACTTCACTGTAGTATTCACCCAGACATGAAAGTTATATGAAGTTTGAGAGTCAGGCATATATGGAGTAACAATGGTCATGGTCGTGTTTGATGCGTCGTCAAACATTGGTTCGCGCCATGAGACCTCAAGCGTTTTCATCTTGGGTTTGGCATACGCAGTGATGTTATCAGGACAGAAGACAATCTGTGGTGGAGTGGTATCAACTACCAACAAACAAACAAAAAATCAAAAAAGTTAAATATGAAACTTAGGACAATTTGGATATTCCATGTATAAAATTATTTTTAGTCTATGAGTTTAGAAACAATACATCATGTCAAAAATCTTCCACAAAACATGTTTGAATAACTAGCTAACTAGCTATGCTAAACATTATACCCCAATGGTCCATTGAAACAAGCTATTGACAATACATACAAGTATAATGCAAATGTCTTTCATCATTTTACTGTACAAACTACACAAAATGTCATAGTTTCTTCTCATAGCATATATTCAAGTTTTGACATAAAATGTATTGCATCCAATGTCAGCTTACGAAAATTGCAATTTATTCACTGCATTGATAAAAATTAGATTGTGGACAGAATATGGTTAGTAACATTACTTTTTAAATAAATATCTCTCTCTGTTGCATAGCCCTAGATAAGCATTACATCATTAACATTGTATTACTTTTCACAGGAAACAATTAATTTGTTTGCATTCATTGCTTTCAATATTTGCATATATGTTAGTTAAGCTGTTATGTCTGCTATAAAGCTATCAATCTCTTGCTGATTTATCAGTACGTTTGAACATGGAGATACAAAAGATGCTATACAATATATATAAATGAGTATGCACAATTTCTACTAATTACAGCATTGCACTATCATTCTTACATACCCGCCAGGACTTGAACATTGAAGGTGCATTCAGCCATATATGTATACTGCCATGCAAGGTATCGAATGGGTGTAGTCATCCCGACTTGGAAGACACTGTTAGGGTCGTGGGATCTATTGCGGCCAGACCCGCAACCAGTGCTCTGGAAGATCGGTGTGGGAGATGTCCAACTGACGGGAGTCGTGTAGCGCATGGGCTTCGTTATCTCTACCTCTTGGATGATGTCATGTTCTGGGCAATTCACAAACTTTGGTGGTACACCTAAAAGAGAATTAAACAGATACCTGTATAGTGAACGTTGTGTTTTTAACCACCTGTATAATAAAGACCAGTTATATACAAAGATCACCCGTCTATATAAGCAACATGTATAAAAAGACCCAACTGTTTATAAAAACCACCTGTATAGAAAGTCCCCCTTTATAAAAAGATCAACTGTCTATACCGACTACCTGTTTTAATAGAAAGACACCAGTCTGTTAAAACCATCTATATAAAAAGACCACTTTCTGGAAAAACACTTCTCTATAATGACCACCTTTACAGAAAGACCACATGTACAGTGTAGTAAGACGAATTGTTTCTCATGACCACCTATAAAAAGAAACCTGTCTATAAAGACCATCTGTATGGAAAGACCCCTTGTTTATAAAAAAAAAAAAAAATGATCGCCTTCATGTAACCAAGGGCAGTATTCTTTTTATGAAGGATATAATACTCAAATATCTCAACTGACCTTTAACTTGAATTTTAGTCCTGTCCCAGAGACAAAACCGGCAATCTACTGCCTCAACCTAGAGAGAAAGAGAGAGAGAGAGAGAAGGAGAGAGAGAGAGAGAGAGAGAGAGATGTTAAAATGTTAACTGTTTCCAAGGCCTATTAAAGCAAGGCATATAACTCTACACTATGAAAATAATTTTAATGAGTGTAAACTGAGAACCAATGGTGATATCAAATTATATAAAGGCCTTACACAAACTTAAATCCCCTTCAATAGCACAATTAATTCTGATCTTGAATAAAAAATGAGTACACAAGAAATGGAAATATGATCTTAGAATAACCAGAAACTTAATATTGAGCAAAAACGATAATAATGTGGACACCAGGATATTCTAGGACATGGACAAAAATTGTTTGGATATCAAACATTTTTCTTAGTGAGGGAAAGTTTATTATTTAACATTAAAGACCCTCTTCCATAGACACAACGTCAACAAAAAGAAAGACTTGGAAAATGTACACCAGAAGTTACAAGAGTAAAACAAAAAGCGGATCAATTCAGCTATGTAGTTCTTCCATCAAAATAGATATGATAAAATTCTTCAAAATTACATTGAGATTTTTTTTGGAGAGTATTTACGATTTCGATCATTGCATAAATATCATGGAAATAATTATGTTGATATTTACATATAAGTTCAATTCAGTTGCAGTCGGCTCTATGCACTCAAAGAGGATGTTGGTGCCATTTTTCCCATCCATCTCATAAAGATCTGCATTCTGTACAAATATGGAGTAAAATGCAAGGAATATTATGTGTATAGAAAACTATTCCTACACAAAGTATTATTGTGTAAATGAGATGAAACATGACTTCCCTTTACGGGAAGATATTAATAAAACAAACTGCAAGAGTTTTTTCTTCAAAATCATTCTGCTTCAGTATTTTCTAAAAGTAATTGTGGTAAGTTCATTTGGCATGACACTGACAGTACAAACACCTATTTAAATAATCTTGGTGTTTCGTCCCTCAAATAAATAAAGTAATCATTTCAATATTCCTCTTCCTGTTGTTCTATAATCTCTCAATGAAATGTAGAATCTAGTCGCTCTTAATAAGATTCATTCGTACACAATCCTGTAAAACCATGTTTAAAAAATTACAAAAAAAAGAAGAAAAAAACACAGCAAGTTTTTTAATTTATAAATCTGTACTTGAATTGCAGATAAGGGTGAGTTAAGAACTCTAGGAATCTGTGATTTATGGGAGGCAACACAGTGAAGTGCACTAATAGTTCATTTTGCTTTTTAAAAACTCGCTCACACGTTAAGGTAAACCATGGCATGTATTTTTGAATATATGTAAATGAATGGAGATGAAAAGTAGCAGAGCGAAACAAAGGTCCTACATGCATGCAAACCTACGGTCACAAAAGTTCGTACGAACGATAATTTCGTACGAATCTCCGTTTTTCCATTGTCTTCCCGAATTTCCATTGTCTGAAATAGTTTGTAAGGCGCTCGTAGCAGTTCGTAATGGCATTTGTGACGGAGGCATAACATGAGAGAACTACCATGGCATGTGTGAACAAATCTTTAGAAGAATTAGAGAGTTTTTGTGAAGAAGGCTTAGTAGACTAATGTACTTACTCTAAAATCCACTTCTCTGGTAAGTGGATTGTATGGATCGTTGTAAAGATGAACATAAAAACGTTTGAAGCCATGGCGCAGATCTTGGAAGAGGGTGAGATTGACAGCAAATGGTGTTTCGTGAATCTTCAGGTCTGGTACCCAACCTATATTCAGAAAATATGAAATTCTATATCAACTCATATCAATATTGCATATTCAATAAAAGACTGGAAATGCAGTATTATACTCGGGAGAGACATAGTGAGAAAAGTGTGGAAACATTTAGTCTTAAGAAATCCTGCTCAATCACAAAGACTGTTAGTCCAGTTAGGATACATTCAAATCTATGGATAGACCTACTTAATTCAAAAAGTATTTTATATAAAAGATAGGGAAGTTGTTTAAAACAAATAGGTTTCCTTTTATCATCATTTGACACTTTAGGTTCCTACTCTTCAAGGTATACAAAGTGGATGTTCACCAAATGCTTTCCCTATAATGGAATTTAATTTGCAATTATTTTGGCAAATTTGTGTCCATTCTATATTTTTGTTTTCATTGTAAATTTACTGATTATAAAATACAAATGTGTCTGTTTGGAGCCAGAAAGGTGCTAACTCTGTATTAAAGTATCAGTTATAAATACCCTTCTGGCTTCAAACAGACAATCTCATCTTAAAGGGGCACCGCTATGAAATTTACATTTTATAAACATTAAAAAAAATGACATCCACATCCCAAAAGGATGGCAACATTTTAAACAAGCTTCAATACTCAAAAGTCAAAGTGGTATATTTTCAAGGCATCTCTGCCGGGAAGACAATTAAGGAAAGGGAGAAAAAAGTCCCTCTTCAATAGGATGCCTGTCAAACCATCTCTTGTGGGAGAATTATTTAAAATCATTAATATTTCAAGACTTTGCAACCTAAATGATTTGGTGAGAGCAAGAGGGGCTATATAACTCCTGCTTTTCCACAGAGATTACACCCTCCTGACTCTAAGCACATGATAGGTTCTAAGATAATAAGAGTTTTTATTTTATATTCCTGTTCCAAAATATACTTACATGACTCCCAGGGGATTCTAATTGGCTTTATTATCCAATTTTGCCGGTTAGTATTAGTTGGAAGTGTCAAAATACTGACTGTGTATTCCTCTCCCGGTTCCAGGCCAATGAAGCCATCATAATGGAACTCATGCTGCAAAATAACATAGGAAGGAACACTGAAAATTTGTTGACATGATTCCACCTTTAAATAAAACTGGAACACAATGAACAGTAGTACATTGTAAATAAGAAATAGTGTACATCAAGCAGGATTTGAAGAACAATAATAGTGACAACAAAATTTACAATGTAGTGATAAAAACATAGTTGTACAAATGCAAAAAGAATTTTGAATCGATCTTCAAAATCCTTCAATTCAAGAAAAGATTATTCATTGGGTGGACAGTGAAAAGTGGAGTAATATACAGATTGGCCTCCTCTATTACACAAGTGGAAAGAACTGCCACGGGCATGACGAAAACAAGAGCCCCTGTGAAAAAAAGTTTTAACAGGTAATATCAAATATGCTGTCTTAACCCCTTCTCTCAGTTTGTTGCTGCAGTATTAAAGTGCAATTTTTCACAGACTCTAGATACAAATCACATGAACAGTGTTTTATGTGGCAATACAAAGTTTGAACCATTTCCTGGCCCAAATTCGCAGAATATCAAGTAGTTTCTGTTTTTTCACATACCAGTAATAACTTTTGTTTCAATCAGAGTGGTCAAAACTTATCAAGGCTGGTAATAACAAAACTATGTGTGTATAACAGAACACTTCCTCTTGTGTGATGAGCTATGTAAGGATATCCTCGACAACTTCCTATCTAAATATGATTACACCTCATTCTATGAACTACTGTAAAAATCCAACACTCCTGCCATTAATTTCACAAGTATTCCGGATTCATAAGTTTCATCATGGATATGAAATAACCGAATCACAACGGACAGAACATTGATTTTTAAAACAATCTGCAAAGGTTTGGTCTGCAAGAAACTGTAGTGGAATTGGACAATTGGTAAAAAGAAGAGGATTGCGATGGATGAGTCATGTTGAAAGGGAAGGTGCACCTGTGAAAAGGGCGTGAGATCTGGAAGTGGATGGCATAATAAGTAGGAAAGGAAGACCAAAGATTTCATGGAAAGATAATAATTGGTAAAGATAGAAAGCAGTAAGGTTGGTCTCAATGAGGAGGATCCTCAAGAAAAAGTGCGCAGGGAGGGATTGTCATCATGGCACGAGAGTTAGTAACACTTAGGGTGCATTTATTGACCAAAGTTTTGCCTAGAATCAGGTTTCTCAAAAGTCTTTCAGACAAATTTGAAGGTGATAAATGCAAAGCCTGTTTTAAACGTCTTTAGATATGGGCATATCGAAAGATGCAAAAAGGTGTGCTTTGAATGTGACATACAGCCAGAATCACGATTGTGAGACATGATAAACGCAAAGCTGTTTTGAACCCCACATACAAATCGGACCTTCCCCGGCTAATTTCCGGTTCAGCGAAATTGTGCGCACCATGTGCTATGCCCTAGTTGACCTCCGAGCAACTCTCTGCTTCCCGGGTCAAATGGCGCAAAGCAGCTGCGCAGAGACAAGGCCTTTATTTTGAATCGTGAAGAGACGATAAACGCGACATCCCGAAAATCACATTCATCTAGTGGGGTTCGATATCTACATATCTAGTGGCAAGATCCGATAAACGCACCCTTAGTAAGAGAGAAAATGATGACTTTAATAAATGATGACAAGATGATGATGGTGATGATGATGATGATGTTCATTTACAAAGCATGAATATTTCAAGTCATCAGAGTCTCTGATTTTACAGCATAATCTTTTCTAAGGCTATCACATGTTCCTATTGAAAGTTTCCAATTGTCAGACAAATATGAATTGGGGTGGGGTGGGGGCAATGTCTTACCATTTTGCTAACAAGTCAGCCAAAAATGTTCGAATTTGTTAACAAGGAGAAAATTGGTCATCAAGACTATGAAAATGTTGAATTTGCAGACAGAAGAGTTTCAATGGGGGTGTGAGCCCCTGCCAATTGAGAATACTCACACAGCCATGAAAACCACAAAGACATCAAAATAACATGGGTGTGGGAAACTGATACAATGCTGAGACATGACACAATGGAAGACATACTTTTGGCTGTTTGAATGTTAAAGGTAAAGACCAGTTATGGTCATGCGATTGCATTGTGAAAGAAATGTTGTGGAATCGATCAGAAAAGGTTGATCATCTAGCATCTAGCATCTGCAAGGTTCTGGAATCATCAAAATGATAAAAACATTTGGCCCATTCTTCGTAAAGTTACAAGCACTATACACAGAAAGATGTATATGGGACTACCCTATATCTCTCACAGACCATGAGAGAAACAAATTTACCAAATATATGAATTAGTAGGCGGTTTCCCGGCAAATTTTTTATCATCATGTATTAGTCAAAACATATTCTTTCACATGATTGGTAATGAGAGCTTCCATTTCATTTTTTGAAATTGGGGCGTTTCCAATACTGGTCTTTACCTTTAAGTAAGCAAATAAACACCAACTTTGAGGGTCATGGGACAGACTAATATACCATATTATTATTATTATCATCATCATCATCATCATCATCATCATCATCATCATCATCATCATCATCATCATCATCATCATCATCATCAACATCATCATCATCATCATCATCATCATCATCATCATTATTATTATTGTTATTATTATTATTATTATCTTAGATCCTTTTATCTATTCATATCTCATCATGAACGTACACATATGTCTTAAGATAAATCAGTTGGTTTTAACAAAATCTTGCACAATTCCTCACGAAAATGACTAAAACAAAATAAAGTCTGCTTGGTCGAGCAGAAGGGTGTTTAACTCGGTGTATGTAAATAAGCTAGTGCCCTTCCAGCTCAACCAGGTGACATGTTTTTAATGAAATTGGACATTCTGATCAATATTTCCCCCACCTAACTTCCTTCCAATCTCAAATCATTGGTAACTTGGCGTTCTAATAGTTTAAAGCTTATCAGTAGTAGTGTAAAGGAGAGATTAGACCAGCATGCAAGGTCACTGGACAGGTGGTTATCTCATCAACTCAGCTCTCAAATAACATAAGAAAAAGAGGATCATGGGGGACCAATGGTCACCAATTAGGCATTGTTTGTTATAAAGAGGGCCCAAGTAGCTACAAGTAGTGCAGTGGGCCTTTAAAGAAGTTAAACTCTCTTTTTACACCAATTTTGTGCAACTGTAAATAAATCCATAATATAATTGCCACTTAGTGTTGACAATTTTATGACCCACTCGTTCCTCCCATAACCAGAATTGCTACCAAATCATGAAGAGTCATTAGCGAAAGAGTTAGAAGTGAAGAGGAGTCATTCATCAGAGTTAGGATGAGCCATATATCACAGAGAAATAGAAAAAGGAAGAGTAATAATGAATCAATAAGGAATATTAAAATTCCAATTGTGTCATTTCATCAAGAAAATGGGATAAAATTCATTACAACTGGGCCACTTTTTCCTTGCTTTTACTTTCAAAAGTCATAAAAGCTGAACAAATCAAAAAAATCATTCTCATTTCCATTTATGTGTACACCTTTACAAATTCCCTGAAAATAAATGAATAAAACTACTAATATTGGCACTCAAGAACTGGTGTTAATACAGTAGTCATGAAGAGAGGAAAAGGAGTGGGAGGGGGAAATGAAGAGGAAGTATGAGGAAGAGTAAAAGAGGAAGAAGAAGAAGAAGATTGAGGAAAAGTAAAAGAAGATGAAAAAGAAGAAGAAGAGGAAGAAGAAAAATAAGAAGAAGAGGAAGAAGAAGAAGAAGAATAGGAAGAAGAAGAAGAAAAAGAAAATAGTTTGTTAAAGTCAAATGCCATATAAAGACTAGTACAAAAGGCTTATGGTAAAATATATTACAATGCATATTTCTGTTGGTTTTTCAATCAACTGTGACCTACATTTGTTCTATGACATTGAAATCAGGTGAAATATGAGAACAGGAACTTGGTATACTAAAAATTGATTGATTCACTTTCACATGCTATCATTCCCTGCAATAACAATAAAGATGCAAACTATACAATTACATATTGATATCGAGATTACATTGAGGAACTTCACAAACTTCTGTGTAAAAGACAACTTCAGGTTGATCATGAATAAAGGTTTGGTTACAAGATAATAGTCAAACCATTAGTAAGATGCCAAGTCATAACCATTTCAAAAGTTAAGATTAATGAGGTGTAAACTGAATTGGGGAACTAAAATGACTATTTTATTTCATGTCTTTCTAAACAGGTGGAAAATATTGCTGTGACTCCTGTGAGATTGAAAGATTGTAACTTGAAATGATATGAACTGACTAAATAGTTCCTACAAAGCATGTTCCCAGTTCATGTCTTCGGTTTAATAAAAACAAATTTCAAACAAGAGGAAAATAGGAAGGGGAAGAGGAATGATTGAAGAGTATTTTTGAAGTGGCAATACTACTATTTCATGCTGCAGGGAAATCACTCAAACCACACAAAAAAGTGCACTTGATTTCCTACTCCGGTCATTCCAATAAATGACAATAAATTGAAGGTAGCTGTAAACGCAATGTCCTCATGACAGATTAGTCTTTCACACACAAACCGTTAACATTCGTAGTGCTTAACAGAGTGTCTGAACTAAAAGACTATGCAGACCGCATGGTCTAGTGAACCCCATATCCTGACAAAGCCAGAGACTTGTTGTTGGTGTTGTTGTTTTAGTTTTATTGGCGTGTATCATTCATTTATGAATTTATGATAGAGCTACATGTAGGCTCTGCTCAAGACTTTCCAGAAACGTTTTCAAGTGTCAAATTGGAGTCTGTGTGAGCAGACTAGCCACAGATGTAACCAAATAATCTGCAAAGGTTCCAATAAACCGCCAAACAGGATATTCTAAATCCTTTACATGTACTTCAATTTCCTTGGTAACAAGAGATTTTTAATGAATTCTTCACTGAAACTCTATCAGATTCAGCTGGTACACATGTGACGTGCATTCCATCCATCACATTGGAGTCTGATGAAAAAATGGTAACCAAAGTTCAACAGCCAAATTAATGACCATCTATCATTCATTTCAATGCAATTCATTTTATTTCCAACTCTCGTAAAAAATACATTCAACAATACATTATACAATAAGCAAATATATAAACAATACAAAGAATATGGAAGAGCCAGCAAAGGCCATTGGTCTTTCAAAGGCTGCATGCATGGGCTCCAATGGCCGCAGATAATTATACAAAGTAAAGAGAAATGAAAGAGTGGGTAGTAAATAAACAAGTGAGTACAGGCTAATCAAACATAACATAGAAATTCCTTCATTAGAAATGTTTGTATTTTCGTTTGAATGATCAGGTCAAACGGCTACAGGACATTGAGTTTAATCACTCACTTTTATCAGTTTAGTATTGCTAAAAAATATTAAAAAACAAAAATTGGAGTGCTTCTAGATGTATTTTGTTCTTAATCTATAAGTTAATGATTAACTGATGGAACTCAATTTGAACTGAAAGGTACTCGAGCAGGTAGTTATAATTGAAGTAGTTGAATTTGGCAAAGACATTGTAGACATGTATACAGCCTATTCACTACTGATTCAGTTTAGTAACTTAAGATTTATAGGATACTATATCTCATGCATCATCTTGGGAAGGGTTGCGCGCTCTCTCTCTCTATGGCTTCCTTCTTTTTTTTCTTTGTCTTTTACAGGGGGAAGGCAGATTTAAACCTAAAGAATCCTAGGTCTCTATCATTTTCAATGAGCACAAAATTGTTTTTCCACAGGTACACTACAAAGGAACAGTGCCAGAAAAGTCAAACTTCAACAATATCTCAAACTCACTTCCATTAATAACAAATTGTAAAGCAATTTTGAACATGTTTATGAAAAATGCACAATAGAATACATTATTATTGTTATGGTTTTTTTATAATCAAGGGATTCAATTTGATACTTTTTCTAGCAATATGTGTTAACATTAAGCAGTGATATTGATTAGTTTTTCATAAAATACATTATCAAGGCTAAAACATAGTCACATATTTTCATGCTCAATTTTTCCTGCATACAAATTTCAGATGTATCAAATATATCATATATTGGGAAGAAACATATATTGTACATATATTGAAACATTAATGGGATAGAAATTCTCATTAGTCAAGCAGAATAACAAAATGACGGGGCAAATCTGTAACAGGATCCAACCTGGTAAACAGAACACACCAATAGATTTATCCTACATAAATGTCAATACCAGTTCCCATCAGTAAAAGTACAACTGTATACACAAATCTGTTGGCCTTTTGTATTATTGAAAAGGGGATTCTCCTATGTCATTCCTGTTGCTAAACTTTGTTATTCGGGTCACTAGCCGGCTAGCCGCATGATCTACTGTACAGTAATCTAGGTTTTCACGCTCGCCGATTGTTGATACTCACTACCGTAGTCTCACTCACAATGGGTTGAACAAAATTGGATTCATAACAATATTCTTTTTGTAAAAGATCTCTTAGTTGTATCTCAGACCCCAGAGACAAGACTTGAAAGGATGGCTAGAAATGATTTTTGGTGATCAACACTCAACAGCAGAACCCTAGTCAAAATAAAATAGTCTCAATCTAGTAAAAAAGAATAGCAGGAAAAAACCCCGGCTCAGAAGATATGTTGTGTTTTTACTATTTCCAACTCTGAATACATTTTCCATCTATCTTTTGTTCCAAATCCTTGGACTGTTTTTTTTTTGTTGCCCACAAGTAAATAGCAGATAGATAGTCAAGTTTTCTAGGAAAAACAATAAAAATATAGAGAAAATAACCAATACCGGGTATATATTTTGTTAAATGTAAAAATATTACTAGGGAAAATAGCAAGAAAACAAATTGTGTGGGATAGACATTTTTATTAGTGTTCAAAGAGATGTTTATCTTCAAAATACATAGCCATCTTTATACAGTCATTAATGAAAGACTCTAATTGTCCCAATTTTCCTTTATTGTGACAATTAACCCATTAACATGGTGGTCCCTTTATTAACCCTATGGTAATGAATGAATTCAGCAGTCAACAGGTTAACATATATCGTCGCCTGGGTGGCAGATGGGCGTTAGCTCGAATTTTAGGTAAAAAATAAAGCACTAAGCAGAAGGGCACTAAATCGCCTCAAACTTTTATAAAACTGACTTATTTCCTTTAAAAAATTGTGGCCGTGTTCTACTATAACATTTCTATTGGTCTTTTAAGTTTTAAACCAATTTTCAGGATGGAAAGCAGTTTAAATATAAAAACAAATCTTTACATGTGAATAATTTGAAGAGTAGTTTTCGAGTCGCTAATGCCCTTCTGCCAGCCAGGCGACAATATACGTTCACTAACATTAATGATGACATAAATTTCAGAATACTATTCCCTCCTTTTAAAAGATATTCACTGTCATTAAGCATTGTGCTTAACAATAACCAGTTAGTCTATCAGTTAGTGACACTCATTGATAATTCAATGAAAATGTACATTACCCATGTGATTTCTTGCAAATGCAGACATTGAAAAAGTGAATATTTACAGTATTCAATCTAACAATTGATGTACAAAAAATTAAGATCAATTAACAATTCAGATAATCTACTAGAGTAAAGGAGGGGTTTTTCGGCCACTTAAGACAAAATCCTATTTTTTGGACCCTTTACTTCTTTTTTATTATCATTTCTGGTTCAAATCATGAAGCAAATATTATTATTATTTAAACAAAAAAAGAATCCCAGAAAAAAATCACGAATTGCCTTGACAATATTCATTTCAATTTTCACTGTTTCGGAGTCACTTATCGGCATAGCGAACCAGTTTTCGGCCGCATGTACAAAGTCAATAGGAAGCGCGCGCATGCTGTGCGTCTCCGCGCTGATCCATAGTACTAGCGGGCGGAGCAGGTATCCCACGCCGGAGCTCCCCGGAGCTCGCCAGGCCGAAAACTAGTACTGTGGTTATCGGATATTGGAATCTGAATTAGACAGAGATATCGTGTGTGCGTTGCGGTGTCAGGCTGCATTGATTTAATACATGCGGTAAGACACTTTTTAGCTTGCGACCAGCACAAAATCGGGCTCTTAATCTGAAAGATACTTGAAATAAAGCTGATTTTATGGTACCCATATTTCTTAAAGACATGCGTAAGGTACTTGATTTTTCAGATTCGGGTAGCGGGACCGCCGATTACATCGCTAAAATGTGATATTTTAGGATATATTTTTCATTGCAAATGTGGTTCTTCAGTGACTCTGGCATGGTATGGTATGTGTGGGATATGTGATATGCTATTATGCGATGTATTTTAAAGGGATTTTACCATGCATCCAACCAATCGGCCGAAAACTGAAGCTGGTCGATTACCCCCCTCCTTTACTCTATGTAAGTCTTGTCCCATCAACTTCTACTGCACACTGTTTATTATATGATAATGTAGATTAATCACCATCGCATTGTGTTTTGACTAGTGCAAATTCAAAGCGATGCCCAAATACTACTCCCCTCACAATACACTCCATCCTAAATTCATTGAATAATGGAAATCATCTGTTTACTGGCAGCATGGCAACCAGCCTAATGTTTAGAGGCAGACTGGGCGTATGTTGCCTATACTACGAAATTAGGCTTAACTACTAAGTGAACAGCTCATTTCAAAGGTACTATTGGATGGACATGATAAAATGCTTTTAAAAATAGATTTGGTGGTTTATCCCACATGGTTGCTATAGATGCATGCATTTTCAGGCAATTTTGTTGGATAAGCATGCTGCCAATTTGATTGTACATTTAGAACAACTTCTAATCTAGCCAAGAGGATGAATTATCTTACTTATTTCTTGCTTAAAAAATGTAGTTAGCCCATAATTCTGATATATATATTGGGTAACATTTCACCAATTTAATGTGATTAATACCGTGAAATGCAGTTTTGTTTCAATAATTTACTATTTCACATCTAGATGCCTAACTTGCAATTTGATTGACTAGAATGCAAAAATATACTATGTATAATATGCATCTACACTGCTCAAAACTCACTTATAAATTCCACATATTCATAGCATTTTTCAATTGATATGCACAAACACTCAGTATGTAATTCATGTAATTTGAAGACTACTATAGCTTTTCAGTTTCTCTGAGTAAAAGACTACTGGTTCTCTGTAAATATAAATTATATTTCAGATAGTCACATATAAATAATTAAATAGTTTTCCACCCCAAAGTGTTTAGGAAAGCCTATAAAAGGTTCCCTTCGCATCCCTTGCTTCCTAGCACAAACAATTGTTTTCCTTCATACCCACTCCAATGTACTACATAATAAAATTCATAAAACACTCTAAAAATATAGTATAGTATATTTTAAGCAGAACAATTGAAATAGAATAAAAGAAAACATACCTCCGCTAATGCTGCTTGAGTAGGCCCATAATCATTCAATCTTAATGTTACACAGTGTACATATACTCTTGAACCACGACGCAGAGAGATGGTGATTGCTCTTAAATGCTCTGAAGCTGAAAATGCAAGATAAAGAAATATATTTATCCTAATTACTGTGATATAAACACAAAAGCATACAATTATATAATAGGACAAAACTTAACTATGAGTTATAGGGATTATATCTACAGGATATGATTTCATATCACTAAAAAAAAAAAAATATGTATGAAAAACAATGTACATGCATTTACATAGTGTGCCTGGTCCATATATATGAATGCAGGGCCCTCAGGGAGAACAGTATAAATACTGATGAGGCTATCCTGGGTAAACAAGACATATTATTATTTATTATTATTATCTTGAAATTTTCTGATTTTCAAAGTTCCTCTTTTCGCATTCATATATCTTTGAACAAGCCCAGCTTGGGGTAGCTACATATCTTTATAAATATACAGCATCCACTGATATTTCCATTTTCCTTATTCTCTCCTACCCCCCCCCCCCCTCTCCCCCTCCATCAGTAACCCCCTTTTTTAAACTCACTCCAAGGATCCGCTTTGAAGGTGATGTTGAGTCCAGCATGGACCGCTCTGTTACCATGGCTACAGGGGGTGTGGCAGGAAGACACATTGAGAGGTGTTTTGTACATGTGCTCATTAGATGGTGAGCAGGACGTGAAATAAGGCTCGATGTGGAAAGACGCGTCCCGGATAGGTCCAGGAGTATCCCCAAGGGGTGCAATCCCTTCATCGCGACAGGTATCTGTGACAACAGGTGTGAAATGTAAGAAATGACAAAAACAATAACAACATGATACACATCCCCCCCTCCTCCTCCTCCTCCTCCTCCTCCTCCTCCTCCTCCTCCTCCTCCTCCTCCTCCTCCTCCTCCTCCTCCTTCTACAACAACTAATAATAATAATAACAACAACAGCAACACTAATAATCATAATAACTTTTTTTGTAAAATACATCACATTGTGATTTAAGCGCCTACAACTACAAGCTCCCAAACAGCTTTGGAGATAATGCTATTTGATAATAAGGAAATTAAGCAAAGCTGACTTATTTGTATCATGTAATCTTGGATTGGGGAACATATGAAATATGAATAAACATCACAATTATTGTTGGGCGTTTTTTTAAAGTACTGTATACATTTTTGTCGACAATTTAAAATCAGTGAACTGTAGCTATGTAACCTCTTCCCCTAAGTAATCTAAATAGTATTTATTATTCATCACACAAGGAATAAATATGAGAATCTATTCAATTTTCAAAAAGGAAGTGATTGAACAGGATTTTCTACGCATCAAATGTTTACAGGTACTTTTTATGCATATTCCTGAAAGGTATAGGGCATACAGGAAGTTCAGTATGCAGATCATATCAAAGTGTTGTCATCTATAGCCTCAAGAGTCAACAGGCTATATTAATAACCAATCACCAATCTTAAAAAGCTCACCATCCCATCGACAAAAACAAACAATAAATCAAAAATGTAAACACATCATACCCTATTTTTTAAATAAAAGTTCACTACATGCATTTCTTAAGTGGATGGGAGAGTAGATTGGATGCAGCAAAACTCTGGGGCCTTTTTTTAAATAGCGATTTAAAGTAACTCTTTTCAATTTCTGTATCTTATAATACAGAGCTACACGATCAATTCCTTTGTTTCGCACATTTGCCATTAATTAAACTTTTTTTTTTAAACATCAGCTTTTTGTGGGGTTTACTGCACCATAACTTATTCTATCCAGAAAATAATTACTGCATAGATTGAAAAAAATAAACAAAGACCATTGCTATTAAGTTTTAGTTTCATAAAGGCAGGTGCATGATGCATTTCAGAAGTCATCTTAATTCCTTGTTTGATTCACTGTTTGCTATGCTGGGGCTGACTGTAGACTAAGTTTCAGTTTTCATTAATTACTCTATGTATTCTTTAGGTAATAACTAATGCAAACACATAGTTTTCTTTTTTTCTTCATTCTGTTATCAAATGCAGGTGCTCCAAAGGAGATGTGTGCATTTTTACAGGCAGCTGATTTTTGTTTGTGTGTGTGACAAAAGAAACTGGAAGGGGAGTAAAGAATTTGAATTATTCTGTTGAAAAGAAGTTACATTGTTTGAATTTCAAGGATCAACAATATTTAGTTGTAACCAGAGGCAAAAACTGTCAAAACAAAGTCTTCATTTTCATTCACAATGTTTGCACATACACAAAGGCATCTTTGACATGTTATATATATTGTTTCATTTTCATATTTGGAAAAGTTTGGGGATCTGAAGTATATGAAAAGTACTTACGCAGGAAAGAAATATGACCCAATATTTGGTACTTTCTGTTTGACCAAGGAGGATATTAATATCCTCCTTCGTTTCACATATGACCATATCTACCAATGCTAACCTTGCTAATCATCAGAACTATTTCTTTCAACCTTCATGACTTTTGTCAAAAACCATGCATTACCTTGAAAACAAAACTTTTTTTTGTTATTACAATGTGGTTAACCCGGAACTGTGGTTAATTAGAAATAAAAGAATACCCAGCAATTAGTGAAAAGTATGGCATTGTCGGTAAGAGATATGTAAACATATTTTTTTCCCTCGACTACAGTCAAAACTCAACTCCTCAGTTTCCTTGTTTGCTTGTATATATCTAAATGAAAATTAAACTAGTATTTCATATTTGGAGCCAGAAAGGCATTAACTCATATTCTTCAACACAGATGTAACCCCCTTCTGGCTCTGAATAGGTTAAGGTGTGTATGTAAAAAGTGATCTCAAAATGATTGGTAAAAAGGTTCTTCACTATTCCTCCTAGACAATATATACCTGTATTTCAATAAAACACTCTTTGTCCTCTTTTTTTCACCCAAATTGTTCCTATTAATCTTATTGTACAGTAACTAATCACAAATTGTATTCTTACCAATCGAATATCCAACTTCTGTTATGTCACACAAGAAAAAGTCCTGGAACATGAAACAAAAGGAAAGGAAAAAAAGAGAGAATATGTTTAGTAACATTTTAAGTAAATATTAAATCAAATGATAAACTGTTTTAAATATGTAATAATACAATTTTCAAGCAAGTTATTATTGCTCAGCATTTCGTTGGTACAACATATTTTGTTTTAAAATCCTTCATATTACACTCGGGAATTAGAAAGTGCTTCGCATTAATATTTAAAATGTTAAAATGCAAGTAGGATCATCAGGTTCAAAGACCCTTAATTTATAATAATAATAATGTTATAATAACTTTTACTTACAAGGCGCTTTTCATATGAGATTTATATCAAAGCGCTTTACCATATTGATGCAAGTAAAACTATACAGAGAAATGACAAGAGAACAAATTGAAATTGAAATTATTCAACATAAGATAACAAGGTAAGGTTACAATTTAAGAACTAGGTTGAATATGCCTTTTCCATTAGATTGTTTTTTTAATTTTGATCTAAACGTAACTTAGGATCCCCAAGGGAAAAAAGCATTTTCTGGGCCTGGTAACATTGAAAGAGTTGTAACTGATGGTATCTTCCTTAAATTGATTGTATCTCCTTCAATCATACATTCACAATTGATACTAAACTTTAAATCAATTTGTTGCAAAAATATCAATCATGAAAACCAAGAAAACATTAATGAAAGAGAGTAAGAAAAAACGTGTTACAAAAAGACAATATTAATTAAATGTGAGATGAAATAATTTGAAGTTGTTTTTTCCATTATTCTGTAAGGGCATGGAAAAAACTGCTTGTCTTACTTTTTTCTTTCTTTTTCTATACATAGAAGTACTCAAAATAAACATTCAAGAGTGATAAAATACTATTTTCACATTTAATAATGAACTTCTAGTGGCCGATTATGAAAAAAATATTTTTGCCAATCTGGGTGTTCTGTCTCAAATGATTGATGGTAATTTTATGCATTGCAAGCCAACATCCATTTAAATTTGGAATTTTTTAGGAAAAATACTTAACCACAGGGAGAGAAAATTAACCTCGATGCCAACCACACATTAAGGTCATACAAAATCGGTACATTCATAGTGTGGTACAGTTTACGGTAGGTTGGGCAAAAGAAAATATGCTATCTTTTTTTTTTATATCTAATTTTCGTGAGAAAAGATTAAACTCCCATGACATTCTTCCTGCCCATACTATGTTTGACTGATTTTCGAATTCTCATCCTTCAATGCTTTAAAATTGACTAGGCAGTACACTGTAATACATGCATGGACAACAACAGGAACATGCAATCAGCAAAGACCTTTGCAAATAATTGAAGGAGAGTTTCCTGAGCTAGGCTATATATTTCTTTTATTCATCATAAACTATTGATATAAAAAATAAACATATAAAGAGGGTCGATATCATTCCTGGGAAAATACCCAAACTGGTTTCCCAAATATTGTTCCTATTCCTCCTGATGTTTCTATTCACCCTGTTACGGTACTAACTTCAAATACACTACATTTGAATTGACTAAACACCTGTTTACTAAAGTATTATGTTGCTCTAAAAACTTGAAATCAAAAGAGGAAATAGACTCCCAAAAGATTTTTATCACATTCTGGTGTTTCGTTCGAACTTGCTAATCAAACATGATAAAATACCAAAATCAAAAAATACACCTCAGCAGTGTGGTTTTTGAAAAGTTGGCAGAAATTTCACTGATTTTTGCAGTGTAAATGCACACTCAGCTTTTGGTCACATGACCCTCCTTGCTTCCGGGCGATTTTCCCAGGAGTGTAAATAGCTGTAAATAAAAATCATTGATTTTTCAAAATGGTGTTTGGGATGTGATGGGCCTATAGACTACAAAACTAGATAGAAGGCTTAGGAATTATGTTCAGGGTTCTTGGCAAAGCATAAAACCCATGGTCAGGGGCCGATCTGATATTTTGAAAAAGAAGGGCCCTAACCCCCCGAAAAAAACTTCTGACTAGTAAAAATAACTTGTCACTTTTAAAAGAGGGGACACATTTTTAGTGTTGTGTACTTAAAGGGGAAGTCCACCCTAATATGAAGTTTGTTTTAATAGAAGCTGAAAAAATGAAACAGGTCAGTGAAAGTTTGAGCAAAATCCTCCAAAAGTCAGAATATAGAACAAATTTTAAGAAAGTTTTGAATTTTTGAAGGTGCCATCAATCAAACACAAATTGGCAATGCTGTGAGTTATCTTGCAAGCTTCCATCCCATTTGCCCTGTACTAAAAACTTCAAAAAAAATTCCTTTTTTTAAAATTCCAATCATATTCCAATCAGCAGTGTACGCAGTGGCGGATCCAGGGGGGGGCCCGGGGGGCCCGGGCCCCCCCCCTTGAGAAAAAATCATGTAAAATCACGTGGTTTTTACCTTTTTGGGGGGTTGGGCCCCCCCCCCCCTGGCGCTCAAGGGGGGGGTGCAAATTGAAATTTTTTTGAGGATGAAAAAAAAAAAAAAATGTGCTCACTACCCCCCCCCCCCCCCCCCCCCCCCCCCCACTGAGCGAATTTTTGGCCGGCGCGTTTTTCAAATTTTCGGGAGCAAAAAAAAAAAAAAAAAAAAAAAAAAAATTATTGTGCTCTGTACCTACCCCCCCCCCCCCCCCCCCACTGAGCGACTCTTCGGTCGGCGCGATTTTCAAATTTTCGGGAGCAAAAAAAAAAAAAAGTTGGGCCCCCTCCCCTAAGAAATGCTGGATCCGCGCCTGAGTGTACGCGCGCTTTTTCGTAACCAGCTGTGTTTGTTGACTTATGGTTGAACATGCTACATGTTAGCTAGATGGCGCGCAGGCTTAATAATTACGCAATAATTCTTCACTTCCTGCAAGGGCTCGCCACAGCGAGTGAATTTCACCAGCAGTATGAAAGCGAAAGGGGGAAAACGGCGGTTTCACCTTTGTTAACATAAGGAAAATTCAATCGGTGTGACTCCGATAGAAGCCAGTTTGAAAGCAGTACATGTATAAGACTTCAAAAACACAAAGAATTTTCTTTGGACATCCCCTACCCCTCTTCCATAATGCAGCAAGATAATTTTCACTGTTTATGTCCAATTTCTTGGACTACCCATTGGAACCTGTGTTATAGAATTAACACAGGTTTTTAATGGGATGTGCACAAACTTTTGACGGTTTTGAGAAACGGCCCTAGGTTCCTGCCAAGTGGCCTGCTCATACCTCATAACCAATTTTATTCTGTTTTCAAATCACAAAAAGTACTACACCCTGCCATGCCTGCACCTTTAGGTTCAGAGTCTGAAGACTGGACCCATAATACACCTCTACATAGTGTCACGTATGCCTATGTATACAAAAAGCTATCACCTGATAAAAGAGTATTGTTCATTATAAACACGCATCTCACTTCAACAAAGTTGACAAACAATAAGTTTTACACAAATTAGAATGGCACTTCATGCTCCAACATGCCTGATGTTCTCCTCAGATAAACTTTCAATTTGGCTTTAAAGTCAATTTACAATTCACTCAAAACTCATTTTATTGAGTCTTTGGGTGCAGCTTTGCAGAAGAGCGATGTTCATAATGATAATAATTCAAGTGCAAGAAATGTTGCTTTATCAATAGACTTTTGTGATAGTTGTTTGTTTATGTCAGCATGGTGCAATGGTTTATAGCAATGGGTTCAAATCCAGAGTAAGTCTATCTTCAACACTCTCTTACCTAAATTCAGATTACCAGAAATCGTCATATCATTATATGAGAAACTATAGCTACATGATACTAATGACTGATTTTTCTATAGTCTGAATGTAGTCCGGTATCAATTTACTTTGCATTGCAATCTTTCCCTCTCCTACCTGTTGCAAGCTGAAGATGGTATGATCCACGAATCGTACAGCCATCCTGATTTTTTTGCGGGTTAAACAAATTCGGGGATCACATCGTGTTTGATTTGCAATAAAGAGGGCCAGATCACGGTGGTGGAAATTAGTAAAATCAAAGTGGCCAGATTCTGGACTAGTCTGAATATTGTATAAAGAAATGTAGCTGAGCGCATGTTTGAACGTCGTTTCATATCAAAACTGGATAAAGAACCATGGACACATTCTCATTACCGTCATATCAAACAAAAATTGTATAACTAGACGGAGCTCATCATGAGCCTGCATTCATGATGACTGGTCAGCTGGCAGCTTGTCATGGCACCAGGGCCCTTTCGCATAAAGAGTTGCGTTTAAACGCAACTCTAAAAATCAAACGCAACTCTAAAAATCAAACGCAAGTCCTAAAAATCAACCGCAACTTTGCGTTTGATTACCATTCTCTTTCAAGTGCAACTTTCCCGACTCTCTTTACGCATTTGCGTTTGATTACAAGTTGCATATATATGCGTTTGATCGGAGTTGTAATCAATCGCGACTCGACTTTTATGCAAGACGGCCCTGACCTTTTCCAAACTGACATAAATACGATGTTGCTATCCAACCTCTACAGTGTGCACTCCTTTTGCTATATAATGATTCTTTAGATTTTATTTATAATTTTTCTTTATAATTTTCCTGTAGGCTGAACACCTATTAAAGACTGTCAATACTACTGGGCCAGAAGGGATTAGACCACCCAGCCAGGTCACTGACAGGTAGCTATCTCATCAACTCAGCTCTCAACTAACATAAGAAAAAGAGGATAATGGGAGACCAACAGGCACCGATTGGGGAAGTTTTCTATATAGAGGGACCAAGTAGCTATAAGTAGGACAGTGGGGCTTTAAGCTCCTCATTTAAAGAGCTCAATGCAACACTTACATGTACCACCATCATGACATTGTACAATAAAAGGAATACCTTTAACTGATATTCATTAAAATATGCCAAGAGTGTCAATAAATGTCAAGCTTGTAGTTTGAAAATAGTATGATTTGCTGTATGAATCAGTTCAGCTTTCTGAGGTTCAAACTCTTCAAGGTAAAACACATCATTTTAAAGCAAACATGAAATGAGTGTATTTGGTAGCTAAGGACT